GCTATTTAGGTGAACTAGGCAACCAATTGTTTTGAAATGACAGTAATTGGGGAAGCAGAGAGAATACAAGCATTTAGAGAATCTGACTTTACTTGAACTGAGGGGAAGAATAATGAGTGGTCCATTGGGACTCGAAGAGATAGAATTCCCCTGCTGAAAAGGATACAATTGTATGTGATGGGAAAATAGCTATCACTTAGCCTCTCATAACATCACTAAAGTATGCCACATCTGGGAAGTATCTCAATTTATTACCAGATAAATTAAACTTTCATAGTTGCTACAGGGCACTTAGGACTTCTTTTCAGTGTTCTTGCTATTTTTCGTGATCAGCTGCAATTTAAGTGCCAGTTGCTCTGTTTGTGTGTAGAGGTTGTTTACAGACTGCAAAATATCACCAGTAACAACATGGAGTTACTGACTGCTGCTCCCTAAAGCCCATAGTTAAAGGGACACTATAGTTACCAAGATAACTTTAGGTTAATAAAGCAGTTATGATGTATAGATCATTTCTTACACAATATGCTACTAAAGAGCTTGTCCATGCTCTAGTAATCTCTTGCATGGACTATTGTAACTCCCTTTTAATTGGTCTTCCCAATAGCCGTATTGCCCCACTACAGTCTGTAATGAATGCTGCTGCCAGACTGATTTTCCTCTCTAGTCGGTCCTCTCACACCTCACCCCTCTGTCAGTCCTTACATTGGCTTCCTGTATCCTATAGGAGTCGATTCAAAGTGCTAACCCATACCTATCTTAGCCCCTCTTATATCTCCTCACAGATCCATAGGTATGCCCCTTCTCGGTCTCTCCGCTCTGCCCGTGACCTTCTTCTGTCTGCTGCTCGTACCCGTACAGCCAACTCACGCTTGCAGGACTTTTCGCGGTGGCTCATGTCCTATGGAATAGCCTGCCTACCGCTATCAGACTCTCCCCTAGTCTTCAATCATTTAAGAAGTGTCTTAAAACTAATTTATTTAGGAAAGCCAATGGCCTCCCAGATTAGCCTCTACCTCACATACCTGCCTCTTGCTCTCTCCTAAAGGGCAGCACTCTACTCTCTCCTCCAGCTCTGCTCCACTCCCACCTAATTTGACTTCTATTCCCTGTCCTAATGTGTTTTATACCCCACCTACAGACTGTAAGCTAGTTTGAGCAGGACCCTCTTCAACCCTTCGTTTCTGTAAGTTTTCTTGTAATTGTCCTATTTGTAGTCAAATCCCAGAGGTATAATCTATACACAAAAACAGCTTAATTAAGCTAAAGTTGTTTTGGGGACTATAGTGTTCCTTTTTAAGTAGAGGCTAATGGCTTCAACCCTGACTCTACTGTGTAGTGACGGACAAGAAACTTGAAAACTGCACTAGGCAAGAGGCTGGTGTTAAAAGAATTTAAAGGGTACCTGTTGTGTTCAACACTACTTTGCTCTTTTTGAAGAGCATCAAATTCCATCTGTACGTTGTCCTATTAGTTTTATTAGCAAATGCATAGATTGGTAAAAAAACCTATTTAAAAATAGGTCTTTCTTCCACCAAATCTTCGGCATAAAATATCGAAGACATTATTGATAAAGGAGAGTAGAAGAGATCACTCAAAGGCGGTCTTCTAATCTCCATGCATGCTCTGTGGCTGCTATGGTAACTTTGTAGCCAATGTTGCTAGAAGTTACTGACATCACGCTGTTCAGACATGCTGACAATGAATCCAGAGTAACATAGAAACGCACACCATGACTATAGTTACCTCCTGCAAGATAATACAATTAACTTACAGGCTTCCCTACAATTTTCTAGTTAATTCTTTTGTATGCTCCAATAAATGTCCATCTTGTCTAGAGCAACAGCATTCATACAGTAGTTCAATTATGACATCATTGGTTGCTTGTGACCTCACAATTGTCTTTCATCTTTCACACTGCAGGTGGCCCAGGACTAAGAGGATCAACTGCTCTCCACTGCACATCTTCTATGGGATACTCTTACAGACTAGAAATAGAATTGTGAGGTCATAAGCAGCCAATGATGTCATAATGTAATAACTGTATAAATGCTTTTGCTTTTAGACAAGATGGACATTTATTGGAGAATACAAAAGAATGAGCAAGAAAATTGAAGGGAAGCACATAAAGGAATATTATTTTATCTTGCAGGCAGTAACTATAATCACTGTCACTATCTAATCTATGTTGTTTGTATAACATATATTTTAAGTGTAAGAGTGACATTACACTTTGGGGGTTTCCAGTTGCACGACATTGTGTTTTTATAAGCACAAACAATTTACCCGTACTTGTATCATGTATTTAAAGGACCACTATAGGCACACAGACCACTTCAGCTTAATGAAGTGGTCTGGGTGCCAGGTCCATATAGGATTTGTGACGAGAGCAATCTCGCCACATTGCATTGGAGAAGCCTGGTTGCTCACCTGTTGCCTTTAGACTATGACCCCATGTTAAAAGACATCTTTTTTACCTGCAGAAAAGATTTATTCATGCTTTTCTGCCTGGTGTTCGGTAGATTCAATCTACCGAACAACCGCACGAATGACTGGACCACCTGGGAGCTGGAATGTGCCGGTAATTAGCCTTCCAGAAGCTGCGGTTAACCGCAGCTTAATTGACGAATGCTGGGTGGCCGCCATTCGTATCACGAACACGAGGTTGCGGCCATTTTAAACATGCAAACGCACAGCGGTGTTCGATGCTTAATTCATGGAACTGAAATCAGACACAGTTTTGCGTGAACACCGCTGAAGCCACTGACCTCCCTTCTTGTTCGATGAAAGTGCACGAACGGCCCGGTTTTCGGTAGTTTTACTTGAATATATTATACCCCAGATAGGAATCCCATGGAGCCCATTCGCATGAGAAACTGACTGTGTAAAGACTTTGGCTCCATGGCGATTACACTGTATTCGTGTGGTCTGAGCGCCATTCACTTAATAATGTGCGCTCAGACCTGGGCTATCTGGGGACATGTTGAATGTATAGTTTTAATGTAATGTGTCTTACATGGTGTATTTTAACAGTAATTCCTGTTGTAGTATCCCCACATGCATAATGGCGATTTGTCTTTGTCTTGGGAGATAATTTAATTACTTCTCAATTATCTCCAAGGCAAAGGGGAGGAAGCCATGATGCATTGTGGGAATATAATGTGACTGTGTGTCCTATTTGTCTACTTGTCTGTCTTTTGTCACAGTCTCCCATTTGGTTCCCTAGGGGAGTGTCCACCAGGTGGGAGACCTGCATAAATACTGGGCAGGTAGCCCTCATTAAACAGACCACTGCTTGACCCCCAACACGGAGCCTTGTCTCGTCTTTGGGGGGATTTACTGAATGCTGATAGAGACTGATTGCTAGGAGTGTAAGCCGCTTGGATGCTTTTCCTATTCGTCTGCTAGTAGCAATTCGTATGGTTCCAGTTCGTGTATTTGGAGTGCTATATTGTATGCCGTTCGGGAGTTTGGAACATTCCCTTATTGGCGGTTCGTGAGTTTGGTGTTCTACAATAGCTGTGCCTGCATCTCTGGAAAGGGGGACGATCGCCTAAACGGTTTTTACCCCTTGTGTGCAAAACGGTCCGTTACAGGATTAACCCTTTCTGCTGTAAACATAGCAGCTTCAGAGAAACTGCTATGTTTACCTATGGGTTAAATGGACACTCCAGGCACCCAGACCACTTCTGCCCATTGGAGTGGTCTGGGTGCCAACTCCCACTACTCTTAACCCTGCAAGTGTAATTATTGCAGTTTTTTATAAACTGCAATAATTACCTTGCAGGGTTAACTCCACCTCTAGTGGCTGTCTACTAGACAGCCACTAGAGGGCACTTCCTGCTTCATAGCTAGAGCATCACTGGACATCCTCACGCTGTGTGAGGACCTCCAGCGTCGCTCATTTCCCCTTAGGAAAGCATTGAAATGCATTTTCAATTCTTTCCTATGGGGAGCGCTAATGCACATGCGTGACATTGCCGTGCATGCGCATTAGGTCTCCCCGGCCGGTGGGCGGGATCAGTCTCGCCCACCGGCCGACACAGTCAGAAGGAGGAGCGGCACGGAGGGAGAAGCAGCGACGTGGGACATCGTCGTTGCCTCAGGTAAGTTACTGAAGGGGTTTTCACCCCTTCAGCAACCAGGAATTGGGGGGTGGGAGGGAGAGGGAACCTGCAGTGCCAGGAAAACGGATTGTTTTCCTGGCACTGGAGTTTCCCTTTAATCCAGCCTCTAGTGGCTGTCTCATTGACAGCCGCTAGAGGCGCTTCTGCGCTTCTCATTGTGATCTTCACAGTGAGAAGACGCAGGCGTCCATAGGAAAGCATTGAGAATGGGCGGGCGGGTGTATTAAACATGCATTAAGTAGAAATAAAAAGATAAATGTACGTACATTTATTTTTTTTAAAACACCCTCCTTTCTAAAAAATATTCCGCACTTGCGCGAAAACTGGTGGGTGGTAAGGAAATTTTTCCATCAAGAAAGATGCATTAGTGGGCGGTAGGAAGAAAAAGGTTGACTACCACTGGTATACACTGTTGCTATCTACTGCTAGGGGAAGTGGACATGCTCGTGTGAGCCTTTTTGGTAAGGTGTGGTTGCTATGGTGACAGCATCCAGAGTATGAATTTCTGTGCTTTATCAGCGATTTGCTAATCTGTCAATAACATTTGCTTACAAGAATATGGACCATTCACAATCTGCAGGAAAAAAAAAAAGTAGCAACAAGATTGAAAACCAATCGGTAATTAGTAGCTGCTACTAGCTCCCAGCTGGAGTTAATAGCAATAGCTTATGGCAGCCATTTACTGACGTTTGGAAATTAGCCCGCTGTGATAATACTTTTCATCAAGTAAATATGTTTGTCGGAGGTACAGTGCCTATATATTAGAGATTTTTTTTAGACCATTTTAGTAATTCAAATAATTTCACGTGTATGGGTGCATTTGTGTATGTAAGCATATATCTATAGGTACACCAAAAAACAGGCACATTCGGCAATGTGTTTTCATCTTTGTTTTATTTATATAAGCACCTACATCTTGTAAAGATGTTAAGATCTTTAATAGATTTAATCACTTCCATATATATAGATAAATCTACACATTTGAAACAAACAGGTATTAGTACAAAATTGAATTCCATCCCCCTCTCATGAAAATTAATTTGTACTTAACTTACGCGGAGTAAAAAAAATATTAAAAATCATTGTGGCATATTGTATACACAATGCTGATAACATGTGAGCTTTTTATTTTTAATTTGTATTTTATTGGGTTTTGCACACGAAAGCATACATCCACATCAGTGTATAAAAAATGTGAGCTTTTAAACAACATGGTATGCAAAAGCTTCCATTTAGGACTCCTACATAAGCATGAATACTGAAGGCTAGAAGGAGAATTACGAAGATATTTAGTTGTGCAATGCGACAAGAAGCCAGTTGAGGACATGCTAGATATAAGTGCATATTGATTTCATGATTATCTTAACAATTTATTCAGTTCGTACACAAATTTCAGGTAAGTTGATGTGCTTATTGCTTTATTTATACTTTATTGGTTAATATCGTCAACACGTAAAAGGTACTGTAAGTTATGTTTGTAATTTGTTTCTAATTTAGCAACCCTGATTTTTAACTCTCATCAACTGACACGGTGCTCATTGTTTATAAACGTCAGATGATATAAACCATGGGTCCTCAAACTTCGGCCCCCCAGATGTTGCTGAACTACAACTCCCATGATTCTTTGCATTACATAGATAGCCAGAAAATCATGGGAGTTGTAGTTCAGCAACATCTGGGGGGCCGGAGTTTGAGGACCCATGATCTAAACCTTTTCAGCATGCTACGTAACTACTGTAAAAGGATTTTTTATGAAAAACAGAGCCAAAAATTCTTGGTCATCCTTGGTTCCACTAGAGGTATACTGTAACACTTTATGAATTAAAGTGGACTTGACTTGTAGCCTGATCTGTTGCTTAAAAGGTGTGGAAAAATAAGAACACAGACCAGCGCTCTGCATTCTTAAATATTGGTGGTAGAATTTCCTAAAGGCACCTTCAAAGTAGCACCATGGATGGATGCAACTTTCCATATGTTAACCAAAGCTGCCCAGATTATTTTTAAGTGAATTGGAACCAACTCTGATGTGAAGAGGCAAGCCACACAACCATGCAGAATGGGACAGCGTAGTGCAGAATTAAACAATACATAATCATCTATGCTTTGCTCATAGTCTCAGTACTATAGTATGTATACAAATTCGGGAAGCAACTCTATACGATTTTGTGGGTTTCATGGCCTAGTAGCTAAACCTGTACTCAAGAACACCATGTGCAATGCCAAGTATAGGTTGGAGCGATGTCTAGAGCAGTGGAAAAATTTTTTCTGGAGTGAGTAATGATTCACCATCTGGCAGTCCTCCAGGAAAATACTATCTACTTGACCACGTAGAATAATATTTGGTTGAATAGTAACAATGAAGAGTGGGTGTTTTTTTGATGGCTTGTGTTGTCAATGGATTGCACTGGGGGGATACTATGGAAGTTTATAAATTAAAGACTGCTTATAGGAATCGTTTGGGGAAGGTTTTAGCAGACATTGTCCCCAGGCATCGAACATAAATGAACTGTAGAAGTTGTTGCTGACTGTTCTGCATTAATCTCTAACTTCAAATTAATTTGATGCAATATGTGGCTGCAAACCAGATCTAATCACAGTTCTGGTTTCTGACCCAGGTATCACACGTATCCAAGGATTAATGAGTGCTATAATTATTATTAAAATATAGTAGGCATTGTGGTAAGGCTGCCCAATACATTTTTACATGAGCGTTCCCTTTACAGTTATTTTTCACCCCATCCCAGAAGACAGAAAAATAAATAATGGGATTATACATTTCTTTATTGTACTTGGATGAAAAGGGATGTTTATTAAACAGAACGATTCATTTTAAATTAAATATGGGGATGCTACATTTTAATATCAATAAACCTGTACATACCAAAAGATGTATTTAAACCCCCCCCCCACTCCCCAACCACACACACCCACACCCACACAATGTAATACCAAAATAGAATCCTGGCAAACTAGTTGGATTCTAATTTACTGATAATGTTACTGCAAAGCAAACTACTAGTGTAGATTTCTTGGTAATGGCACTTACTTAGCTGCATTCGTATGTAGGGATTATGCCATCATCAATATTGGCAGAAAGTGTATATCAAAATAAAACAAACATATATATATATATAAAAAAAACAGACACTACATAGCCCTTAAATTAGTATTATCATTGGCAGTAAATGTGAAAAGGTGTTGTTTTAAAGAAGATAACAATCTAATTTTCTTTTAAGTAATATATTAAAGGGACACTATAGTCACCAGAACAACTAGAGCTTATTGAATTTGTTCTGGTGAGTAGAATCATTACCTTCAGGCTTTTTGCCCCCATTTTTCATGAGCTGAACTCAAAGATCTAAGACTTTTTCTATGTACACAATAGGCCTATTTCTCTCAAATATTGTTCACAAATCTGTCTAAATCTGTGTTAGTGAACACTTCTCCTTTGCCGAGATAATCCTTCCACCTCACAGGTGTGGCATATCAAGATGATTATTGCAAAGATGTGCCTTAGGCTGGCCACAATAAAAGGCCACTCTAAAATGTGCAGTTTTATCACACAGCACAATGCCACAGATGTCGCAAGTTTTGAGGAAGTGTGCAATTGGCATGCTGATTGCAGGAATGTCCACCAGAGCTGTTGCCTGTGAATTCATTTCTCTACCATAAGCAATCTCCAAAGGTGTTTCAGAGAATTTGGCAGTTTATCCAACCGGCCTCACAACCGCAGACCACGTGTAACACCAGCCCGCAGCAGCCCGCATCTTCACCTCCAAGATCGTCTGAGACCAGCTACCCGGACAGCTGCTGCAAAAATCAGTTTTCACAACCAAAGAATTTCAGCACAAACTGTCAGAAACTGTTTCAGGGAAGCTCATCTGCATGCTCATCGTCTTCATCAGTGTCTCGACCTGACTCCAGTTCATTGCCGTAACCGACTTGAGTGGGCAAATGCTCACATTTGATGGCGTCTGGCACTTTGGAGAAGTGTTCTCTTCAAGGATGAATCCCGGTTTTCACTGTACAGGGCGGGTGGCAGACAGCGTGTATGGCGTCGTGTGGATGAGCGGTTTGCTATGTTGTGGATTGAGTGGCCCATGGTGGCGGTGGGGTTATGGTATTAGCAGGCGTTTGTTATGGACAATGAACACAGGTGCATTTTATTGATGGCATTTTGAATGCACAGAGATACCGTGACGAGATCCTGAGGCCCATTGTTGTGCCATTCAGCCACAACCATCACCTCATGTTGCAGCATGATAATGTTGCAAAGGATCTATACACAATTCCTGGAAGCTGAAAACATCCCAGTTCTTGCATGGCCAGCATACTCACCGGACATGTCACTCATTGAGCATGTTTGGGATGCTCTGGATCGGCGTATACAACAGCATGTTCCAGGTACTGCCAATATCCAGCAACTTCGCACAGTCATTGAAGAGGAGTGGACCAACATTTCACAGGCCACAATCAACAACCTGATCAACTCTATGCGAAGGAGATGTGTTGCACTGCGTGAAGCAAATGGTGGTAACACAAGATACTGACTGGTTTTCAAACACCTCCCACCCCCTGGATCACCCCAATACAGTAAAACTGCACATTTTAAAGTGGCCTTTTATTGTGGCCAGCCTAAGGCACACCTGTGCAATAATCATGCTGTCTAATCATCATCTTAAAAATGCCACACCTGTGAGGTGGATGGATTATCTCGGCAAAGGAGAAGTGCTTACTGACACAGATTTAGACAGATTTGTGAACAATATTTGAGAGAAATAGGCCTTTTGTGTACATAGAAAAAGTCTTAGATCTTTGAGTTCAGCTCATGAAAAATGGGGGCCGAAACAAAAGTGTTGCATTTATAATTTTGTTCAGTGTATTTATGTATATAATGTTACAACGTAACAAAGGTATTTTTTTCATTATAACTGTCACATATTGTATGATAATTTGCACTCTATTGCTGTCTACAGTATAGTCACTAACTCTTACTATAACATCCATGGCTAATTCACACAGTTAAATTGCATTTGTACATTAATGATATGTAATGATCACAAAGAAGGAGAGAGCTCACTGGACTTTTCAACCAAATTCAAATATTTATTTATTATTTAAAATTGGTTGAGAAGTCCAGTGAGAGCTTTCCTTCGTGATCATTATTTATCCGACACTGGAGATTGCATGACCGGTTGGGTGCTGGACCTTGGATTGTGCGTGTGTGAGTTTATATATCATCCTGATGAAAGTTTGGGTTACAAACTGAAATGTCGATCTCTTATTTGAGTAAAATAATAGTTAAGTTTTACTTTCAATATCATTGGAGTCCTGGGAGTGCTATCTCTATGCTATTTGGTTATATGGATGCTGACAAGCACCTGGAAAAGACTCCATTAAGTTGGAGTGCAAGACTATTTTTTTTTGTTTGTATATATATACATACATATAAATATTCACACTACACACCCTTCTGAATTCGGAATACAATATCTACATGTTATCCATTCATGTCTGAATGTAACCCAATTATTGTAGTCCTAAAATAGCTTCATTGTTTTTTTTCATAAAATTTTATGGAATAGTTTTTGTAATTTCAAACTTTATTATACTACAGTGGATTAATGTGTTTATCAGAAAATCAGGACATTTCATAAAATGCAGTTGTTCAGTGATATACAGATATAGAGATCCAACTCGTTAAGTATATGCACTTATTTTGATTAAGTGATACCCATTTTCATGGGGTGTAAAGTGCTATTTGAGATAGCAGTTATTATTTCCTGCGTATCTGAACATACATCATATTCCCCGATTGCCTTGTTTAAAAATGTGATGTTGGTTTAAGTGTTCTTTCCATCTCTTACGGCTTCATTTTCTAGATTAACCAATGTTCTGTCTGCAAAAGTTACTTTATCCATAATAGAGACACTCCAGGAATGTTTAAATAAGTTACCATATTGCTTTGCAAATTGTTAAACTCTTTGGAGTTTTTGTTTTTTACTTTTTTGTATGCAAAAACAAGTAAAAACTTTTACATACAGACTTATGTACTAAATTGTGAATCGATGAGAGAATTGCAACTTTTAGATAAAAAGAGGCAAATTGAAAAAATAATCTCTCTGGTTTTCTAGAGTGTGCAATTCCAGGGCCAAAATACCACCCAACATTGGGAGTTATAGAATCGGGACTGGTGGGCAGGCCTTCTGGGAGGCCTCATCAGAGATGCAATACAGGACCAGACTAGACTTGGTCCTAGTGCCTGGCGCACAGACAGGCTCTCAAGAGACTGTTCCCTAAAGTGGGACACCAGGTAACAAATTTGGGTCATCAGGACAGCTGCACAGGACATTAAATATGGATTATCCCACCAAATGCAAGACAGCAGGAAGGCGTGGGACAATTCCTACAGTTCCCATATTAATAAATAATACTGTCCATTCTCCATTTTATTCCACAACATTGATCACTGAATGCACATAAAATTCATGATCAACATTTCTTCATACAAGTGAAGGAGAGTTGGTCTCGCACTTCCAGTACAGTCTTAAGAAAAATACAAATTTCCATTCATTTCTATATGACAATATTATATGAGAAACAATATATTTCTATATGAGTTTGAGTGCAGGTGTTGTCATGAAATTTCCAATTTCCAAGTAATTTTCTTGTTAGGACAGAGGGCAGATAAGAGACTAGGTGCTAATATAATCCTACAAGAACACCAAATATTTTTCAATTATAAAAAAAAAAAAATAAATTAAAAAAAAAAAACACATTTAGGTTTACATGATCAATAAAATTCATCCTGGAGTGTCTTTTTAATTTTACAAAGATGATGTCTCTGCAACAGGTAAGAACACCAGGTCTTCCAGATGTCATGGGCTTTGGTTTGTGGAAGATCATGCAAGCTGTCCTTCAAAAGTAGACGGAGGACCATAATTTAATAATCTTTTCTCTCTTAGTAGTTTTATGTCTATTTTGAATACAAGCTGTATCTAGCAGGCAGTCCGAAGATGAAAACCATAACGTGTACAGATACAAGATGAGTCATCCCAGAGGCATAACACGGATCATGCCTTCAATTTTCCAATCTTAATAGTGATGCACCACCGTAATACTGATAAATATAAAGATAATCATAGTGTATATGGACCTATGTTTCATGTCTTTTTGTTCCATCGTTAAGATTATGTGTATATCCTAAATGAGATTAATATAATTAACATATCCCAATCTTTCAGTTAAGGTTGGTCGTTAATGTACATTTTTAAATGGAGCACACAATTAATGATTATTGTGTAAGCAACATAAAGGATATCGTTGGTGGAATCAGAGAGATCCATAGGCTCTCTAAGAGCAGAAATGCCCCAATAAACGTAACCAAGCCAAGAGTTTGTATCAGTCTGCTGAATGCAGTTCATTTTTCAATGGATTGATGTTATTACTTAGAAAAGTAATGAGGTCAGAGGTCACCACTTTGTGGCTCAAGGTTCCGTGACTCTCTTTGGTGACTGCGAGATAATTTAGGAAAACGTGAAGCCACCTTTGATCGACTGCTTTTCCCAACCTGTTCTCCATTACCTTGGATGTCACTGGAAGAGAGGAAAGGGATGAGGTGTAAGATGCAATAATAAATCATAAAAACAGAAATGTCTTACAAAGCGCTTTGTTTCAAACATTAGAATATGTCTCAAGTTATATAGGTCACTATCATGTGATCATCACTGATTGTCATTACAATGTATTGCCTGCAGTGATGTTAACATGGATAACATTGACGCAGGGCTTATTGTAAGCAATGTCTTAAAAGTAAATATAAAATACGGCACCACCAGAGACATTCCATGTCTGTTTTGGGAAATTGTATGTTTGGAAACCTTGTGTGCTGCAATTTGTTTGTATTTTATTATTTTGGAAGAATAAAGCTATTAATTTTAACCCCTTAAGGACACAACTTCTGTAATAAAAGGAAATATTTCTGTCATGTGTCCTTAAGGGATTAAGCAAAGCAGGAATGATATGTCTCTAGCGATGACGTATTTTATATCTTCGTCTCAAACATATTTAGGTGAGCTAAACACTCACTCGGCTATAAGGGTAGGAGGACAATATTATATATGCAAGATGTTGCTGCATTTAATGAAGCAGGCTTAATGGTGCAGCAAAATACGTTTTTTGGTCTATTTGATTGAGGTTGGCGTGATATCATTGTAAGTCATGACATTACGTAGTGGACTTTATATAAATCACATACAATGCAGAATAAGACAAGGCATTCAAACACATCCGTTTTCTTTCCCACCATGAAGACAAAGCATGTAAAAGGGTTAAACGAGATAGAGCTCAAGGCACTAACCTTCAAAACAAGCCTTGTGCATGGTAGAGGTTTGTGTTTATTTTTTTATTTTACATGCTGCAAAGAGAGAATGAACTGCAATGACGCTCTAGTTAGTTAGTTCTAATTAAGGAGGTTTCATTAAATGATAAAGTACATTAGCAATACATCCCTGCTGGGCACTCTTAGAGTACTCAGAGCCTGATCCTTCATGAATTACTTTGTTTTTCTCCGACTGCATAACATACCAAAGCAATTGCAAGCCCATCGCTCATCCTGACGTTAGGTGGAAAAAAGCCATTATTTTTCACATATTTCAATATCCATGGTGATACAGACAACAAAATATGTTGTATTTAACCTACTGTTAGGGAAAAGAAAGAAGGCAAAATGGCTATAGATATTAATTTACTGACATAGAACAACACAGTACATTATAAGTCAGGAGTACAAAAATGAGACTGCCAACCCATGTGAATTGAAAAGAGGAAAACGTATATGTCCATCATATTTTCAATTTAATATGTTATATGCTGTAGGGCAAATCTCTTTTTCAGAGTAGTGGAAAAATAAGCATTGCTGGTCATAAAAAGGTTAATAAGCAATGAAAAATAGAGGTTTGCTGGTAATTTCCGCTAAAAGCATACCTTTCTCTGTGCCTATTTAAGTTCAAAAGCAAACGGAAGACAATTCCTAGGCACATAAAATGTAATTTAGAAAGGAACGGTCACATTTCGGTTTAAGATGACCTTTTTAGTCAATCTGCAAACTGTTGCTGGGTCCAGATAGCAGTGGAAACTAATATAAACCTACCTGCCCCCACATCATGAACACTAGGTGCTGCCTATAAAAAAATCACTTCGATACAAATGAGCTCTGAATCCCTGTACACATATTCTATTCACGGTGGAAGGAACTAGTGAGATTTTTACTACCATGATACGCACTTCCATGTTTGCGATGCAAAAATACATAGGTGTTAACATATCTGTAAAAAGAAAAACAGGTTGTGCTAAATACGGTGAGGGTAGTACTTGATGAAAAGTTGCAAAATAGGATCTAATACAAATACCAAGAGTCCCAAAGTCCTATTGGGTATTTGTATTAGATCTAATTTTGCAACTTATTATCAAGTACTACCCTCAATGTATTTGGCTCAACCTGTTTCTCTCTCTCTTTTTTTTTTACTTTATAGTATTTTTGGGTTGTTAGGGTACCCAAGTTTCAGTGTTTGCTGCCCACCAGAGTTAGCGATGTATCTATCCGCCCTATTATTAAACATATCCGTGTTGCCACAGTGTTTATTAGGATGCATATAGGGAAATTCAAACAAAAGTGTACAGATCCACTATCGTATCTCACATATAAATACTTAAATATTACAATAGATACTAAATGTTCAGAATGTCAAATATAACCCAAATATAACTTGTGTCCCTTCTAACCCCTCTTACTATATTGTGCTTCTCTCCTAAGTTACTTCCGAGTGTGTCTATTAACTACCCATTTAACCCCTTATGTGCCTCTTAACTACCTGTTTTACCCCTTGTGTGCTTCTTAACTACCCATTTTACCCCTTGTGTGCCTCTTACATCCCATTTATCCCTTATGAGCATGGCGGGTGTGGGCAAGAGGGAGGATTTAAACCTCCTTTATATTACTACCAATTATATCAATTTTTCTTAATATTGATCTGAGAAAAATACCTCTGAGCTATACCACTATACTATAAATATATATCTTGTGGCTTTTTTAAGTACATCTACAAGCTGCAGCTGTGGATCATGGAACTTAATTCACCCAAATGAAAACCCGATCGGAAAATAACAAATTTCACCTGGACCAAACAGTCTCAAGTATGACACCTGGTTCAGATGAGCCATTTATGTTCGCCGGGATGCATTCGGACGAACAGAAATGTTCTGCCGTGAAATAGTCTAGTGGACAATATTAAATAATTTGGATATAAATGGAGCACAGTGGGGAAAATTGTTTTTTTTTGTTTACCTTTTTTGTGTGCACAATGCTCACCTACTAAATATTTGGTTTACTGTACTTTGTTAAAGATAGATACGTCAAATAAAATAAAGAGGTCTACAGAAAACATCAACCTGGACAAAAAGTGGTGAATTTAAATAATTGAACATTTTGATAAGTTCAGTTTGAAAAAAAGAAAAAACAATAAAAAAAAAAGCAATTTATAGTCATGAGTAAAAATGAGTATGGCCTGAATACATGACAGCCAATAAAACTAAAATGATCAGTCTTTGTGATAAGACTTGATAGTTTTGCATCTAATAAATATGTATGCAGGGTTTAACATATCATCCTATTATAGTTATAAAGAGTTATAGTAAGGAATGTCATGGTATTAAACAAGACTCATTGACTTCTGGTGGAAATGCGTTGCATTGTATTACTACCAATCTAATAATACATGCAGATTCACCATTGCACATTCAAAAGGGAGAATTACGAGTGGGTTATGTATAAACGTGGCAAGCATTAAATGAAGAGTCATTTGCCTAAATATTAGAATTTCAGCTCTCTAAACAATGGCTTGTTAGGCTAAACAGCCATGAAATATGGCAAGGGATCATAGATTCTGCTTGATGAATAAATCTTCCCATCAGCTTCCTACAGAGGTACGGCAGGAATTATCCATAGGAAAGGTTTGTCTTACCTTTAGAAGTTGATTATTTTTGCAACACAGTTGTCTTCTTACTTCCCCTCTTTGTTGCAGTATGCGAAAGGTTTAGTCAAGCAGTTGCTAGTAGGTTGCAAGCTTTCAGCCAATCACTGGCCACCCATTGAGAGAAATAGTATGTGCAATTTTTCTCAAATATTTCCCTCATACTGTGGCCCAAAGATGAAGGAAGCCAGGGGCAGCTGTGTTGGGTGCTGGAGGACCTACTTCAAGGTTAAACCATTGTAACAATGTTTGACCCCTGAAGGTAAAATTGGCCCCATAAAAACTTTAATGGATTGAAGTTATGTGGGTGTGACTGGGAGTGTTCCTTTGGAGGGACTCTATAGGCACCCAGACCAAATCATTGAGATGACATGGTCTGGGTGCCCTCTCCTCCCAGTTTTAACCCTGCAGCTGAAAAACATTAGTACTCCCAACACTATAATGTTCGTATAAGGTTGTGGCTAGAAAGAGCTTTACAGGCAACTTACGTGACTGGCACTGAATGAGGTTATGGAAAGCACCAGTCCATAAAGATACCAATCCAAGCAAAGGACAAAACACACAAATCATATGTTGTGAGCAGCACTTTGTCCATCTGTGTGTGGAAGGGGCAATATTCCTTTTAATACAAACACTAAATACCTATCACAATAATAATCTCTCGCTGGGGATGGTCTCCTTTGTAGCATTTGTTTCTATCAGTAAAGAAGTTAATAGCACTGTATTCACTTGAACTCTTATCATTAGCCTGTGTTCTCTTTCCTTGCAGATTTAAAATGATACTCTTTAACGGCACAATATATTTTATATGAATGCCCGGGAAACGCAGAGCCCATGCTGTGAAATGGCTTCTATTTCAAGTAATTGTTGTTTTTGATTTCTAAGAATTTCTTTTCAGATGTATAGTCCAGAATACAAATCTATGCAAATTGGTTTTCTCGTATTTTTTTTTTTTTTCTACAAGTAGTTAATCTTCCCAGTGCATTTTAACTCTCATTTTATCTGTTCACATATACAATGTGATGTGTAGTAGACTCATTTTAGGGCTTTGCTAGGGTATTAGAAACAGTGATTGCAAGTTTAGCCAAACTGCACAGCTGTAGATGTAGCATATAGCTATAGCTTTTACATTGTACACGCCGATTGGTTTTACACACTGCTCAATTAAATGTTTTGTTTGCATTTTGTAGTTTAAAGCTTTACACGTATTTCCCAACAGATTCATTGAATGATAGATAAATCATTTCAATAAAGACATGAAAAGGAGCAACGTGTTTGTGTTATTTTATATCATACAGTTTGTTTGCTCAAACTTAAACATGCATTGTATGCCCACTTAGGGGCCTAGAAGATGCCTTATATGTGAAGATTTTAATAATGAATATAAACTAAAAATAAAACGATTCAGAGCTAACAGAACAATGAGGCTGAACATAACATAGATAATAAATAATAATAATTGGTAAGACGTGTTAGCTATATGTCTTGTTTAGCTACTGTTGAGAGCATGACAAGCAGGAAGACAGCCACTAGAGGCTGGATTAACCCTGCAATGTAAACTTGGCAGTTTCTCTGAAACTGCTATGATTAGATCTGAAGGGTTAAAACCTGGGGGACCTGGCACCCAGACCACTTCATTGAGCTGAAGTGGTCTGGGTGACTATAGTGGTCCATTAATACACAGACACACAACAGGAGAAATTTTAGGTAAGACCCTGGGTTACTAAAAAAGAGTAACCCTGGGTTATTAAAAGGGAAATACCTTTCTATAGTTGCTTTTCGCCAAGTCTTCAGTGAGGCTGAAACCCACATATACGTATACGAAAAGTTCTATAGCGATATATTAAATAAAAGGACTGTACAAAAACATGCATAAACCTATAGGATGAAACTTGGGAATCAGGTTCCCATATAGAAATGGCAAGGTTTTTTTGCGGGAAGTATGAAATCTAGAATTCACAGCATACATCTTTGAGACAAAAGGTATTTTGGATAGCAGAAATAGAAATGTATGAAAGATTGAACTTCATAGTTGTGTGTCTTCTGTTATCTTACACAGAACGTGGTAAGCTTTATCAAAGTGTTCCGTTCTAAAAAAGTGGTCTAAAGTACTGAATTTGGGGCAATCACCATGGAAACCAGAAAATACACTAGTTTCCTCTGATATAATTTTGTGGCTTTGTTATAGTAAAAGAAAACTTAAGAGTGAGAATAGATTTTTTTTTTTTCACTTTTCACTTTTCACTAGACAGGGACAAAAGAAAAGCCATTGTAACCTTTTATCTTCTCATTATTTCTATGGAATGGTGTTGCTATTATTTACTTTCTATTGTGGTTGCATGGCCTTCATGAATGTCTTTTATGGCATTTTTTTTTTTTTGTCAATCACTTTTTAATTGAGGCATTTAAAAAAAAAAAAAAGCAGATGGTGGGAGCAAGCATTTCTTCAGAGATAATCAATTGTGGTTCGCTTTTGGCTGCTTCATCCTCGGCATGGAATGGAAGTAGACGTCTAGCAGAGGCTTGCTGCGCAGCTGGATCTGCCAGTGATGGAGTCACTGGAGTGTGTGTAATCAGGCAGCCTCTGCAAGGTAAGTTGAGTTTGGTGTTCCATAAGTCTCCTCCAGAAGTTCTTGAATAGCTTTTCAAGCCTAGTAGAGAAGTCCGCTCGCTTCCCAACAGGGCCTGACAGGCACATGGCACCTGCCATTTTGAGTAACACAAGGTAATGCTCCAGCCCCAACATGCAGCCGCCAGTGTTAAGGACCTCCAAAGTGTGATCCTGGTCCAGAGGGGGAGGGAAAGGGTGCACACAGATTTTGGTATAGAGACCCAGGGTGCCTCAGGCCGCTGCGTTGCCTAGTCGGCACTCAAGATTACTCCAGGATGACCAAATGTGCCGGTGTCTGCCATTTTCCGATAGTCCAGCTTGTTCCAGAACAAGATGTGATACAGTATAGTGCATTTTGGGATGAAAGGCACCCATAGGCACCCTGGGTCTCTATACCAAAATCTGTGTGCACCCTTTCCCTCCCCCTCTGGACCAGGATCACACTTTGGAGGTCCTTAACACTGGCGGCTGCATGTTGGGGCTGGAGCATTACCTTGTGTTACTCAAAATGGCAGGTGCCATGTGCCTGTCAGGCCCTGTTGGGAAGCGAGCGGACTTCTCTACTAGGCTTGAAAAGGGGTTTCATGGCATTCTAAATATTTCTTGCTCCCCTGGGGGTGCCTGCTACATCACTATTTGGGAGAGTTGGGCTGCAAAGTAATATAATAATAAATTGTAGCGAAGCTGCAATATTAAATCCCAATATCTCCGCTGGTAGAATAAAGTAATCCAAGAAAAGCTCTGAATGAAGGCAATAACCCAAATCTCCCACTAACCGGATGAAACACAGTGCTGGAAGTCAACTGAGGTTTTTATTCACAGGTCACAGTATTTATGTGGTCCCCCATGCAAGGGGTTTCCTGAGTGACTTTACAGGGGTTTTACAGCAGGGGACTACATGGGGAACTGAACATACAGGACACTTTTTACACCATGCACTGCTGTACGAGAGGGATACTCCCATAAGAATATCCTGTTAAGTGGATTATCCCTCTGTACCGGTCTTTTTACTTAAAAATATATAACTTGCACGTTATTCGTGCTATTTGACCGAATGACATATAGGTAGATAGCTGGGATCTGAGCGCATACTTCGGGAAACTACCGCTCAGATCCCAGCACAATTAGCCGAATGCCACACGAAATACACTTTAATATGAACTCATCAGAAAATACACGAATGCACAGTTTGAAGGAAAGTACCGAAAGACCGGTGTTCCCGAACGGTCTTTGTGTCCAGAGGTGTTCGTGCCGTCGATTCGCCAATTTTAGTTCCAGGCACTCGATGACCAAACACCGCTGGGCTAAAAGTGAATCCAAGATGGCCGCCACCGCGTGGTCGGTATCCGAATGGCGGCCACCCCGCGAATCAATTAACTGAGGAACGACACATTGTTGCAATCTGTTAATGGGAGCCACACGACCTCCTGTGTGTGGTCTCCCATTCGGTACTTAGTTTGTTTCACGAACAGTGTTGAAAGTCACTGTTCGTGAAACTACCATAGGAATGCTAGCGGCTTTTGCGCCTATTGCATACGAATGCCCTCTATCACCTCTTTAAGCGAACAACATAAAACATAAAAATATTCTACAGAAACCACCAACTAATCCCATTTCCAGATTTGCCCTGCAATACACCACTCAACACTCACGACTACTTCCGATACCTGCAAATTAGAAACTTTCTAGACAATACCACCTACAAACAAGCAGGACAAACAACACCGGCAGCGTTCTACACCTGATAATACACTGACATATGTCTCGGCTTGGGAGAGGGACCTGGATCCACCTGACGACCCTACAGTGTGGAGGGACATTTGGGAAGTCACGGTGACAGTTACTATCTGCGTCAACCATAAAGAGCAGGCTTATAAAACACAGGTGGTACCTCACACCTCTCCGATTGAAACAAATGGGAATGTCCACGAGTGATCACTGTTGGAAGGGCTGCGGCCAAAAAGGCACATGCTACCATATATGGTGGGAATGCTAATGAATAGCCCTGATCTGGATGGAAATCACTAACTTAGCTTCCAAAATTTTACACACAAACGTACAAAAAGACCCCTGGACATGGTTGCTATCCAAACCCCTAAAAGACACACCCCGAGCAAATAATGGCATTATACCAGAAGGGAAATAGCATCTCACCGGGGAGCAGCAACAGTCCCCACTATAGGAGACATTAAACGGAAAATAGAGGAAACCAGGAAAATGGATACCCTTTCTCAATGGCGATCCATGGGGCCCTGTTGCAACACATGGCGGTGGGCACCCGGTCGCAGGGTGGCTGAGCCCCCTGGAGTGACGTGCTCATTCGCAGTTACAACCCCTGCATATGTGCCACTGTACACACACATATACATACATACAGGCACATACATACACACACACACAGAGAGACACACAAATACATACAAACACACATATACGCACACACACAGACATAATCACATACAAAGAAACATTCATACAGACACACCACTGGAGTGGTGGCTCAGCCTGATGGGAGTCAGAGTTCCCACTCTGACTCCCTCCTCTCCTTCTCCCGCGCGTCTCTCACTTCCTCCCAGCTGTGATGTCAAAGGGGGCCCGGTAGTGCTGTTAAAGCGCCGCATCGCTGACTGGGCCCCCTGGAAATCCATAGCCATCAGGTGGCCCTAAGAGCATTGGCCACTTGATAGGCCCCTTAATGTGCGGCCCCAGCAGTTATACCGCGCAGGCCAGGGCCGCAAAACATGGCGGCGGGCCCTCGGTCGCAGGGCAGCCGGGCACCATAGAGTGAAGGGCCCGGTCGCAACTGCGACCCCTGTGACCAGAGTATGTACACCACTGCCCTTTCTGCCTTACTACATGACATGACTAAACACTGTGATAGAATATGGAACCCCTGGTTGTTCGAGTTCCCAATCTCCACTTAAAGCCTAGGCCCGGAAAGGGTAGTGGTGAAAACACCACACACAAACCTACTTAACCACAATTTGACAACATCCTCTAAGCTCACAACCTCAATACTGACAACTCTCTAATACATCCCCCCCCCCCTCCCCAACACCTGTACCTCCCCACCTAGACTTTTCCTACCCTGGAATGAAGGTACACCACCTAACCAATATATAGGACAGACACAAACTTCGGGGACTATAGTGACAATGAGATGCAAGACTCTACAGAGCACTCCTGGGTGGAGCCCCATCTAACACATTACCAGGCCAGCAGAGGAATACACTGCCCACCGTACTACAGGCCATGTACTCATGCACAAACAGAACAAAGAACTAAGCACAATGTGACATGAAAGACCAGTTACCAGGCCCCAATGCCGTACACCAAGCAACAACCTCTTATACCAGGCGAATGGAAACTGTCATACAAACTCCTACAAGGGGACGCTACGCTTTCAAAGCAGTCACCATTAATGGCTATATTCAATATGCACTAACCAAATGCAGACAAACCAACCAGCTGCCTGTATCTGGGCAGCTCGCATTCATCCAACCCCAACCCCGTATAAAAGTAGTTCACAGGCAATTCAAACGTATACAAACCACGCCACTGCATCAAATTACACTATACATTGTTACCTTGATATGAATATGCTCTGTTTGTTCATCCCACTTTATGCGATAACTTGTTATCTTTTTACCTTTCTCCTGTTATGGTGCACACACACCAAATGTATGTACTCACCTTGAAAACTAAAAAAATAAAGAATAAAAAAAAAAAAAAAATCACTTTCCATGGGGGACTTCTATTGTCAAAGTCTAGAAGAATCTGTGAGTGCAAGTGGCTTTTTAATTTCTAATGATATGATGAATTCTGTGGTTTGACAGATAGTATTGAACAACTGAGCAAAGTGACAACCCAGTGCGATGTTGTCAACAGAGACTGTCCCTTACTCTAGCGTTTAAAGATCACTCCATGACTCTCATACTGCTACATGCAGCATTTAAACATAATTAAATGGACCACACACTGCTACAATGGCTGACATGTCTAGGAAATTCTAATATACAGTCATATATATGATCAGATAACTGGAGAAGCTACATGACCATATAAAATTACCAATCCTTGTCTTGCAAACCAGTTGTCCTGAGTGATAGCTCTAGCCTAGCAGGTAATGAAAAGTAAATTACCCATAATTGGTGCAAATAATATTTTTGTATACTCTTAACTATAAGTAATAAAGGAAATCAGCTTTTAGTCATTCTGGCTTAATATAGCATTTAATGTAACTCCTACAAATGATAGAGTACACCTACATCCTATATAGCATAGAGCATCCTTAACCTGTGCTTGCTTTGGCTAGGCAGAAGGTTTTGTAACGGGTGTCTAGAGGAGAAATCCATCATAATGAGCAAAATAAACTGGCAAACTAATGCTACCACTATAAACAAGGGTCCATAGATGCAGTCTACTGTTCACCTCCAGGGAGAGAAGAATTGGGGATACCATTGCACCATACGTTTGTCTAGGTGTCATTATCTAAAAGAGGCTCCACTAATGAATGGTTTTGAGAACCAGCCAGATTGGGGTAGAGTATGTTCTCTAGTCTCTGCAACTAGGGAGATGGTACACAAAGACATTATAGATATATGTAAGCAGAGCCATTATAACCAAGTGGTTTTCAATAAATATTAATTTTATATGTCTATATTAAACATTTGGAGCTGCCAATCATAGTCTTTGGTTGTGTTATTTACAGGAACCAGGAGACAATTCTATATGACACAGTGATCTATAAAGCAATACTTTATATACTGAATTCTGTATTAACAACAAATTGTTTTGGTTCACAATCTTACTCTGCTGGCACAGAGACTTTTTTGTGTTACCATTGGTTGCAAAGGCTGGTAAATTGTAAAGACAACTTTTTGCAAGGACTGTTATTATAAAGAAGTTTCAGTAGCTGTGTTTGAAGGGACACCCAGGATCCCAAACCACTTCAGCTAGCAGAAATGGTTTATGTGTGGTGATTGTCTTTTACTCATTTTAGAAAAAAGTGCAGAATTCAATGGAAATTGGCACTTTTATAAATAAACCTTGTTACACCCAGACACTAAAAAAGACCTTTGCCAAACTACAAGGGTGGCTGAGGGCACACAGTAAAGCTTATAAATATTCATCTTCATTAAAAGTTATTTTCCTGGCAGCTCCCTATAGTCCCTTCCTCATTTGCCCCTCCCCCCTCCCGTCACTTACCTAAGTCCAACGTCTGCCAGTGGTGGAGACCTAATGCGCATGCGCGGCAATGGCCACGCCGGCAGTAAGGCTTCCCCCATAGGAAAGAATGTATAATGCTTTCCTGTGGGGTTTTAAATGCTGCTGGATGTCCTCATGCATAGCCAAAAGTCGCCTATTGACCCTGAAGACCCTCTAGTGGCTGTCTGGAAAAAAAAAATTCACATACTGACAACAACTTACAGGTAGTGCTGTTCCCATAAAAAGAATATTAGGTGACAATAACCAGAATGTTCACAGTCGTGAAAAATCTGAAAATCTTGGGTTCATATTGTTCCCTGTTGGAGGTTCTAATGTGTTGAAAACAACCCTGCCTTGAGATTAACGGAAAGAAAAAAGAAATGTCCACCAGGGAGAAAGGTATACACTGTAGGTGAGTAATAGATGTATGTTCAGCCCACCATCGGGGGGAGGGGGGTGGGGGTGAGGATACTATAATAGAATAATATACACAGTATATAGGTATAAATTATGAATCTGTACCATAAAGTACCAGCTGACTAGCAAGTACTACAAGCAACTGAGCATGGAGAAAAGCTATCAGGGAGCCAGACTTCATAAACTGTGTATCTAGAGGGGAAATAACCTCAAAAGACTAAATTGATAGAGACCCTGCGACAACCTCCACACACATTAAATAGTCTTATGTGCCCACTTATATGTAGAGAGTAAATAGTTGAAAGTGTCATGACAGACCACAGTAAAATTAATAATACTGGATAAAACTGTACTTCTAACACTATGGCGTCCCTCTGCTTCTGTGGCCCACCACCAGTCACCATCACGGCAGTCCTAAAACATAATGCGCAAGCATGGTAAGCACAAAGTTTGCATTAGGCCTTGTCCATATTGAAGCACTGAACCAATGCTTTCCTATAGAGATTTTCAAAATGCTGGCTGTCCTCATGCAAAGCGAGAGGACATCTAGCATCGTTTCACAGAGTTATACTCCGTAAACCTGCTGGATGCGCCTCTATTGGCTGTCTGGGAGAAATTGCAATTTCTGTAAAATAATTTTTTGTTGAGATGAAGTGTTCTGGGTTCACACAGTGTCTCTTTAATTGCTACCCCTAGTAAAATTAAAAATATCTTCGTCAGGGTTTACAGCCCCTGGATGTCAACCGGTTCTGTAACTTCCTGGTTGTTTAGCTCAGTAGAGCTATACTCAAAAGGCAGCGATTACTTAAAGCACCTGCCTTGCAAAGACTTCTCACTGTGCGGCATTGTGAAGTCTGTAAAGCTACAGAAAATAAGGGATGGGTTAGATGGGGGGCGTTTGCAAAGGCTTCAGACATGAGAACTGCAACTTTTGCAAGCTATTTTTCTACATACTGCCAATGAAAGAAAATGCATAATTAATGGCATGTGTGTTTTCTTTGTGGGTATGTACTAAAAATATTTTTTTTAATTATTATTTAAGCAGAAGAGTGTTCCTTATAGAAAAAAAATCTGTCTTCTCTAATTAATTTAATTTTACATTTTTGTGTTTTTGTCCGCCTTTTTTGAGTCTTTTTATCCAGTTTCTTCACAGTTGCCATTTTGTTCTTGTATATTTTTCTATTCTGAAACATGCATTTCACCGTTCTCAAGGGTTGCAACACATCCTGGTTGTTAGGACAACCCTTTTGGGAAGTATTAGCAAGTATTAGACATTAACATGAGCAATGCCTTGTCTTGCAGCCAGGGCTGTCTGCTTTGCCAAAGGCCTTGGAATTTTCAAAGCTTCAGAATAGAAATTTTTTTCTCTGAGCTAGGCAGTTTTACTTCTGTATATGCCAAATTCCACTTCAGCACCATGGACAGGGACATATTTAGCTAGTTGGAACACAACAAATGATGAGACAGCTGCTGTGTGGCTCTACTGAGCTTGTTTTATGCAGTTGTGGATTAACACAGCTCCGGAATTACTAGTACAGACAACCATTGCTTAAAAACATACTAGTATACAAGAGTCTGTGGATTAATAAATGCACTAAGCTTTCAACAAGCTTTAAGGGCTACTCCAGCCACAATGGCCACTTGATTTTATGTACCATTTTACTTCTGATACTGTACTCGCTTTGAAAAGCCATATCTATTGTATGGTGAATATTATGTCTTATTCTCAATAAAATGTTATTGGGACACAAATATTTTAAACAAGCAGATATATCATTCTGTACCCAAACTTATGTGAAGAACAAATCTATCATAAATGACATAAACTTTACAAACCTTGTAAAACAATATTTATAAAGGACTTCTGTGTTACCCTTACACACTTGGAGCTCAATATGCATCACAATGCATACATTTTATAATTGCTACTCAAAACTAAGCAGTTTGTAACGTGCGCGTGTGTGTGTGTGAGTGTTTGTGTTAAATGCAAAAAAAACAAATGGACGTCTAATGATTGTCCAAAGCTAGTTTGTCTCTATACAAACTTTATCAATAAAATACAATACAAAAACAAATATAAGAAAAACAGAAATTAAACATGATGCTTAGCTTTTAGAGCTCCTCTCAATCAAGAGCTGCTATCAGGGAGTGTGACTCATCAATCTCAGCAGGGTACCTGAAAATGCAGTACTTACATTAAAATGCCTGCAGGTACATACTATACATACCAGAACAACTACATTAAGTTGTTGTTGTTGTGGTGACTATAGTTTCCCTCTAAAGGAATGCATTCCTAACACCGTGTTACTCATCCCCTACTGGGAAAACCTCTCGAGAGCTTGCCTTTTAAGTATTAGGTAAGTCCAATAAAAAAGGTATCACTGCATACAGCAATGGTATGTTGGCATTATATATATATATATATATATATATATATATATATATATATATATATATATATATGGGACTCTATATAATGTTATACTTTGTTAAATAATTAAGGCAAAGGATGTCTATTAACTGACATGCAGAGCAGGTAATCTAACTTTCTTTTCACTTCATACAATACTTCCTTTTCATCTGAGTAGCTTTGAACATGACTGTAATTGTGTACCCATTTAAGTTCATTGTGGAGAAGAGGTTATTATTCACACGATTTTAACCCAATGATTAAACATGTGTATTTAATACTGGTAATTAAGATATATATTCTTATATGACCAATCACCCCATCCAAAATCACTCCATGAATATAACTTTCAGATAAAACGTGACAGTATGCTTTGTACAGTGATTATAACTTATACAGATTATCCACCTCTTCTATACGATTATACGAGCTATTATAAAGTAAGATGGGTTTGCTTTAGATTTTCTTATAGACTAGATGGTGTCTCCTCTGTTAAATAAATAAAATTACCCCTCCGTCACTGAGCTATTCTTCTTAAAATATATTAAACATAAAGCGATCACAAATAAACAAAAGGGACATTTAGACATTCACGTTCTAGCAGACCATACACTGTGTAATATTACTGCAGTAGAATAAACCAGACAGATTATACAGGAAGACTTATCACAAATAGACAAACTTATTTACCAGAAATACTGATATATTTGCGAATGCCAAACAGAACACTTTCTAGTTAACAAATATACTGATCACTTGCAGTGTAGTACAACTCCATTGTGTCAATTATTTTGACCCTTAAATAATCTACAGCAGGGGTGCCCAAAAGGTAGATCCCCAGATTTTTAAAAACTACATATTCCAGGATGCTTTGTCATTCTAAAGGCATGCAAAGCATCATGGGAGTTGTAGTTCTACAACATCTGGGGATCTAATGTTTGTGCACCCCTGATCTACAGCATCGACATGCTCGGAACGGGACTTGTCTCAACCCATGATTCCGTCTAATAAGAAAATAAAACGTCAGGGTATCAAACAGATGTTTTTAAGATATCCCAGCAGTCAGTACGTGCATAAACAGTCAATCTATTCGGAGATTGTAGTACATATAATGAAATGGTAGCCTTGTCAGAAAGTTTGTATGCAATTTACTCTAATCGAAACCTATAGGCTGTCTATTGATACATATCAGTTACCATGTTGATACAGGTCCTATATTTTAATTCAGGTATAATATACACCCCATAGCGATCCTGATATCTACATCGTTTTACAATTCTAAGATGTTGGAAACCGGAGTTTAGATTTTAAATTCAGATACTTGAGATGTAAACCTATATCTAAACGAAAAAAGTCCTGCAAGAACTGAACTGTGCTCTCATATGTGAAAGTATAAATTTAACAAACTAAACTTTGGGAAATACAATTAAAAGCATTATGTATAAAATCAATACATATTCTCGGCTGCTTTTGAAGTAGATTTAATTCCAACATTCTCCATAAAGCTATTGCTAGGTATTATTTGTTTGCTACTCTAGGGGGTTAAGAGATCAGATTATGCAATTTCTTGCTAATTTAGTGAAAGTTACATTTATGGATTTCACTCTACGGCAATTATATTAGGGACATTTTTTTGTGTGATGCAGTGTTTTGATTGTAATTGGCAGCCTGCAGGTAGAAGCTTTGAGTTTTGTTAAAGAAACAGCTGCTGCCAACAGAAAGGATTTACAGAGACAGCAAACAGATGTCTTTGTTTAAAACAGTGCAGTCAAGAAATGCAATGGAAAATCAGCTAAATTTTAAAACCAAGCCATCCTACCATCCTATATACAGAATATTAAAAAAAAGGATATATTTGGAAATATAGCCTTTTATCATGTCATATATCGCTCTGCTTAGAATGAAAGTCTTTTGTATGTCCAAGATTATTCTACAAACGCTGTGATTGTTTTCTATAAACCTGTGACCATTTTCGGTCCTATGTCGGAATATATCTGCCAAAATATTTTACCTCTTACAGTCCAATGTCAGATTTTTCCTGGAGAGGACCGCCAACCCTCCATGCGACGCGCATAAGCTGGGAGGTCCCGGCACGGAGGATCAGTGACACTCTCCATGGAGAATCCGACATTGGACCACAAGAGGTAAAATGTTTTGCCAGATATATTCCAAGATAGGACCGCAAAGTGTTAAGGTTAGCGGAACAGTTGATGCTATGGAATGCCCATTCATACATTGTGTATGCATGCCTGATCTGCTTTAACCCTGCAAACTGCCTTGTGTTTTAATTATTCATTGCTGGACATCTGGACATTCATTTCTAACCCCTTAAGGACACAACTTCAGGAATAAAAGGGAATCATGTGTCCTTAAGGAGTTAAATTTACATATCTTACATGGGGAAAAGATTGGTGACGTCTATGGGCGATGACCACACTTTGTATTAATTATGCATTTTACAAAAGCAGTGCTTTATTCATTGTCAAAATGCATGCCGAGCAGAATGCAAGATTGATAGTCATAACATATCACCAAGCCTTTGTCCTTACCACCAAAAAGAAAGGGTGTATAGTCATATTTCACGTCCTTAGCATGGCCCTGATTCCCTTCTGTCACTTATTTCGAAACAGCTGTCTGATACACAGAAACAATAGGGTGATTTATTCAGGTAAAATTAAGGGGATTCTGGCACAAAGTGCTAAATAGATAATAGTTGACAACAATAATAAAATGGCATTGTTTCATTAGAACACAGAATAGTTTCCTTGTTCCAAAATTGTTCTGATTATGCTTTTATTATCACAGCATAATAATGTGGCATTTCCCAATGATTTTCCAAGCGATCTGTTGTCACCGACGTCCTTTACCTGACGACTTTTCACTTAAATAAACTTTAATAAATTATATATTTATTATTAGACATACTCCTTTTTGCCTTTAGAATACTGGGCTCTCTGTAAACAGAAAACACATAAGAGCTGCCATAAAATATACCATTAATTCAGCACCAAGACAAACTCTTCACTGCAGTCCCTTTCTCCTTTTGTGACGTCATCAATTGTTACGACTTTTGTCCAATCAGATTAATCAGAACCATTGAGGTCAATTGCCACGATTTGCAAATCGAAGACCTCAGAGCAGCATCAAGAGTCAGGATACTTTATATTCTCCTATTACATGGATGTTCTAAATCCACTAGAAAGCATGGTCATCGTAACATGTAAACAGTGCCCTGTCTCAAAAACCATCCTGTTTTCATCATTTCCAAGGTTGTATCTTTATTAAAATGAAGTGATTTTGGAGCTTGCACTATCATATTAAAGGGTGAGTCTAGACACCAAAACTACTTTAGCTTAATAAAGTGGTTTTGGTGCATACATGATGTACTTGATGTCCCACTGCTCAATTATCAGCTGTAAGGAGGTAAACCAGTTTGTTTATGCAGCCATGGCCACACAGCCTCTGACTATGACTCACACAGCCTCGCTAAACACTTTGTGAAAATACATTTTCATTTTGGATCTTAGCAGAGTGGGTTCACTTTAGACCTTATTATCTCCTCTTTTAATTGCCTATTAGTGCATATAATAGAGTATACAATCTAGTAATTATTTGTTATATATACCTATCAACAGAAAGAGTATTATACTATTGACCTGTTTTTTTACATCAGGCAGCTGCTTTGAGAATCTATTGCCTGATGTAAAAAGAAGACAAAACACTAGTATCCGGCTGTCCCTCCAATACCTGTAGAGATCTATGACTAATAAACCCCACATCATGGCCTTCAGCCCCCAAAACCCACCTATGCCCAGTATGACAAAGGAAGCCATTGCTGGGCAAAGTAATGTGGAATAGCATTAGACGCATAACTTGCACAAGAGGTAGAGTAGGAATTTTGGAGACTTTGGAAGTAACAAATGCATAATTTTCTTTTCATTTAACGGTCTTATTCAAGTGAATGAAACTATGCATTTTTTAACCTAGACTTTCCCTTTAACAGGTAATATTCCAGCACTCTCAGCCCCTACCAGGGGATACAAAGCTGTGACAGTGGAGACGGCCAGGGAATGGAAAGACTACATAGACACTGGATACATTCAGACTGATGACATGTACAGTGAGGAAAAATAGCATTTGATCCCCTGCTGATTTTGAACGTTTGCCCACTGACAAAGAAACAATCAGTCTATAATTTTAATGGTAGGTGCATTTTAACAGTGAGAAACAGAATAACAAAAAGAAATCCAGAAAAACATGTCAAAAAAGTTATAAATTGATTTCGAAGTCAATGAGTGAAATAAGTATTTGACCCCCATTGACCTAGTATTTGGTGGCAAAACCCTTGTTGGAATCACAGAGGTCAGACTTTTTTTGTATTTGGCCACCAGGTTTGCACACATCTAAGAAGGGATTTTGTCCCACTCCTCTTTGCAGATCCTCTCAAAGTCATTAAGGTTTCTAGGCTGACGTTTGCCAACTCGAACCTTCAGTTCCCTCCACAGGTGACCTATGGGATTAAGTTCTGGAGACTGGCTAGGGCCACTCCAGGACCTTGATGTGCTTCTTTTTGAGCCACTCCTTTGTTGCCTTGGCTATGTGTTTTGGGTCATTGTCATGCTGGAATACCCATCCACAACCTATTTTCAATGCCCTGGCTGAGGGAAGGAGGTTCTCACCCAAGATTTGACAGTACATGGCTCCCGGCCATTGTCCATTTGATGCGGTGTAGTTGTCCTACCCATTAGCAGAAAAACACCCCCCAAAGCATAATGTTTCCACTTCCATGTTTGATGGTGGGGATGGTGTTCTTGGGGTCATAGGCAGCATTCCTCCTCCTCCAAACATGGCGAGTTGAGTTGATGCCAAAGAGCTTGATTTTTAGATCATCTGACCACAACACCTTCACCCAGTTCTCCTCTGAATTATTCAGATGTTCATTGGCAAACTTCAGACGGGCCTGTACATGTGCTTTCTTGAACAGGGGGACCTTGCAGGCGCTGCAGGATTTCAGTCCTTCACAGCGTAGTGTGCTATCAATTGTTTTCTTGGTGACTATGGACCCAGCTGCCTTGAGATCATTAACAAGATCCTCCCGTGTAGTTCTGTGCTGATTCCTCACTATCATTGAAACTCCACGAGGTGAGATCTTGCATGGAGCACCAGACCGAAGGAGACTGACTGTTATTTTGTGTTTAATCCATTTGCAAATAACCCCACCAACTGTTGTCACCTTCTCACCAAGCTGCTTGGCGATGGTCTTGTAGCCCATTCCAGCCTTGTGTCCAATCTTGTCCCTGACATCCTTGGACAGATCTTTGGTCTTGGCCACCGTGGAGAGTTTGGAATCTGATTGATTGATTGCTTCTGTGGACAGGTGTCTTTTATACAGGTAACAAGTTGAACCCTTTTAGAGAGTGCTCCTAATCTCAGCTTGCTACCTGTATAAAAGACACATGGGAGCCAGAAATCTTGCTGATTGATAGGGAATCAAATATTTATTTCACTCATTGAAATGCAAATCAATGTATAACTTTTTTGACATGCGTTTTTCTAGATTATTTTTTTTTGTTATTCTGTCTTGCACTGTTAAAATACACCTACCATTAAAATTATAGACTGATAATTTCTTTGTCAGTTGGCAAATGATCAAAATCAGCAGGTGATCAAATACTTTTTTCCCCTACTGTATGCAACTGGATTCAGAAAAAGCCAAAACACTAAATCAACCGTATAGTTACTTTGTCCTTAAAAGGACTCTTCAGTGCCAGAAAAATAAACCGTTTTCCTGGCACTGCAGGTCCCCTCTCCCTCCCACCCCCATCCCATGTTACTGAAGGGGTTAAAACCCCTTCAGTGACTTACCTGTATCCAACGTCGATGTCCCTCGGCGCTGGTTCAGGGTCCGCCTGACCTATTGCGCACCTATTGCGCATGCGTGGCCGGCGTCGGGGGAGACCTAATGCGCATTAGACCTCTCTATAGGAAAGCATTGAAAATGATTTCAATGCTTTCCATTGGGGATTTCAGCAACGCTGGAGGTCCTCACATAGCATGAGGACGTCCAGCGACACTATAGCACTGAAAATCTGTGCTATAAACCCGGAAGTGCCCTCTAGTAGCTGTCTAGTAGACAGCCACTAGAGGAGGAGTTAACCCTGCAAGGTAAATACTGCCGTTTATGAAAGTTGGCACCCAGACCACTCCAATGGGCAGAAGTGGTCTGGGTGCCTGGAGTGTCCCTTTAACATTTCATGGCCCAGGTTTGAGTTATAAGATTATTCTCAATAGAACTACTTATGTAAGTGTAATTGTACACTTACATACGTTAGGTAATAAAGCTATATCACATTTCCACCTCATTATCACACTTTATATATGGATAACTGTATGCACACGTGTTACATTTATATTTCACCTTCTCTGTCAATGCAATTTATCCAGCAGCTTACATACTAGAAAATGTATTATAGTTTGAAAACAAAATATACTGAATATGTGCATTTTAGAATGCTCTCCTTATGATGGTCCAAACTTAAACCTCCATGTTTAACTAGTATTCCACAATGTATTTGTTTGTCTTTACTAACTTCACAACTGGTCAATAATTATGGTGATTTCAATGTAAACTCAGATTAAACAAACTTTTCAAAGTAACGTTATGGAAACAAATGAATGGCCAGAATTGGTAAAGAGGAAAATAGTTATTGTAAACAATATGGGGAATTTTAAATGTGAGTTTACTTTCTTTTCTAATAGTTCTACTTATTATATAGTAGCTCATATATAGTATGCATGTTAAAAAAAAACACTATGGGAACCATAACAATTTCATAAAGATTAGGTTATTATGGTGCCAGGAGATGGCTTAACCCCAAAGTCTTCTCTCCAGGGCCAGATCACTCTGTCCCTCCAATATCCATTGGACTATGGTGGGCAGAGGTGCAGCTGATTGGCTTAGAGCCATTAGCTGAAGCTCTCAGCCAATCAGTGGCTCCATATTCATAAAACAGAGTGAGAAAATTATGGAGAGCCAACACCAGGTACCTCCTGGCACCATAGCAAATTAGTTTTGATGAAGTTGTTATAGTGGCTAGAAATGTTCCTCTAAGATGCATCAATTGAGTGGACAAACATCAAGGAGGTTAGAAACCAATTTTAGAGAACATCACAGTGTGATTAAACTTATCAATTCCAAGACATCTATTTAAAAACACACCATAATTTGATCCAAAGTTCTATATTTATAATGACCATAGAAGGAGTTAACAGTGAGTTAACATGAGTCATAATAATAAAGTCAAATGCCTATTAGTGGCTGAGACCAAATGGATATTTAAATTAGAAACTCTAATACCCCCAAGGCCTCAATAAAGAATTAGATTTAAGTGTTCTATAAAAATAAAATTAAATTAAACGTTGCAAATATTGATTGATAAAATAAAGATGAAAAAAAAGACTATATAAGACAGGTCTTGACAAATTAGCTTTTTGTATCTAGGAGCCAACTAAATAAGTTAGAAGCTAGTTTTTCTAATTTTTATTTTCAACAACCAAAATACAATTCTTAAAGGGGCTCTGTAATGAACTGAGCCTCGTCACGTGTGCTTGGAGGGGCCTGCTGGCCAACGTCTTACCAAAAGACTGTGGGCCCTTTAAAAACTATGTGAACAGACTTGGTCCGTGGGATTTTATATTTGGTTCGGGAACCAAACAGCCGCACTAACCGGAGACCAACCTGGAGCTTGTTAAGCCTAATAGCTACTTTGTTTTGGGCATGGGACCATGCAGGTGGTCGGTCAAATTATGACTTGCTGGAAATCCCTGAACTGATATGGGTGATTTTGGGATATATTGGTCACCTATCAGGGGATGTAACCTTTGTGGGGATTATGTGTGTTTTAAGGTATTTTGGGGTTTTGTAAAAATTTGTATTTTTTGTGCCTGGAGATAAAGGAGTTTAATACAGTGCGTGACTCTATCTCCCAGGCATAGGAGAGGGATTGACATATTTTGTATGGGAGTGTCCTGGACCTGAGAGCCAATGTAATCGTGTATGTTATTACTGTAGTCTACTCTCAGGTCCAGGGGGGAGTGCCCCTTGCATGGGGACCTGCATATAAGGCCAGTTGTGGCTGCCATTAAAGATTTAAGTTTATTTTACCCTTAATTCTAGGCTCATGTTTGGGGAATTTCACTTTGGAGATTGCTATAATCACTATACTTCCTTGGATCACAACGCTTGCTCTTGTAAGAGCTCTCTGGACTAGGAAAGGTCTACCCACTGGAAGCTGGATCCTGGTCTTGGGTCCAGGGTGAGTGCAGGACAGCGAGACCCCAACCAAGCTGCCGCGGTTTGTAGGGTTTACACTGGTTATGGTGTTCCAGAGCGGTGCTCATGGTACTCAAGGATTACTAGGAAGCAGCGATTGATGGAGGTACCCGGTCGAGGTGACAGGTGGTCCATCACAGTCTCTACATTCACCAGAACCACTACAGTTTAATGTATCCATAGCCTGTTCCTGCAGGCTTTTCGATGTAAAACACTGCCTTTTCATTGTTGCCTAGTAACACCATTACTGGCAGTAACTCAGACAGCCATTAGAGGTGCTTCCTAGTCCAATGCTGCACTGTGTGCAGCACCTACGTTCAGTATCTCCACACTCTGCATGGAGGCATTGAAGCTTCTCCGTAGAGATGCTAGTTGGCACAGTGGAGCGTTTTGCGCTAATGTCTCCCAATGCTTTCTTATTGGAAAGTATTGGATTGGCTGAGATCATCAAGATTATTTCAGCATGGAGGCAGGGCCAGCCGTGACAAATCTGGCACGGCGTGGGGAAAATGTGAGTAAAAACACCTTTCTCTTGCAAACGGAAGGGGGCCAGTCACCTAAACAGACACACTCACTGACAAACACACACACACACTCACAGAGACACTCACTTACAGACAGACACACATTATTATATGTTTTATTTTAATTTACATACACAGGCTCACTACCTTTGGGAGAGCTGCAATGGATCCTTTCCCTGGGGTCCAGTGGAGCTGTTGTTATCCTGTAATTGTCAAGCTAGTCTTGCTCTGCTCTTTTGCATGCCTTTTAGTAATGTCGGTGCCAGAGTAAAGTCATATCCCGACATCAGGCATTACCGCAGGGCGCTTTAGGAATCAATGCTGGAACTCTGAAGAGCATTTTTTTTTTTAATTCACACTAGGCTGGAGTCTTCTGTTCATCCCTAGCCTTTAAGAGGGCGGATTGGAGACATCTAGAAGACAATTAACTCCCCAATAAGGTCAGAGGCACCTGTTTTGCAGATTCATACAGCTACATGAGGAGTCAGGTTGTTTGTCCTTAAAGGGAAACTCCAGGCAAACTTATCTGCTAGTGTGAAGATGCAAACAATCTTGGAATATGAATCAATAAATTGCTTTGCATACTGGTAAGTCAGAAGAAGTTGGATGTTTATGCCAAATCATCCCTCACTGTAAATTGTTTTCACATTTTATGGACAATGGCACATCTGTTCTTTGCACACACGAGTGGCTCTTACTGATGTCAATGGGCTTGGGCAGTGATGTGAAAACCAGAATTGTTTCACATGCCCAAATATCCTCATGAAAATTAATGGGAGCCATGTATGCTTTTGCTGCGTTTGGCCTCCTTTCACTTTAAAGGAAACCTTCCCTACGTATGCTCTCATAAACATCAATGGAAAACACTAGTAGAAGTAGTGTAGTGTCATAAATAATGATCAATTACTTTTTATTTATAGAGCACAGCATAACCTGTGATGTCCAATAGTTAGATTGTCATACATAACCTATTACACTCCGTCATTCCAGCATCCTACAGACACATTTTTCTTTGCTTTTTCTACCTGCTTCAATTTATAACCAGGTTGTATCACTTAAGGACGATTCCCCAGTAATTGGGAGGCCCTTTAATGTCAAGCCATTTCTCTTGTCGATTTTAATAGGCTGTTTAAGAGCCCCAACCATTCATATGGTTGTCTCTTAATCAATCAGCTTTAGGAAGGAATCAGCTAACCTGCGTGGTCCACGATGAGAAGATTTTAACAGCAGTAATAAATGTATATATATATATTTATCTACTAACCTTGGCAGTTTCATCTTTTCCATATGTATTCGTGTCAGTGCCATATACTGATGTTTGTGTTTTTTTCATTTTAGCTACTACAAACCATGCTCATTAATGATAATATTTAAGATAAAATTTGAGCTTTGGATCAGAAGGGGCTCTTAGAAGTGGACATTCTCCTTGCACCAGATAACTGGTGATTCCTGTGCTAGTTCTGACTGCAGTTATCAGGATTCCGTATGATTTTTACCCTCTCAGTACCTATAACCAGTCTCTCTTACTGTAAAAAATGTAGATGAATGGATGTTCATGTGGAATCTTCTTAATTTCTTCTTATCTTCAGTTGATTGATATATATACGTCTTTTGTATATATATTCTTGGGCCAAATGCTCGCCACAATAATATGTGTCTATATTATTGAAAAGTAGTAATACGCAATCTGACTTACGGTTTCTTCAGGTTTATTCTTAGTTACGGATACATAAAACAACAAATGATGTTACAGGATAATGGACATTCAACAGCAGATGGTAATTGCTGTACTTCTGATGGGAGAGTTACATCGTTGTACAGAGCCAAGACTCAAGCCAAGACTGAGAGCGACCTCGTGTCCCTCTGTTACTATAAAGAATACTAACGTCAGCGTTTAACTCTTGCCATATAAGGACAAGACCCCCGAATCCACATTCCAGAGCTCTCGGACAAAGAAAGCCTTGTGACTTATTGATACCATCTGTTACTTATGTCAATCTACACATCCATATATATAATCAATAGTTACATAGAATATGCAATATTCTACACTTACCATGACTCTACTGTGGAGGATGCTGTGTCACATGAAGGTCTACCTCTTGCAAGAAACAAACTATACAGCTTTATAATGCTTTCAACCAACACCCCAACATGCAATAATTTCCTTTACATATGGAAAGGTTCACTTTAAAACTGATAAGCTTTGATCACAGTGAAATGAATAATGCGTTGATCCCCTACGATCAATGTCATTAAGTTTTATGTCAGGTACTATATGACTACAATTTAATCTATTAAAGGGAAACTATAGGCAAGGAATACAAAATTCTATTCCTAGTGTAACCGTGGCTGGTTCCCTTATTTACCACTATAATGTCTTAAAGCATAGAACTTAGTAGGGCTAACCATACAGATATCTTAGACATAATTTTATATAGTTAGTGTAAGAGATCCTCTATTTAACATATATAAATAATTGAGAATACAATATAAAATAAGGATTGTCTTGGAAGAAATAAAGTTTTGTCTTTTTGGTATTTATTATATCAAAATATAAATATAGACATATAAAATCCATTATAGCAGAGTTTATAAGATTAAACTAAATGCTTACAAATATCATTAATAGGTTAACATACCCTTCTGAACATGTCATCATGTCATCCTCTCTGTCATTTTACGATGGAGCAGCGTCTGTCTCCAAGTCTCTCCTCTGTGTGTTAACATTTAAAAGTACACCTATTTATACCTTAGGTGTCTCCATTTTAGGGTCACTGTAGTTCATATATAAAAAAATTAACTTTTTTACTTTATTCATTTTAGGACCTCCCTTAACTTGGCAAAAATACAAGTCCATAACTAAAGGGTGTATACGTGTTAAAGTCTGAACATCCTTATCTACTAAGGTTACCACAGTATATTGTGTACTGAAAGAGTCATAGCATAGCCTTGAATCTTGTTTATGCATTATTGTTATTGTAATTTGTCTGGGACAAAATGGCGCAAACATATTATGCACTGAGGTTATTGCTTAAAGAAACATCTATGAAAAACAATATGTTCCATTTCTAACACCTGGTCAATTTGCAATATCTCTTAAAGACAAAGAACACAGTTTAAGAAATACAACATTTCATTTTAAAACTTGTAATATTTGCATTTGCCCATAACACTAGCACTATAGCTCCCTATAGTAACACCCTCGCATGCGCGACACAACCCTTTTGTCACTTACCTGAGGGACATCGGCACTAGGTCAGGGAACCTAAACCGCATGCATTGTATAATGCTTTCCTATGGGGTTTTGGGTGACATTGGATGTCGCCTATCAACCCAGAAGTCCCTGTACAGGCTATCTGGTAGACAGTCACTAGAGGTGGAGTTAATCCTGTAGAGTAATTAGTGCAGTTTCTCAATAACTGCAATAATTACTATTGCAGAATTAAACTGACAGGGGCACTGCACCCAGACCACTCCAAAGCTAAAGTGGTCTGGGTGCCTATAGTGTACCTTTAATTGTGCCAGCCAAACGGCTTGCAAATTTATAGAAGCATACATACATTTATTTTTTTACTTATTTACCTAGCCTTGGTCATTTTTATAGTGTTAAAGACTAAAAATATGGAATCCACAATCAACCGCAAGCTGCAAATTGTCAGGTGTAGCATGGGTCAATGCATGATCTGATTGTTATATGCAAGACACACACCCTGAATATTACTATGTGTGTGCTATTGTTTTTATTAAATGCTTACAGTAGATTTTGCAAAGAATCCTACCAGGAATCACAAACCTGACCCTTAAAAAGTGAGAAACATGTAATTATGATTATATCCTTCCAGAATCTCAGCAAACACAGCAATAATGTAATGTCCTCCCTTAGGTAATTTCTGGTAAATAATTAATTTCCTTTAGAGATCATTTATAGCTTCTTTTCATTGGTTGGTCACTTTCAGATTCCTCGATTTCATGTGCTAGTGACTGTCAGACTAATGAAATCCACCTTGCTTCCAAAATACAAATCGACACGTCGCTCAAACAGAATAACAAAACATTCATTATTGTTGCTTTGTACCAGTGTAGTTAATATAATCAAGGACATGGCACACTTTTGGTATTTTTCCTCTGTGCATTTCAGAAATTAAAAATAACTTTGCTCCTGATTCGCTTGAATACACACCTTCTCTTTAAGGTAATAAGAAAAGATTGTGGATCCAAAAGGTAATTGAAATGATCAGGGTCTTGCTGGAGAATAGGAATGAATGACTGCCTGTCTATGGCTCAATATATGATACTGAAAATTGCACGTCAGTGAAAATATGTAAAGGTAACCTCAAAGTGATTGTAGCAAAGTTCTGTTTTGAAGAACACTAGTACAGCATGTGTTTTTTTTTTTCCCCCAAATAAAAAAATATTTAATGCTGATCAATCTCATTTTCATTAATTCAGGCTATTGCAACCGAGAAGACAATATATATAAATGAATATATGAATACAAATGACGTACGAGCAGGAAGCAGAGTTGTCTGTCTTGCGATTTTAAGCAACAATAATGCACACAAATCGAAATGAATACATTTGTTTACATGCACAGTGTACCTGGGTTTATTGATTTACAGCAGATATAGATAGATCAGTGATGACATTCCAAATATCATTTGAATTTCTAAAAGATACTGTAAACAAAACAATTCAATTCCAATGAAGTACTAAGACACAGTGCAAAACACTGTTTTGTTAAAAATGATGAATGCAGTTATTTGCATAATTCTGTATACCCTGTCTTTATTAGAACACTGGGAGGTGTAATAAAATCTGAAGACCAGACCAGAAGATACAAAGTAATATAAATAACCTTGCTTCACCTACAACGGAGGAGAACTGGCTTAGGCAATTACACAGAACCTCTACTGTTACGTTGGCACACTCCATTACACTGGGATATGCACAATACAAGACAATTTCAAGCAACAAAAACTATCCCAATTTTAATCTAGATCTGTTATGGCAGGGTTTTAATAATAGTTTATCAAATCTTTCAATATTGTTTGTTTTCTTTTTTTATTCTTGATACACCCCATGTACACTTTGGAAGAAGTCACACTGTATGCCAGAGAATTTGGGTATCCACTGGCGCAATACTTTAATTACTTTTTTATGAAGGATAAGGGTAAATATCATAAGTAGTAGATCTGGAACTCTTGGCTCAGTCTAACCACCTGAACTATCACAGAGCTTTTTATAGTTAAACAATTACACCCTGCAAATGGGGCAAACTTGGCAAAGTACCTGCCTGCCATTGTCCTCCACTGCCCAAAAATAAATAAAATAAGAAAAAATAAATTATATATATATATATATATGTATATATATATATATATATACAGTTGCAAGAAAAAGTATGTGAACCCTTTGGAATGATATGGATTTCTGCACAAATTGGTCATAAGTCACAACAATAGACAATCACAGTCTGCTTAAACTAATAACACACAAAGAATGAAATGTTGCCATGTTTTTATTGAACACACCATGTACACATTCACAGTCCAGGTGAAAAAGTATGTGAACCCCTAGACTAATGACAGCTCCAAGAGCTAATTGGAGTGAGATGTCAGCCAACTGGAGTGCTATCAATGAGATGAGATTGGAGGTGTTGGTTACAGCTGCCCTGCCCTATAAAAAAAACACACACCAGTTCTGGGCTTGCTTTTCACAAGAAGCATTGCCTGATGTGAATGATGCCTCGCACAAAAGAGCTCTCAGAAGACCTATGATTAAGAATTGTTGATTTGCATAAAGCTGGAAAGGGTTATAAAAGTATCTCCAAAAGCCTTGCTGTTCATCAGTCCACAGTAAGACCAATTGTCTATAAATGGAGAAAGTTCAGCACTGCTGCTACTCTCCCTAGGAGTGGCCGTCCTGCAAAGATGACTGCAAGAGCACAGCGCAGACTGCTCAATGAGGTGAAGAAGAATCCTAGAGTGTCAGTTAAAGACTTACAAAAGTCACTGGCAAATGCTAACATCCCTGTTAGGGAATCTACAATACGTAAAACACTAAACAAGAATGGATTTCATGGGAGGATACCACAGAGGAAGCCACTGCTGTCCAAACAAAACATTGCTGCACGTTTACAGTTTGCACAAGAGCACCTGGATGTTCCACAGCAGTACTGGCAAAATATTCTGTGGACAGATGAAACCAAAGTTGAGTTGTTTGGAAGAAACACACAACACTATGTGTGGCGAAAAAAGGCACAGCACACCAACATCAAAACCTCATCCCAACTGTGAAGTATGGTGGTGGGGGCATCATGGTTTGGGGCTGCTTTGCTGGGTCAGGGCCTGGACGGATTGCTATCATCGAAGGAAAAATTAATTCCCAAGTTTATCAAGACATTTTGCAGGAGAACTTAAGGCCATCTGTCTACCAGCTGAAGCTCAACAGAACATGGGTGTTGCAACAGGACAATGACCCAAAGCATAGAAGTAAATCAACAACAGAATGGCTTAAACAGAAGAAGTGGCCCAGTCAGAGTCCTGACCTCAAACCGATTGAGATGCTGTGGCATGACCTCAAGAAAGCGATTCACACCAGACATCCCAAGAATATTGCTGAACTGAAACAGTTCTGTAAAGAGGAATGGTCAAGAATTACTCCTGACCGTTGTGCACGCCTGATCTGCAACTACAGGAAACGTTTGGTTGAAGTTATTGCTGCCAAAGGAGGTTCAACCAGTTATTAAATCCAAGGGTTCACATACTTTTTCCACCTGCACTGTGAATGTTTACATGGTGTGTTCAATAAAAACATGGCAACATTTCATTCTTTGTGTGTTATTAGTTTAAGCAGACTGTGATTGTCTATTGTTGTGACTTAGATGATGATCAGATCACATTTTATGACTAATTTGTGCAGAAATCCATATCATTCCAAAGGGTTCACATACTTTTTCTTGCAACTGTATATAGATACACACCCCCACAGATATATATATATATATTATTTATTTATTTTAAATCTCTTGTATTTATTTCATTCTCTGTGCTACATTTGATACATCTGAGATCTGGTTTTATCTACGTGGCCCACAGGCTTTATATATTGACATCAGACAACAAAGAAAAATAATAAATATGCCATAATTTTAAATCTGATTTCTTGTATTTAAGAAATGTGTCTGAAAAGATATTCTTAACATCTGAATAACTGCCATATTTGGGATCTGAACTTGTTTATCTAAAGTAGCCCAAGCACAAGATTACTAGCATCATTTATAATGCAAATTCTGCACATGGACAGTGATTCTCTCTCATTATCCACTGCCCCAGGCATTTGGCAGCCTTTCTGTACTCAAAAGCTCAGTGTGAAAGGAAAAAAGCCAGCCTCGGATGTGAGTATACCACAGGGAAATGTAAGATCTATACATAACCATAGAGGGATATGGGCTGGACTGCATAGTTGGGAATGCACGTAATGATATAACATACTTTAATGTCTATCTATCTAGAGGCCTACTATACAGAATGACCTGGCCGTAGCTGTCTTAATATGTCTGTGCAATGGTGTCATTATATTACAATCGTTTAAAAGATCAGATGTAATCAAATATCCGGTAAATTGTTGCAGCTGCACAACATTAAAACACTTTACAATGATTATCTGCACATTCCACTGGTGCTAATATTAGAGACTAATGATCACTGAGCTAAGGATAGGTCTTACTAAAATGGGCCAAAAAATTTTTTTTTAACGTATTCAATTTTATTTTAGCATTTAGTAACACTATAAATGCTAGTTTAAATGTCTAGCGACTATTAAAGGAACACTATCTTAAAAAAATAAATTAAAAAAGTGTTTCACATTTAGAATATATTCAATGCCCCTCGTGTTTTAAATAAACAAAATAAAAACATACATAAAATATACCTGTAATCCAGTGCCAGAAAAACATTTCGCTGCTACTGCTGCCCACTATGAGATGATCCCAGTCCAATCCAATGTTTATCACAGAGAATATTGGTGACCTATGGTGCATGCTTGGCAATCTCCTTGCTCTAACAATTCAATACTTCTCATAGAGCACAACGTAATGATGCTGAATGTTAAGATCTTTGAAAATCGAAGGTCTTGGGGAGGAAGTGCTTCTAGTGGCTGTCAGTCTCACAGATAGTGGAGGTATGTTCTTGGCAAAGTGTAAACGTTTCTCTGAAATGGCAACGTTTAGCATTGCCAGCTGAAAGATCTATGTCCCAAAACCACTATTTTAACATGTAGTGGTTTTGGTGCTTGCAGAATCCCTTTAACATTCAATGAAAACAGTGGGCTCTTTGAATCGTAAAGAAGAAATAAATGCACGCTTAATTTAAATGAAGAGGTGAGGATGTCAATACTGTTAGTAAGCAATATGAACATTGCAGCAAATGAGAAAAACAATATAACACCCATCAATGAGTCCTTGGAGGACAATTGAGATGATTAAGTGTGTATCCTCTCAAGAACTTTAAATTGGAAACAAAACCAAATATATTCCACACTGTCTTTGTATGCTTCAAAAAACAGTCAGTGTGACCAGAAATTAAATAGTTTAATGCCCGCTGCACTGAGCTATCTAAAAGGCTCATCCTTCTTCATGGTCAAGGATGTCCTACTTGGACATCATTATGCTTGACAGTAAGGGTCGTTATGAACTTGTAAAATGATGAGTCAAACAACAACTATTATGGCTTGGCACAGGGCTCGAGTCCTGCAGGAACGCATGGGAACGCCGTTCCTGCACTTTTTCCAAAGCAGGAACCTCGTTACCTGTCCTGCAGGACCGGCCCTGCTACCTGCACAGAGGGGCCGTCACACGCTGTGTTCCCTCTCCAGCTATAACTCTCGCGAGACTCGCGGCTGTTACCATGGCAACGCTCGGCACAGGCGAGTCTCGCGAGAGTTAGAGCTGGAGAGGGAACACAGCGTGTGATGGCTCCTGTGTGCAGCGGCTGGTTCCCTCCACCGGACCACCAGGCGATCTCCCCCCTCCCTGACAAGGTAAGAAGCAGGGAGGGGGGAATAAAAAAAAAAAAATATAGACACATAAAGTTAAAAAAAATGCTCCCCCCCCCTATCATCCAGCACTCACACACCCATCATCCAGCACACACACACCCATCATCCAGCACACACACACACACACACATCACCACACCTCATCACACACACACACCGCACACATCATCCACACACACACACATCATCAGCACACACACACATCATCCAACACACACACACATCATCCAGCACCGCGCACACATCATCCAGCACCGCACGCACATCATCAGCACTGCGCACACACATCATCCAGCACACACACACATATCATCCAGCACACACACACACATCATCCAGCACACGCACACATCATCCAGCACACGCACACATCATCCAGCACGCGCACACATCATCCAGCACGCGCACACATCATCCAGCGCGCGCGCACACATCATCCAGCGCGCACACACACATCATCCAGTGTACACACACATCATCCAGTGCACACACACACACACATCATCCAGTGCACACACACACATCATCCAGTGCACACACACATCATCCAGTGTACACACACACACACACACAATCCAGCACACACACCATCCAGTGCGCGCACACACATCATCCAGCACACACACACACATCATCCAGTGTACACACACACACACCATCCAGTGTACACACACACACACACATCATCCAGTGTACAACACACATCATCCAGTGCACACACACACACACACCATCTTCACACACACATCATCCAGTGTACACACACACACATCCAGTGTACACACACACACACCATTCACTCCATACACACACCACACCACACCATCACACACACAACCATCCAGCACACACACACACCATCCAGCACACACACACACACCATCCAGCACACACACACACACACCATCCAGCACACACACACACACCATCCAGCACACACATCATCCAGCACATACACCATCCAGCACACACACATCCAGACTCATCCAGCACACCCACACACATCACCATATAGCACACGACACACACTCATCCAGCACACACACTGCATCACTATACAGACTCTGCATTCATTATACACACTCTGCACTCACTACAAAAACACTACATTCACTTTACACAGTGCACTCACTATACACACTCTGCACTCAATATACACACTCTGCACTCACTACACACTACATCCACTATACACACTCTGCATTCACTACAAATACACTGCATTCATTATACACACTGTGCACTCACTACAAACTACATTCGTTATACACACTGTGCACTCACTACAAACACACTACATTCATTATACACACTGTGCACTCACTACAAACACATTACATTCACTATACACACTCTGCAGTCCCTACACACACTGCATTCATTATACACTCTCTGCACTCACTACAATCACACTACATTCACTATACACACTGTGCACTTACTGCAAACACACTACATTCATTATACACTCTCTGCACTCACTACAAACACTGTGCACTCACTACAAACACACTACATTCATTATACACACTGCACTCACTACACACACTGCATTCATTATACATACTGCACTCACTACACACACTGCATTCATTATACACACTGCACTCACTACATTCATTATACACACTGCACTCACTACACACACTGCACTCACTACACACACTGCATTCATTATACACACTGCACTCACTACAAACACACTACATTCATTATACACACTCTGCACTTACTACAAACACACTGCACTCACTACAAACACACTACATTCATTATACACACTCTGCACTCACTACAATCACACTACATTCACTATACACACTGTGCACTCACTGCAAACACACTACATTCATTATACACTCTCTGCACTCACTACAAACACTACATTCACTATACACACTGTGCACTCACTACAAACACACTACATTCATTATACACACTGCACTCACTACATTCATTATACACACTGCACTCACTACACACACTGCATTCATTATACACACTGCACTCACTACAAACACACTACATTCATTATACACACTGCACTCACTACACACATTGCATTCATTATACACACTGCACTCACTACACACACTGCATTCATTATACACACTGCACTCACTACAAACACACTGCATTCATTATACACACTCTGCACTTACTACAAACACACTGCACTCACTGCAAACACACTACATTCATTATACACACTCTGCACTCACTACAATCACACTACATTCACTATACACACTGTGCACTTACTGCAAACACACTACATTCATTATACACTCTCTGCACTCACTACAAACACTACATTCACTATACACACTGTGCACTCACTACAAACACACTACATTCATTATACACACTGCACTCACTACACACACTGCATTCATTATACACACTGCACTCACTACACACACTGCATTCATTATACACACTGCACTCACTACACACACTGCATTCATTATACACACTGCACTCACTACAAACACACTACATTCATTATACACACTCTGCACTTACTACAAACACACTGCACGCACTACAAACACACTACATTCATTATACACACTCTGCACCCACTACAAACACACTACATTCATTATACACACTCTGCACCCACTACAAACACACTACATTCATTATACACACTGTGCACTCACTACAAACACACTACATTCATTATACACACCCTGCACTGCACTATATGCATAGGAGTGTAATTATTTTTAGGGGGGGAGCGGAAATCTTGAGTTCCCACACTTTGTTCCCCAGGACTTGAAAATAAAGCTTTTCTTACTGTATGTATATGACTTATGATGTTTGTGGATTTGTGATGTGGTTGTAGCTCTTCTGACATGTCAAGTGTGTTACCAAATTTGCACCTTAACATGTATTAAATTAATATCTTTGCATTAATATATTTATAGTAGTAAAAATGTGCCTAGCCAGATATTGGAGAAGCATATCTATTCCAACATGGACTAAAATAAAAACAAATACATTTCCAGAGAGAGGCAAAGAAATTACATATACATGTAATATATATAAAATTATAAACGCAACACTTGTTTTTGCCCCCATTTTTCATGAGCTGAACGCAAAGATCTAAGACTTTTTCCATGTACACAAAAGGACTATTTCTCACAAATATTGTTCACAAATCTGTCTAAATCTGTGTTAGTGAGCACTTCTCCTTTGCCGAGATAATCCATCCACCTCACAGTTGTGGCATATCAAGATGCTGATTAGACAGCATGATTATTGCATAGGTGTGCCTTAGGCTGACCACAATAAAAGGCCACTCTAAAATGTGCAGTTTTACTGTATTGGGGGGAGCCGGGGTGGTCATGGGGGGGGTCCGAAAACCAGTCAGTATCTGGTGACCATCATTTGCCTCATGCAGTGCAACACATCTCCTTCACATAGAGTTGATCAGGTAGCTGATTGTGGTCTGTAGAATGCTGGTCCACTCCTCTTCAATGGCTGTGCGAAGTTGCTGGATATTGGCAGAACCTGAAACACGCCTATCCAGAGCATCCCAAAAATGCTCAATGGGTGACATGTCTGGTGAGTATGCTGGCCATGCAAGAACTGGGATGTTTTTAACTTCCAGGAATTGTGTGCAGATCCTTGCAACATGGGGCCGTGCATTATCATTCAGCAACATGAGGCGATGGTCGTGGATGAATGGCACAACAATCTGCCTCAGGAGCTTGGCACGGTATCTCTGTGCATTTAACCCCTTAATGACTGTGGACATACAGGGTACGTCAGACAAAAAACGGTTGTTAACGACAGTTGATGTACCCTGTACGTCCGCTGTGAATTAGAGCGCTGGAAGCGATCGATGTCGAGGCATCCTGCAATACCTCCCCACCCCCACACTGCCGAGTGATCTCTCCCCCAGAGCGATAACTTCCGGGTTACCCCACGTGACGCCCAGCAATGAGGCAGAGCATCAGAAGCCATCAGGCTTCCGATGCTCTGCCTGTGCTGAGTGCCTCGAGGGGTCGAGGCACTCAGTGAAGATTAATAATAATCATTTAAAAAAGACGATCTTGGATGTGAAGATGCTGGATGTACTGCCAGATTCTCTGAGACGCCTTTGGAGATGGCTTATGGTAGAGAAATCTGAATTCAATTCACGGGCAACAGCTCTGGTGGACATTCCTGCAGTCAGCATGCCAATTGCACGCTCCCTCAAAACTTGCGACACCATAGAAACATTGAATATATACAATAATGTTTATCAGCACTTATCTTAACTGCTACCACACTGTGATGTGCAATTCGTCAAAAAACACACAAAAGACAGAAATGTTTTAAACCAGATAAAGTGGAGCGCTTAAATTTGTGGATATGAATAAATAATAGACCGAGTGCAAACAAGGAATGCTAATATACAATTGGTTTATGTATCATTAACAATCCAATGACGTGGATACATAAACACCACACACTCTGCCACTAGGCCACCAGGATTCCAGGACGACTTCTAGACCACCAGTTTCAGCTTTTCGACAAGTTTATGTGAGTCAAGGATCTGTACTTGTTTGCCCGTAAACTGGCATCACACAAATGCTATCAAATCCAGACTGAGAGGAGGACCAAGGCCTGTGGTCTATAACACAAGGACAATGTGTCTGCTGATAATCCAAGCTTTGTTGGAGGAAAATGATGGCTGGAAGTTTCTGAACCATACCAGACCAAGGCCTGTGGTCTATAACACAAGGACAATGTGTCTGCTGATACTCCAAGCCTTGTTGGAGGAAAATGATGGCTGTAAGTTTCTGAACAATACCGGTCCGAAACCCAAGAGCGGCTTTACCCCCAATTTTAGGAGTTTTCACAACACTGAGTTGTATTTTGAAACTGGATTACACAGCCGTTAGTAGCTATGCTGAGTCAATGTTTAGAGGGACGAAGACCGATATAAACAGTTGTTAGCCGGACAACTAGTGAAGGACGCCCTGCACCTTGGTTATCGCATAGCTAACTCTAGAGAGCCTTGTCCCTCTCAACACCAATGACAAACATAGCAGGAAGCATGCTTCACTGTTTCTGGTATAAAATATTATTTTTGTTTATATATTTGTATAATATGTTTTGTCCTAGAGGTGTCCAGAATCCGTTCGAATGTAATTGTTTTCTGTTTTTTATTTTTATTTTTTGTAATATTATAAATATTCTTATCTACTGAGGAATACTTTGTTTAAATATACATGAGAACATTTTTAATGTTTACATTTTATATGTATGATCTATGTATGTCTTTTCTACAAATCAAAAAATGAATAAAGATGAAATAAAAAAACATGTATTAAATACAAAAGAATGAACAGTTTAATATATAAAACACACACACAACACCTTTTACCAGCCCTGCCACACTCATTTGGCTGCACATAAACAAAGGCTCTCAGTTTGGTAAATAACCCTGATAAGGTTTTTCATGCATTAATAAAGCCAGTGACATGCTGAACAACCCAATCCATGGGTCTGTAGTACAAACACATTTTTTGCAGATTTGTTGCGCAGATATTTTCTAATGGATATGCAGATGTTAATCCAGTATAATTTATTATATAGGTATGTTGGTGCCAATAGATAGGTAAAATAGTTAAGGTTAAAAAAAACACACACAAAAAACATCATTAAAGAGAAACTATAGTGCCAGAAAAACAAAGCTTTTTTTTTTACTGGTACTATAGCTCCCTATAGTGCTCCCCTCCACACCCCTGTGGTGCAGAAGGGCTTAAATACCCAACTGTTGTTTACCGGATTCCAGAGCCCATGTCCTTCGGAGCTGGTTCAGGCTCCTCCCCCGCTGACATCGGAGACCTAACGCGAATGCGCATTCGCTGCAATGGCCACCCTTGCATTACGATTTCCCCCATAGGAAAGCATGTATAATGCTGGATGTCTTCATGCATAGCACGAATATGTCCAGCATCCGTTAGATAACCCGCAAGTCCTTCTAGTGGCTGTCTGGTAGACAGCCACTAGAGGTGGAGTTAACCATCAAAGGTAATTTTTGCAGTATATTAAAAACTGCAATAATTACCTTTTCAGGGTTAAGGTACCTGGAACTCTGCACCCAAACCAATTAGGTGGTCTGGGTGCCTATAGTGTCCCTTTAATCTAGTTTTACTGTACTAACCTTTCTATGGGCTTTGTTTGCAATCAATAAGCTGGTAATGGACACTAAGTTTTTATTAGAACACAGAAAATTATCAGTCTTCTCACACAATGACAAATGTCATTTCAAGTCTAAGTCCTGATGAATTCTCGTTTTCAGCTTGAAAGACATTCTGAACAGTAGCTGTGCTAACCTTTAACTATTTTTTGTTTCATGAAGCAATAGGAAAATATATTAGTCATCGTAAGCAGGAAAATGGTTTCTCTGATTCCCCCCCCACCCAACCCCAGTACTGAAGAAAATAATAAAAAAAAAAAATGCAATTTCTTCAGCTCACTGTAATCATATATAGACCAAGCCTTCGGAATACCAAAGGAATATCTGCCACTTGCTGAGCAACAGATTTCTTTCAGACACAAATAGGTTTGTGTGGATGTAATGATTGTAAAACCCCATGGAATTCATGGTTCTCTGCACAAGTCTAGCATAGTGGAAGTCAAATTTCAAACTCATTCACTACTGCAAGAATCAAAACGGTCATATTTATTTTTAAAGAAAGGACTGAAAGAGACTTAAAATAGTTAAAAATATGCTATTGTCTAAGGGCAAGAAATTAAATGGATCCAAAATACAGTATATCAGTGCTACCTTTAAATTTCATACACAGTGAATTGCAACATATTAAAATAATGGATCAATAGACTTACCAGACCAGCTAGGTCTGTAAAAAAGCATGCATGGAGTTGCCAGTACAGAAGACCTAATTAATGCTAGGTTGTATTCCAAGATTTTAGTAATCTGTTCAAATGGAACATGTGTTACTACTGCTATATTTCCCTAAGGTTCAATCTTAGGGGGTTGCCAGCCCTTCTTATATTTTCTGCAAGCACTTCCTATCCCAAAAGGACCTTTAACCCCTTAAGGACCAAACTTCTGGAATAAAAGGGAATCATGACATGCCACACATGTCATGTGTACTTAAGGGGTTAAAGGGAGCAACTAAGGGAGATCTTGGCCAGACAGCATTGTAAATGCATCCCAATTACGCTGGCTCAAATATGGAACCTTTGGACTGCAGCTGGGGGCATGTGTTAATTAGATTGTGTTGTCAATGGAGTATCATATTCTTCTTGGTTTTTGACACGTGAACAATGTCTTCATTAAAGGACCACTAAACTCACCCAGACCACTTCATTTCAATGATATGATCTGGGTAGAGTGGTTGTTTAGTTTTAACCCTGCAATGTAAAACATTGCAGTTTTTTGGGGTTTTTTTGCGTATAAAATACGTAGACACCAGCTAAAGTGCTCTTGGATAGGGGAAATGCCCTGGGTTTTCTTTCTGCACAGCCAAATGAGTGTGGTACGGCTGGTAAAGGTTGTTGTGCATGTGGGTATTGTATGTGTTTGGAGGTTGCTAGTGGGAATGCATGTGTGTAGAGGAGGATGTTTGTAGTGTAGTGTGTGTGTGCGCATGTAATCGGGGTTTGTTTGTGGAGTACTTTGTGCTGCTAGGGCCTGTAGAGTGTATGTATTTTATGGGCTCTACAAAGTGTATGTCTGTGTGTGTGCATGTATAGGGGCTGTCCAAACTGTCTGTGTATAGGGTATGTAGAGTGTATTTGTGTGTTTCTGTGTGTATGTGTATAGTGGTTGCATTATTTGTTTATCTAGGAGCTGTAGTGTGTGTGTGTGTGTGTGTGCGCGCATCTAGGACACATGTGTAAAGGTCCAGTAATGTGTATATGTAGGGGGAGTAGTGTGCATGTATAAAGGGTCTGTAGTGTGTGTACTGGTATATGTATATATGTATATATACTAAAGAACCTCTCACACACATACTGCACCCCTAAACACATTAAATTCCAGACAAACACTAGATCCCTTACCCAACTCTGGATCATCTACACATATGCACACACTAGATCCCTATATACACTCTAAATCCTCTACACACACACACTCACTAGATCTCCTATACACAGTCTGGGTCCTTCAAACACACTAGATCCACTACACACACACACACACACTACATTTCTGATATACACACTCTGGATTCCTTATGCACACACTAGATTCCTTGTAAGCAAACACATAGTACATTCCCTAAACACACACTCTCTACAACCCCTACGCACATTACATCTCCTATACACACACACACTACAGCCCTTATACACACACTCGCTTCATCTCCTATACACACACTCTCTACAGCACCTAGACACACATACATTACAACACAAACACAGCATGACTGAAACAAACCTATTAACACAAAACCACACCACAATCAGCACACAATCCCATTAGCAGGCTCCAAACAAATGCACAGTACTCTTTCCTGGCATTTTTGTCTCCTGGTATCCCATTTATGGAGACACCTTGTAGCGGAGATACAATATTCCCCAGGCTATCTCCGCTTATAATCCAAGTGAGGATCAGGAACAAGTAAATTGTAAATCCACAGGCAAGGTTTCCAGCAGGCAAAATAATCCAACAGTATCCCCACAGCAATCCCAATAACTGGACGACACACAGCATCAGGAGCAGAACTGACAACCTTTATTCCACAGTGCCTTATATAGCATGCTCCCATGCAAGGGAGGGATTTCCATTCATTAATACAGTAGCCAATCCTGTCCCGGTAACCTCCCACACATCTCCTCCCCTCAGCCGGCATCATAATCCCCTTATCCAGTACAGCAATTCCCCCCGTTTCTGGATGTACCCCTAAACCTAGGGGTACCCCTTTAAATTATACATCCCCTGGTAGCCCTGATCTGGGTGAACAACATATCCAAAAATCACCCAGATCGGACCAGGGGTTCGGGAATTTCCTGGAGGGAATTGTAACGAGAATATACCCCTACACGCAGGATCCAGCTAAACAGAGGCAAATACAGAGGAGAGATACGTCTACCGGACCTTAGAATGGCCGGACTCGACGTATATGAGAGGAGACAGAGCCAGGAACAAACCGAGGTCAAGGGCACAGAGAGACAGCGTAAACTAGGACAAGCCGGGGTCTGGTACACGGAAAACAGCAAGCCGGCAAACAGTACAGATAAGGATAAAGCGAAAACGAAGTCAGAATACGAAGCCAAAGTCAATACGAGAAAACACAACTGAACACCACAAGCGCTAAAGGGAACTGAAACAGAAACCACGATAGGGCAACGAGCTAAGGGAAAAAGGTAAGTTTAAATAGCTTTAAAACGAAAGTGATTGGCTCCTGTCACTTCCACACCCCCTATAGGTAATTGTACAGGGAGTGTGGTATGACAGGAGCCAATGGGAGCCTTTTGGCAATTAGGCTCCCACTGTCTCTTTAAGAGCGCGCCCGAGACTCGCGGCGCGCTCTTAGTTTCAGGCGGGACACGTGACCGCCTCACGCGGTCACTGCCCGCCTTCCATCCAAAGCAGTTGGATGAGCCGCGCGCGGCTCGTGCAGCCGCAGGACCGCGCGCGGCTTGAAGAGAGGACCGCGACCGGCCCCCGGTTAAGGTAAGTAACGCTACAGTACCCCCCCCTGAGGACACGCCCCCCGGGCGGGTAGGACCAGGCCTGGCAGGAAAACGAGAATGGAAAGAGCGCACAAGACGGGGAGCATGGACAGCATCAGCCGAAATCCAACTGTGCTCCTCAGGCCCATAACCCTTCCAATGTACCAAGTACTGAAGTCGACCCCTAAGGAAACGAGAGTCAAGAACAGCAGACACTTCAAACTCCTCATGACCCTCCACCGAGATAGGAGGGGGAGGAGGAGTATGCCGGGTATAGCGGTTGCGTACGAAAGGTTTCAACAATGAGGTGTGAAAAACATTAGGAATACGTAGATTCTTAGGCAGACCTAAGGCATAAGAAACAGGATTAACCTTATGTATAATACGATAAGGTCCAATGAAGCGGGGAGCCAATTTCATAGAAGGCACCCGGAGACGAATATTCCGCGTGGAAAGCAAAACCCTGTCCCCCACAACATAGGACGGAGCTGCTCTGCGATGCTTGTCAGCCTGAGCCTTCTGGCGAGTAGCAGAGTCCACCAAAGAACGCTGAACCTGCTCCCAAGTATTACGCAAACCAGCCAAATGCTCATCCAGAACTGGCATGCCCTGTGAGGAGAATGCAGCCGGAAGAACAACGGGATGCTGGCCATAGACAACGTAAAAAGGGCTCTTGCCGGAAGAATCATGAGTGGCGTTATTCCGAGCAAATTCAGCCCAAGGAAGCAGGTCAGACCAATTGTCCTGATGGTGAGACACAAAACAACGGAGGTATTGCTCCAGAGACTGGTTGGCACGTTCAGCAGCCCCATTAGACTGGGGATGATAAGCGGAAGAAAATGAGAGAGAAATACCCATTTCTGAACAAAAGGCCCTCCAGAACCTGGAAATAAATTGGCTACCCCTATCGGATACAATAGATACGGGAATCCCATGTAATCGAAATACTTCTCTAGCGAAGATATGAGCCAGTTCCTTGGATGTGGGCAACTTGCGAAGAGACACGAAGTGAGCCATTTTGGAGAACCGATCCACTATCATCAGGATCACTGTGTTACCATTTGAAGGGGGTAATTCAACAATAAAATCCATGGACAGGTTAGACCAAGGTATCTCGGGAACGGATAACGGATGCAACAGCCCACAAGGAACTCTACGGGAGGATTTCATACAGGCACAAGCACTTATATAGTCAGTGACATCCTTTCGTAAGGAATCCCACCAAAAATACCGAGAAACAGCTGACACCGTTTTGGAAATACCAGGATGTCCAGCGGTCTTAGTATCATGATATAATGACATAATATCCCGTCTCTCAGGAACATCAACGAACAGTTTATCATTAGGCCTCTCGCTAGGTGCCATGCTTTGTTTCGCTTGTATGGCCTGCAAGAGGGACGAGGAAATAGACAAAATAGTAGTAGCTATTATCCTGTCTGGGGAATGACAGGAGTAACATCAATCTCCTGTTTGTCAGTAGTTTCGAACTGTCTGGACAGAGCGTCTGCTTTAGTGTTGCGATCACCTGGCCTATAGGTGATAATAAAATTGAAACGGGACAAAAATAGTGACCACCTAGCCTGCCTGGAAGACAATCTTTTGGCTTCGCTAAGGTAGGATAGGTTCTTGTGATCCGTAAAAATGAGGATAGGATCCTTAGTTCCTTCTAACAAATGTCTCCACTCTTTAAGTGCTAAAATAATAGCAAGGAGTTCGCGATTACCCACATCATAATTTTTCTCTGCTTTGGACATTTGTTTAGAAAAGAAGCCGCATGGATGCAATGGCTTCTCAGGCGACTCTCTTTGGGATAAGACAGCACCTACCCCAATATCCGAAGCATCAACTTCAAGAATATAGGGCAGTGAGGGGACAGGATGCTGTAAAATAGGTGCAGAGGCGAACGTAGTTTTAAGAAATTCAAAAGTCTGAAGTGCCTCGGTAGACCAAACACGAGTATTGCCATCCTTTTTAGTCATACGGGTAATAGGTGCTACAATGGACGAGAAACCTTTGATAAAACGTCTATAATAATTGGAGAACCCAAGAAAACGCTGAATAGCTTTCAGACCTTGCGGTAGAGGCCATTCTATTACAGCAGCTAGCTTCTGGGGATCCATACGAAAACCTTTAGCGGAAATCAAATACCCCAAGAACTGGACTTCGGTTTGGTCAAACAGACATTTCTCTAGCTTGCAATAAAGACCATTAGCAAGAAGGGTCTTCAAAACTGTCGTAACATGTCTGTGATGAGTGTATATATCTGTAGAATATATTAAAATGTCGTCCAAGTATACGATAACAAATGTGTGAATAAAATCTCTTAAGACATCATTAATAAATTCTTGGAATACTGCTGGGGCATTGCAAAGCCCAAATGGCATAACAGTATATTCGTAATGACCGGATCTAGTGTTGAATGCAGTCTTCCATTCGTGATTTTCCTTTATACGTATCAAATTGTATGCACTCCTAAGGTCTAATTTAGTGAACACAGTGGCATGTTTCAGCCTGTCAAATAATTCTGTAATCAAAGTTATAGGGTATGCATTTTTGATAGTGATTTTGTTTAGACCTCTATAATCTATACACGGTCTTAAATCACCTTCTTTCTTCGATACAAAGAAGAACCCTGCTCCAGCTGGAGAAGAGGATCTCCTAATAAACCCTTTTTCTAGTGATTCCTTGATGTACTCCTCCATGACACGGTTTTCTTGAACCGATAAGGGGTACACCCTGCCCTTTGGAGGTATAGTGCCAGGCAACAAGTCAATAGCGCAATCATAGGGTCTGTGAGGCGGTAATTTCTCAGCCTCCCTTTTATCGAAAACAGTCTTTAGAGATAAGTACTGAGGGGGTATAACCGTAGACAAAGGAGGACTGGTAGGTACCTCAATAGAATTCAAAGGTGTGACTTCCAACGTACAAGACTCGTGGCAGGCCTCACTCCATGATTTTATTTGCCCTGTCTCCCAGTCAAAAATGGGATTGTGAGCACGTAACCATGGATACCCTAATACTAACTGTGAAGAGGGAGAGGTGATGACCTGGAATCGAATGGTTTCATAGTGTAAAACCCCTGTGTACATGTGTAATGGTACAGTCTCATGAGTAACAACTGGAGAACTTAATGGTCTACCATCTATGGCCTCAACGGCCAAGGGTATCTCCTTCTCTCTGATGGGAATGTTGTTTCTCTTTATAAAGCCAGAGTCTATAAAATTTTCAGCTGCCCCAGAGTCAACCAGAGCATATATGTTGTCAACTATACAAATCTCTCCCATATATAAAGAAACCGGGAGAAGCAAGCGGTTAGGAGGCAATTTAGGAGACTTAGATATCACACCCAAGGCCAGTCCCCTATAAGGTCTTAGGTGCGAGAGTTTTCCGGGAGTAAAGGACATTCCTTTACCATATGGTCTCTCCTACCACAGTATAGGCAGAGTCCCTCCCTTCTCCTATGTAATTTCTCAGTATCAGAGAGTTTGGCAACCCCTAATTGCATAGGTTCCTCCTCAGACACTTTAACACTCTCTGGTATATTAACTCTGGGGTTAATGGGTGTAACAAAACGTCTATTCCTGTTCTTGGTATAGAGCCTGTCACGAATTCTATTATCAATATCAATGAGGTAATCGATAAGGTCCTCTAAGGCAATAGGAAGCTCCTTAGCTGCTACCTCATCCAATATCGTATCTGACAAACCTTCCATAAAGGCAGTAGTTAACCCATTGTTGGTCCAATCTACCTGCGAAGCAAGAGTGCTAAACTGAATAGCATAATCAGCCACAGACCTAGAACCCTGTTTAATTCTCATTAATGCTCTCGCGGCATTCTTTGACCTTTTCATTGTGTCAAAAGTTCTACGAAAAGCCGTAAGAAAACTGTTGAAATCATGTACCATAGGTCCATTAGCTTCCCAAATAGGATTTGCCCACTCAAGTGCCTTATCGGTAAGTTGGTGCATAAAGAACCCAACCTTAGACCTCTCTGTGGGAAATGAACGTGGATACATTTCGAAGTGAAATTCAATCTGATTAATAAACCATCTGCAAGTCTTAGAGTCCACTCCATACCTAGGAGGAGGTGTTAAATGGGCCGAAGTATTAGGCAAAGTAGATACTTCAGGGAGAAGGGGCGTAGGAGGGTTAGGTGTAGTTGCTGGAACGGTTCTAGCCAGGAGCGTCTGGAGAGCCTGAGCTATTTGATCCATACGGTGATCCTGCTCTACAAATCTTGCCTCATGGGACGCCATCTGTTGAGCTAAATCTGCGGGGTCCATGGCCCTATCGTAATGTAACGAGAATATACCCCTACACGCAGGATCCAGCTAAACAGAGGCAAATACAGAGGAGAGATACGTCTACCGGACCTTAGAATGGCCGGACTCGACGTATATGAGAGGAGACAGAGCCAGGAACAAACCGAGGTCAAGGGCACAGAGAGACAGCGTAAACTAGGACAAGCCGGGTCTGGTACACGGAAAACAGCAAGCCGGCAAACAGTACAGATAAGGATAAAGCGAAAACGAAGTCAGAATACGAAGCCAAAGTCAATACGAGAAAACACAACTGAACACCACAAGCGCTAAAGGGAACTGAAACAGAAACCACGATAGGGCAACGAGCTAAGGGAAAAAGGTAAGTTTAAATAGCTTTAAAACGAAAGTGATTGGCTCCTGTCACTTCCACACCCCCTATAGGTAATTGTACAGGGAGTGTGGTATGACAGGAGCCAATGGGAGCCTTTTGGCAATTAGGCTCCCACTGTCTCTTTAAGAGCGCGCCCGAGACTCGCGGCGCGCTCTTAGTTTCAGGCGGGACACGTGACCGCCTCACGCGGTCACTGCCCGCCTTCCATCCAAAGCAGTTGGATGAGCCGCGCGCGGCTCGTGCAGCCGCAGGACCGCGCGTGGCTTGAAGAGAGGACCGCGACCGGCCCCCGGTTAAGGTAAGTAACGCTACAGGAATAAAATGACCGACCGTGCTGGATGAACTAGCTGAATTGGGCTCCATGCGATGGGGCCCTGCGGTCGGTCCTGGAAAAGGCGAATGCAGTACCTGAAAGCCTCCAGCTATAGAGGCTTGGGAGGGTTTGCCTGAATCCCCTCGTTCGGTTGATTATGCCTACCGAACGAGGGGCCGTTCGGTAGTTTGGAACCGAACGGACCAGGGCTGATGGAGGTGTCTCAGCGGTGATAACCTAATCGAGTGTCCGTTTTTAGTTCCAGACACTCGACGGCAAAACACTGCTGTTCGGGAGGTTAAGATGGCCGCTGCCACATGTTCGTTTCTCGAATGGCGGCCACCCCTGAGAACAAAGGATTGCTACACAGCTTGTCAATTACCCGTTCGCAACAATGTTGCAACGGGTAATTGAAGGCATACTTCACACAGGGAGGTCTGACTGTTCGGTAGTTTAATTCGAACAAACTAAGGGAATGAAACTACCTTACATTCAGACGAATCCAATACATTTTACACATAGAACTTAGCTACTTTACACGAATACATTCCCTTACTGCATGGACATTTAGCAAATAGACGAATACAGGTTAAACATAATGTAAGTCCCAGGGCAGCTCATGGCCATCCGCTACACACCTGAGAAGTTTCAAGCATGTTATTAAATTTGATTGCGCTGTGCAGAACAAATACAGGGCCCTTTTCTCATGCTAGAGCTCTTCAGCAGAGCTCTGCACATGGTCTGCCCTGGAAGAGCATTGAATCAACATGCTCACTATGAGATGGGGTGTGCTTGCCATAGGGGATGACAAAACACACCCTATCTGGCCCGCCCCTTTTTCAGTGGGCCGCTGTGATTAAAAAATGCCCGGGCTGAATTCTTTTCCCAGTCCAGCCCTGTTCCCAACACTATAGTGCTGCAGTAGCTATTTAGATTACTGCCTACCTCACTCCCCCCAATAATAGAGTAAAAATATTTTTAATGTATCTTTTCTCCATCGTCTCACTGGTCCAATGTTTTCCTATTTTAAAAATGTGCTGCATGTAGCGGAGAGCTGGTATTACACAGCCTATCGCCACTTTGGATCCCAGTAAGGCTCAGGAACAAGTATAATAAATCCACAGAGTAATATTTCTAACAGGCAAAAAAGACTCCAACAATATCCCAATCGCAATCCCAATGACTGGACGACACACAGCATCAGGAGCTGAACTAAACTTTTATTCACAGCAGTTCCTTATAAAGGATTCTCCCATGCAAGGGAGGGATTTCCAGTAATTAGGACAGTAACCAATCATACAGAGGTTCCCTCCCCTACTTTCCCTCCCCTCAGTGTGACACTTAATCCTGGTACCTTTTTCCCTGTTTCTTGGATGTACCCCAAAACTGTGGGGTACAAGGACTTAAGTGGCATCCCCTGGTAGCTCTGGTCTGGGTGACCAACATACTCAAAATTCACCCAGATCAGACCAGGGGTTCGGGAGTTATGGGGAATAAACGATTTGACCGACCGCACACGACTATGTAACCGAAAAGAGTTCCATGTGTTTTGGCCTTGCGGTCTGTCTACGTTCGGGAGGTAAAACAGTTATAAATCCTTGCCATCCATAGATAATACAGCATTCGCATGAACCCCCTTGTTCGATAGATTGAATTCACCGAACGAGGAGTCGATTGGCCCCTCCGTTCGTGAGTTCTGGAGCTCTGGAGGTCTCGGCGGTGTTCGGGCAATTGAGTGTCCGATTTGAGTTCCAGACACTCGACGACCAAACACCGCTGAGAGTTCGTGCGTAAGATGGCCGCCGCCACGTTTTCGTCTATCGAATGGCGGCCACCCAGATACGGCAATATAACACCAATTAACTGCGGTTAGAGAAGTGAGAAAGGTTTAACAAGGTGCACACTTCTCTCTGAGGTGGTCTATGGATTCGGTAGTTTCCATTCGTATGAACTATGAATGAAACTACAGATCCAACATACGAATAAGCATGCAATTTTTAATATACAGTCAGTTAAATACACGAACAGTCTTTTAAAATATAATCCTGGCGGACAGTCCCATGCCATCAGCTACACTGCTCCCCCTTGTCCACAAGATGGCATACACAGTCTGATCCAACACGGATCGGCTTGGGGAAGTCCGGACGGCTCACGGATCATTTTTCAAGTTCAGTTTGTCTGGACAACCTGTCGGTGTTGCCATTCTGTTTTCCCGGGCGGTACTGGATGTTAAAGTCAACTGCCTGTAGCGCCAAACTCCAGCGCAACAGCTGGGCATTGTCCCCCGCCACCCGGTTTAACCATACCAACGGGTTGTGATCCGTGAGCAGGGAGAAGGACTGTCCGTACAAATAGGGTTGCAACTTCTTTAAGGCCAACACCACAGCCAGGCACTCCTTCTCGATGGCGGCGTAGCTCACTTCTCTGGGTAGCAGTTTCTGACTGATGTAGGCTACCTGGTGTTCTCTGCCATCGGCCCCGACTTGGCTTAATACTGCCCCCAATCCAAACATAGAAGCGTCTGTGTGAAAAAGAAAACGTTTAGTTGGATTGGGAGCTGCCAAGACAGTGGCATTGATAAGTGCATCTTTCAACAGTTGGAATGCCTGCTCACACTCCGGGGTCCAGGTTACTTGGCGGGGCAGGTTTTTGCGGGTAAGGTCAGTAAGGGGTTTGGCCAGGGCGCTATAGTTTGGTACAAACTTTCTGTAATACCCGGCGGTCCCTAGAAAAGCAAGTACTTGGGTCTTTGTCCTGGGGGTCGGCCATTGTGCTACGGCCTTTACCTATGCGGGTTCAGGCTTCTGCTTCCCTCACCCTATTCTGTGTCTGAGGTACTGTACCTCAGCCATACCTATGCTGCATTTAGCAGGTTTCAAGGTTAATCCGGCTTCTCGGATTCTATCTAACACCGCTCCTATGTGGGCCAGATGTTCCTGCCAGGTATTGCTAAAGATAGCAATGTCGTCTAAATAAGCACAGGTGTAATCCTGAAATACATCTAGGAGTCGGACCACCATCCTCTGGAAGGTGGCGGGTGCGTTTTTCATCCCAAACGGCATTACCTTAAATTGGTATAAGCCGAATGGGGTGATAAAGGCGGACTTAGGAATGGCATCTGGGGCCAGGGGAATCTGCCAATACCCCTTACAGAGATCAATGGTCGTGAGGTATTGGCCCCTGGCCAGCCGGTCTAACAATTCCTCTATCCGGGGCATAGGGTAGGCGTCAGATACAGTTTTTTTCATTTAACCTCCGGTATTCCACGCAGAAGCGAGTCGTGCCATCTCGCTTGGGTACGAGAACTACAGGGGAGGCCCAGGGGCTGACTGTTCAATCACCCCCATTTGGAGCATCTCCTCAATCTCCTTGTGCATGCTCTCCCTTACCGCCTCAGGGATGCGGTAAGGTGTTTGCCGCATGGGAAGGGGGGTCTCTACCCTGTGAGTGGCCAAAGGAGTGTACCCAGGTACATTGGAGAATGTGTCCTGTTTCTCCCTTAATAACTGTTGTACCTCGGTGCGCTCCTGTGTGCTCAGCCGATCCCCCAGAGTAACTTCCCCCAAATCCCTGGACAGCCTACCGTCTCCCAGTAGATCGGGGAGAGGCAGGTTGGCTGTTACCTCCTCTGAACATTCCGGGTAGGGCTTAATCATGTTCACATGGATCATGCGTCGCCCACCAGTTCCTGCGCAGGCGCCAATTATATACGTGGTGTCGCATCTTTGCTCCATCACCTTATAAGGGCCCTGCTAGGAGGCCTGTAGCTTATCATGTCGGACAGGTTTCAAAATTAGAATCTTCTGCCCAACCTGAAAGCTACGGTCCCTGGCGCCCCTATCATACCACGTGCGTTGGCGCGTCTAAACCGCCTGTAGGTTCTCCCGTACCGATTTCGTTAATGCTTCCAGACGATCTCGAAACACCAGCACATAGAGTATGATGGGGGTACCGTCTGTGCTCCGGTTTCCCTCCTAGTGTTCCCTAATCAGGTCAAGGGGCCCCCTTATTCTCCATCCGAACAGCAATTCGAATGAGGAGAACCCGGTCGACTCCTGCGGCACCTCCCTGTATGCAAACAGGAGATGGGGCAGGAATCGCTCCCAGTCCCTATGGGTGTCTGTGAAGGTTCGGAGCATTTGTTTCAATGTCCCATTGAACCTTTCGCATAGCCCATTGGTCTGGGGATGATATGGGGCGCTAATTATTGGTTTGATGTCACAGAATTTCCAGAGGCTTTGGGTGACTTCCGCAGTGAACTGTGTGCCCTGATCCGAGATGATCTCCCTGGGTAACCCCATCTGCAAGAAAATCTGCATCAGGGCCACAGCCACGGTCTCCACATGTATATTAGTCAGTGCAATCGCCTCTGGATATTGGGTGGCATAATCCACTACAGTTAAAATATACTTTTTCCCAGAGGGGCTGGGTCTCTGTAGGGGGCCTATTAAATCTACCGCTACTCTACTGAACAGCTCCTCAATTATGGGTAGCGGGTGCAGTTTTGCCTTCCGCCGGTCCCCTCTCTTTCCCACTCGTTGACACGTGTCACACGTATTACAGTATCTGCGGACTTCCTGACTAACTCCCGGCCAAAAGAAACTCTGGGTCAGTCGGTGCCGTTTGCGACTGACCCCCAAATGTCTGGATAGCGGAATATCGTGCGCTATCCGGAGTGATTCCGCTCGGTACCGTTGTGGTACCACTAGCTGCCTCATAACAATAGGGTCTGGCCCAGCTACCTGTTTGTCAAACTCCCTATACAGCAACTGGTTATCCCATACAAATCTTTCGCCCTCCCCCCCCAGGTTGGTCTGAGGTGACTTTGTCTCTATAGACCTGTAATGTGGGGTCAGTGATTACTTCGGCCGCAAATTCGGTAGGAGGAGCCCAGGGAATACACTCTAAGGTAGGGGAAGGATCTCTTACCTGGACCTCCGGGAGTGTGTTGTAGTCCTGGGTGCGGGCCTGTTGTCGTGTAACCACTGGGTGTGCCTCTCCGGTTGTGGGAGCCTGGGGCTCAAAAGCAGAAGTAAGTTTGCCCAGATCATTCCCCAACAAAACCCCCGCCGGCAGTTGGGGCATCAACCCCACTTCCACATTCCCAAACCCCGCTCCCCAATGCAAATGTACCCGGGCGGTGGGTAGCCGGTATACTGCTCCCCCGGCTACCCTTACGGCTACTGTTCTGCTGGTCTTGGCCTGGTCAGGTACCAGGTGACTTTTGACCAGGGTGATGGTGGCCCCCAAGTCGCGAAGACCCTGGACTGCTTTCCCCTCTAATCCGCCTTTTTAGCTGCCTCTGTGAGGGAGGTTGGATTGCGGTCTCTCACCGGTACCTCATTCTGGATGCCCTCATAGAATTGTTCCAATAACAACATTTGTAACAAGTCCTTCATGGACCGAGCTTTATTTGCATGTACCCATCCGAGAGCGGCCCGGTGTAGCTTGCAAGCCCATTCCACATGAGAGTCATTTCTTTTCAACTCTCTAAATCGCCGCCGGTATGCCTCTGGAGTGATGGCATATTGGGCCAGGATCACCTCTTTTACCCTGTGGTAGTTCCGAATCTCATCTGGTACAGTTCGGTACGCCTCAGCGGCCTTCCCAGTGAGCCTACCTGCCAGAATAGGTACCCACTCTTCTGGACTAATATTATGCACACAGTCTCTCAAAATCTTGGAGAAATGCATCTATGTCCTCCTCTGCCTCTACATATGTTTTAAATGCTTGGTAAGGTATTTTTGCCTTACCCTGTGTGATGGTAGTTGTGGTTGTATTCCTCTCTGCGTTTTGTAGTGGTCTTTGGCGTAGTATAAGCTCCTGCACCTCGGTCATTGTCCTGGATATAATATCCGCCGTTGGGTTCTCTCCATAAAAGGACAGCCTAAACTGCAGCTGCCTTTGAAACTCTTCTTGTTCAGATCCATCTGCTGAACTCTGCTGTTCAGGGATTGCCCTGTCCTCGTTTTGGTATTCTGCCATCACCTCTGCAATTAGGGTTGCTTTTCTTTTGTTGCTTGCTGCAATATCTTTTGCTTCTAGGAGATCTTTTAGCGTTGATCTTTTTTTTAGCTTAGCAAAATAACTCTCCATCCATATTCCATTAGTCCTTGTTCCCTTGTGAGTCTGGATTCCAGCGCTGACAACCAATGTAGCGGAGAGCTGGTATTACACAGCCTATCTCCACTTTGGATCCCAGTAAGGCTCAGGAACAAGTATAATAAATCCACAGAGTAATATTTCTAACAGGCAAAAAAGACTCCAACAATATCCCAATCGCAATCCCAATGACTGGACGACACACAGCATCAGGAGCAGAACTAAATTTTTATTCACAGCAGTTCCTTATAAAGGATTCTCCCATGCAAGGGAGGGATTTCCAGTAATTAGGACAGTAACCAATCATACAGAGGTTCCCTCCCCTACTTTCCCTCCCCTCAGTGTGACACTTAATCCACTTAATCCTGGTACCTTTTTCCCTGTATCTTGGATGTACCCCAAAACTGTGGGGTACAAGGACTTAAGTGGCATCCCCTGGTAGCTCTGGTCTGGGTGACCAACATACTCAAAATTCACCCAGATCAGACCAGGGGTTCGGGAGTTATGGGGAATAAACGATTTGACCGACCGCACACGACTATGTAGCCGAAAAGAGTTCCATGTGTTTTGGCCTTGCGGTCTGTCTACGTTCGGGAGGTAAAACAGTTATAAATCCTTGCCATCCATACATAATACAGCGTTCGCATGAACCCCCTTGTTTGGTAGATTGAATTCCCCGAACGAGGAGTCGATTGGCCCCTCCGTTCGTGAGTTCTCCCCTTGTTTGGTAGATTGAATTCCCCGAACAAGGAGTCGATTGGCCCCTCCGTTCGTGAGTTCTGGAGCTCTGGAGGTCTCAGCGGTGTTCGGGCAATTGAGTGTCCGATTTGAGTTCCAGACTCTCGACGACAAAACACCGCTGAGACATAAAAGTGAAAAAGAAAGAACGGAAGGGGGGTGCTCAAAGATAGTCTAGGAGAGATAGACAAAATGTACATAGTATAATACTGTAAAAAGGAATTGTACATCAACAGTACATAGGTAATGGGTCACTCACGATCTATAGAGCCTTAAATAGCAGGCTCTAACTGTAATGGCTTGTCAAGCTTATCAGGCAATCTGCTTTTCCCAGCTGTGTTGACGCCAAATACACATTTGGCATCATCAGCGTTGTGCCCTGTATATTTTTATTTTATTTTATTTTATATTGTAATAAATCTCTTCATATTCTTACCCACTTGGCTACAATAGTTGTGGTATGATTGAAAGAGTACCCGGAGGAATTTTAAGCCAACACAGCTGGGAAAAGCAGATTGCCTGATAAGCTTGACAAGCCATTACAGTTAGAGCCTGCTATTTAAAGGACCACTATAGTGCCAGGAAAACATACTCGTTTTCCTGGCACTATAGTGCCCTGAGGGTGCCCCCACCCTCAGGGACCCCCTCCCGCCCGGCTCTGGAAGGGGAAAGGGGTAAAAACTTACCTTTTTCCAGCGCTGGGCGGAGAGCTCTCCTCCTCCTCTCCGCCTCCGTTACGCCCCGCCGGCTGAATGCGCACGCGCGGCAAGAGCTGCGCGCGCATTCAGCCGGTCTCATAGGAAAGCATTTACAATGCTTTCCTATGGACGCTGGCGTGCTCTCACTGTGATTTTCACAGTGAGAAGCACGCAAGCGCCTCTAGTGGCTGTCAATAAGACAGCCACTAGAGGATTAGGGGGAAGGCTTAACCCATTCATAATTATAGCAGTTTCTCTGAAACTGCTATAATTATGAAAAAATGGGTTAACCCTAGAAGGACCTGGCACCCAGACCACTTCATTAAGCTGAAGTGGTCTGGGTGCCTAGAGTGGTCCTTTAAGGCTCTATAGATCGTGAGTGACCCATTACCTATGTACTGTTGATGTACAATTCCCTTTTACAGTATTATGCTATGTACATTTTGTCTATCTCTCCTAGATTGATCCAGTAAGACACTGATCGAATTATTGATGTACTGATATAAGTATAATATTGTATTACTATCTTTGAGCACCCCCCTTCCGTTCTTTCTTTTTCACTTTTATGTACTTGTATAGTGCCTTTGGTGATTTATTTGGCACTTGGGGGTAGTTGCTGTTCTCAACTTTATTAATAGCGCCAATCCACCTGTATATATTTCTTGAAAAGGAAATATATTTTGTTTATTTATAAACACCGCCGAGAGTTCGTGCGTAAGATGGCCGCCGCCACGTGTTCGTCTACCGAACGGCGGCCACCCAGATACGGCAATATAACACCAATTAACTGCTGTTAGAGAAGTGAGAAAGGTTTAACGAGGTGCACACTTCTCTCTGAGGTGGTCTATGGATTCGGTAGTTTCCATTCATATGAACTATGAATGAAACTACTGAACCAACATACGAATAAGCATGCAATTTTTAATATACAGTCAGTTAAATACACGAACAGTCTTTTAAAATATAATCCTGGCGGACAGTCCCATGCCATCCGCTACACTGCAAAACTAATCAATGCATCTTTATGGGGAGTGTTATGCACTGAAATATCAAGCATCTCTAGTGGCCATCTGAGTGACTGCCACAAGAGGCGTTACTAGGCAACAATGTAAACACTGCCTTTTCTCTGAAAAGGCAGTGTTTTCATTTCTAAAACTGCAGGGACATGATATAGGCACCAGAACCAGTACATTAAGCTGTGGTGGTTTTGGTGACTATAGTGTCCCCTTAAGTATGCGTGTGTGGCACTATTTTTAGAAAACCAATTTTTAGACCTGTGCCATATGTACGAGGTGTAGGAAGCTGCAAAACTACTTGGACCATACTTGAGGGGGAAAAGAAATAAAAAGGGGGAAGAGGGGTTTAGTTGCAGCTTGTCCCTTGTCTCCCCAATATTAGTAAAACGAAAAGTAAGAAAAAAGTTTGAGGAAGCGCAGCAAACAGGTTAACGCATCCTTTATTGAAAGCTATTAAGATCACAAAAATAATAAACAGCCTCAATATAATGCTGCTTGTAAAATCATCTGTAATAAAACTCGATATAATAACAATGCACAGTCTTAATGTAAAATTACGAAATAATTATACACAAGTATCCTAGTAAAACCTGCCTGACAAATAATCATCTGATATTATGCCTTTTGCGGTTGGGACTATTGGGACTAGTCTCCCAACAATAAAGTTCAATATGTAGCAAATGTCCTGGTGGAAAATAATAGTGTAACCTGTGCCGTAGGTCAAAACCCATGCTCCAAAGGAGCCACAACATAAAAAGGACTTCAGGACTCTGCAATTATTGTGTAATATCAGTTTATTCAGTCATCCAAAAAGGCAGACAACGTTTCAACACTGTGTATGTCTATGACCAGCAGTGGCCTGACAAAGACATGCACCATATCGAAACGTTGTCTGTAATTTTGGATCGCTGTATAAACCGATATTACACCGTGACCGCCAAGTTTCAGTTTAAAAGGGCTAGATAAGCTTTCCTAATGATAACATATTTCTGGATAAACTTTTTAAATGAATTAATATTATGAAAAATATTTTTAAAAAATTCATTTTAATTTTGGTACTTTCCACAACACTACTTATTCTGTTAGCGTTTGCTTTAACATACAGTCAATTTGATTCAGATATTTTAAGGAGATCTGTCTTTTTCCTTACGAGACAGAGGCATTCACGATTTCCTTACTTAATTTTAAACCGTTTTACTGTTCTTCTGACAAATTTACTTCCTGAGCGGTGATTGCCTTCTTTCCAACAGATCAGCTGGTGGTAATTCACACAGCAAAAAAAAAAAGTAGTTTTGTTTACCTAATTTCGCCATCTTATGTCTGTACTTGATATAGGTGTGTACTTGACACTGCATATAAAAATATACAGGTGATACTCGAAAAATTTGAATACTGTGCAAAAGTTCATTTTTTTAAGTAATGCAACGTAAAAGGGGAAACTAATATATGAGATAGATGCAATACATGCAAAGCAAGATTGTTCAAGCAGTGATTTGTCATAAGTGCGATGATTATGGCTTACAGCTCATGAAAACCCCAAATCCACAATCTCAGTAAATTAGATTATTATGAAAAGGTGCAATATTCTAGGCTCACAGTGTCCCACGCTAATCAGCTAAGTAAGCCATAACACCTGCAAAGAGTTTCTGAGCCTTTAAATGATCTCTCAGTCTGGTTCAATAGGAATCACAATCGTGGGGAAGACGGCTGACCTGACAGTTGTGCAAAAAACCATCATTGACACCCTCCATAAGGAGGGTAAGTATCAAAAGGTAATTGTGAAGGAAGTTGGATGTTCCCAAAGCACATTAATAGAAAGTTATGTGGAAGGGAAAAGTGTGGAAGAAAAAGGTGCACAAGCAGCAGGGCTGACCGCAGCCTTGAGAGGATTGTCAGGAAAAGGCCATTCAAAAGTGTTGGGGACTTTTACAAGGAGTGGACTGAGGCTGGAGTCAGTGCATCAAGAGCCACCACACACAGATGGATCCTGGACATGGGCTTCAGATGTAGTTTTCCTCTTGTCAAGCCGCACCTGAACAACAAACAACGTCAGAAGCGTCTTACCTGGGCTAAAGAAAAACAGACCTGGTCTGTTGCTCAGTGGTCCAAAGTCATCTTTTCTGATGAGAGCAACTTTTCCATCTCATTTGGAAACCAAGGACCCAGAGACTAGAGGAAGAATGGAGAAGCACACACTGAAAGATGCTTGACGTCCAGTGTGAAGTTTCCACAGTCTTGGAGTGTTGATTTGGGGAGCCATGTTATCTGCTGGTGTTGGTCCAGTGTGCTTCATAAAGACCAGGGTCAACGCAGCCATCTACCAGGAGATTTTGGAGCACTTCATGCTTCATTCCACAGACTAGCTTTATGGGGATGCAGACTTCATTTTCCAGCAGGACTTGGCACCTGCCCACATTGCCAAAAGCACCAAAACCTGGTTCAATGACCGTGGGATTACTGTGCTTGATTGGCCAGCAAACTTGCTTGACCTGAACCCCATAGAGAATCTATGGGGCATTGCCAAGAGAAAGATGAGAGACAGGAGACCAAACAATGCAGAAGAGCCGAAGGCCGCTATTGAAGCATCCTGGTCTTCCATAACACCTCAGCAGTGCCACAGGCTGATAGCTTCCATGCCACGCCGCATTGAGGCAGTAATTGCTGCAAAAGGGGCACAAACCAAGTACTGAGTCGATGTGCATGCTAATACTTTTCAAAGGTCCGATATTGTTCTATGTACACTCCTTGTTTTATTGATTGCATGTAATATTCTAATTTACTGAGATTGTGGATTTGGGGTTTTCATGAGCTGTAAGCCATAATCATCACACTTATGACAAATCACGGCTTGAACCATCTTGCTTTACATGTAATGAGTCTATCTCATATATTAGTTTCCCCTTTTACGATGCATTACTGAAATAAATTAACTTTTGCACAATATTCACATTTTTCGAGTATCACCTGTATTTAATACTTCTTATACAACGTTCTTATCCATAATGCTTGATAGTTTCTGTAAAAAAAAAGAAAATATGATGTGACGTGTACTCTCATAAATTGTGTCTGTTGAATGAATTTGGCTGGTAAGAGACAAGCATCTTACATATATTCCGTCCCTCCTTCCGCCCACCCATGTTCCTTATAACTTTATAGCACACTTCGCCAGTTGCTTCAGATATCACTCAATTACCTCCTAATTTTCTTTACACATTACCAGTAGCTGCAATTCCCTTTTGCTACCTCGTTTCAGCGCCCCATGTTAACCTTTGGATTGTAAGCTCACAGGCTACTGAGCTAAGTACCTTGTATGAAAGAGCTTCAGTGGTTAGATCTCAGATCACGGACGCAGCCTTTCTTACCCTTTGTGTTGGTCTTTTTATTTTGTACTGTCTTTTTCCTCAATTACACAGTGCTGCCGAATAAATGCTAGTAGTAGCAATAGTAATAATAATATACGGAGACCAATCTGCATTTGCAATCCCATCAAAACATTCCATTGAAAATCAACACATTTTCCCTTTACATTAAACAAATAAGGATACATTCACTATTCTTCGGGGTTTATTTAATCTATAAAGAAATGTTAGAAATGCAGCCATTTCTGGGGATGTTCGTGCATTATCAATACAAGGCAGTGATTCTGGATACCAAAATACAAAAACGTACCAGTTCAATTAACACTGCAGGAGATTAAATTACATCTCAATCATTTTCCCTTTCAGGACATAATTGCTTCTTTTTCTTCCTTATTTTATTTTACAAGTCAAGTGGATTAACCCATTCAAAACCACAGCAATGAAAAACCACGAGATTCACTTTGGTATAGAATTAATAGAGCTTAGGTTATACTATTTGTTTCTCTTTTATGAAGGGTAATATAAATATATATTTGTTCTATTATATCTTTATATATAGGAATAGTAGACACAAAATAAAATGATATATAACCACAGTATTATTGGAAAATGACTAAAGTGAAATATTTTAGATGGACCATAATCACTACAGCCTGTTGATAAACTGCAAAGTGTTATTTTAATAACATTTACAAAAACTTTGCAACATTAAATAAAATGTGATCGAAAAATCTAAAAAACTAGAAAAATGTCTAAAATATAAGGGAGACTGGAGATCAATTGATTCAATGGTGGGCAGCAACATACATAAAAAGCGCGACTTAGAAAAAAAAAATCTTAAAGATCAGAAAACAACAAAGTATGTGCGCACCAAATGAACGAATAGACAAATATAACACACACATAAAATGTGAGTATACATATACAGTCATGGGGAAAATATAACAGGTCATGATTCATTTTACAAAAATAGAACCAAAATGGAGAACAAAATGTTTGAAAACTAAGTACACCATTAACCCCTTAACGCCAGATGACGGGCCGGGTCCGTCATGCTGGGGAAGCATTTAACGCCGGATGAAGGATCTGGCCCATCATGCAACCAAATTAACCCCAGTTCCTGTGGGAGGTCCCCTGGCACGGGGACTTGCATAAAAGCCAGTGTGGCATCATTAAACTTCAGTTCTGTTATACCCTTCATCTAGACTTCGGCTGATGTTTGGGTACCTGTCTGCTTTTCTAAGGAAATCTACTTGGGAATCGCTTATTTTATTTTGTCGAATGGAGAGTTATAATTCACTGCTATTCTGGCCGTTCGGGAGGAAACTACCGAACGGGTATTGGATATATCAGGTTTCCTTACACTAAATACTAGGGATAGACCAATAATCTCTTCTTCCAATTATTAGAGCTGATATTCTGAATATTTCCAATAATCAGTATCAGTCTTGTAATTTACAGCACCATCTTTTATAAATCGAAAACCCCAGCTGCCAATGAGACTCCACGTCACACCACCCTGTGAGACCCCAAATGTAGAGCTCAGCTGACTTCATGGAGGTGAGACTGAATAATCTACTTCTACTGTAATGTACTGGGCTGCTGACTGAGTGATATGAGTGTGATTGCTGTGACCATGTTCAGTTAATGCCAGATTGGTGTATAAATTGTTTTGCTTTTTTCCAAAACTTTAAATGTACAGAATAACGGTACCGGTTATCGGCAATGGCCTGAAAAGCTACCAGTAAGCTGTACCGGGATTGGCTCTGGAAAAACGACATCGGTTTATCCCTACTAAAAACCTGGGATGTAGACGGTCCACACACTAAGGTTTGCTGGAAACCTCAATGAACTAGTTAATGGGTAATTACATATTTTTCAGTAATCTAAACATTAAATTATCTTGTGAAAAAACACTTCATGTCATGTTCGAAAACATCCTTTTAAAATACCTTTTAAAACGTGTAATTTTTTAATGTCACCACTACGTAGAGAGTTTAAAGTGCTCATTATATTTTCAGATGGTAGAATAGCTTTATTTTTGTCCTTTATCTATGCTGTCCATAGTGGCAATTAGTGCTCTTTGTTTTTTTCCATGGAACTTTCAAGCGAAGGTTGTTACATATCTGTGTGTCAGCTAAACTTTGAAGGAGACAATGCACCAAGTTAACTACAGTAGAGAAGTATGCTAACTCAATCACATTAATCATGTCAATATGAGAACAGATCTGGTCTCGTCCCTAAGGTGAGCTGTTTTTCTGAAGCAGAGAATGTTTTACCAACATGGCAGTTGACACATTAACTCCGGCAAAGGTGCAAATCTGTTCTATCCAACAGCGGCGCTTAATTAAATTCTAGAAAATTTCCTTGTGAAAGATAAGGAGGAAAATAAGTTCAAGGTGGCATTTTAATGCTTGCAAAGCAAGCAGCTGATTTATTTGGGCTAATGAAATGCTGTGCGGAAGGAAAAAAAAAAATTCCCAAATTAAAACAGAGTCAAAGGATACAGAGAAACAAGGTGAAGATCAATTGAGGTGAATCGTTTTAGTTAAATACTGTAATGAACAGGGAATTCAAAGAGGGCTTTTTAGTTAAAGAAATTAACTATTTTTAAATTGGAGTGAAGGTCGATGTTGAAAGCTGCTGAGGTAACAAATTGTGTAAATTAATTACGGAGAACAAGTTGGTCTAAGTGACAAACTATAGGCTGAAAAGGGGGGCTGGAAGGTCGCGGTCTGTGTTTTCTTACAGACAAACAGATCACACAAATCTGGACCAAGACAATACCCTTTTTATTTTTGGATATGTCTTCAAGCACAATGGATAGAAAATGAAAACAATGATTTGGAAGTGCTGTCCCCTTAGAAAGTTCAAAGAACACTTTACTGTACACTAGAAATTTGGGAGGGATTGGGAAAAAAGTGCTCGATTGACGCTGTAGCTTTTGTTTGTTTGTTTTTTTCTGTGGAAAACACTGTATTTTCACCAGATTTGCAATTTGCACACGCATCCTAAAGGCAAATCCTGTCGAAATCATGTGATTTGCACTCAATGAGTGTCACGGCAAGGGTGTATAATTTATTATTACACTATGGAATATCATCCTTTAATGTAATTTGTGTAGTAAATGGCACAAATTACAGAGATGCTATTGCTGAGGTCAACAGGGGTTACATCTTTTGAAGCTGGGACCCCCACAGAGGTCAGATGACAGAAGGGGTAGTGTGAATGGCATAGGGATGTGAAAAGGATTTTACTCTATGGATGTGAAGTAATCAAGGCTCTGCAAGGTGTAAGGTTCTACACTTGGAAAAAGTCTGAATGTCTCTTCATCCATTTGGCATGTACCTTGTAAAGGATAGGTCAATCATTTGAAATGGTAATGGGATTCGTTTCATGAAGATCCTTGTGTTCCAGTATCTTATCCAAGTGAAACATTCATACTTACCCACAGGTTAATAACTAAGCCTCATTTGTATTATATTTGGAATGGGACAAGCCCAATCTTTTAATTAAGCCCAAACATGAGTTGCACAACTTAAACCGTGTGGCAGGACTTGTGATGTCTGTCCTATTGGATCGTGGGCGGGGCGTGCAACATGTCTTTGGAATGGGAAAACAATAACAAATTCATAGAGGCAATTATTATTTCTGTGGCAAGTACAGTAGAGGAGATAAAACCAAAAGTTCATATGTGGCTTGTTGGTTTCTGGAACAAAGGAGGTGGTCACCTAGTATCCCTATTGCTCCACCCCTGGATGAGGCGTGGCAATTCACAGGGTATATCTCCTGTGATTCTGAAGGGTGTTTGTATACTTGCTTGGGGCCAAGATCTAATTTTGAGTGAGTCACCATCTTTCCTTGCCAGAGACCCCCTGGACAGAAGTTGTACTTTGAAAACCTAAGTGAGTAATTAGGACTTCTGTATTTTATCCTTTTTGTTTTTATCTGTTGTTGGTGTAAATAATTTGTTTATCATATATTGTTATATGCACTGTGACTATTTTTTTTATAATAAACATTCATTTATTAAGTTCTTCCTTTGTCTGGTTAAGAATCACGTTACCTGAAGAGACTAGTTAGTATTTTTGTAATTCCTTGAATATTGTGCTAAGTAATATTTGGTGGGTTTTATTGTTGATTTACCTGGGGGACCAAGGCACCCCATTTATAAATTGTCTTGGTGGTGGCAGCGTTAAGATAGTAATAGTTATATTATTATGTTTAAGTGTGGGTGGTGTTAAAGGGGGATTTTGTCATTATTTCCGGTCTAGTGCAGACAAATAGTGAACTTTAACCCTTTCACAACCACAACTACGTCACGCGCAATCTTGGAGTAGGGTGTGTTCGTGACAATGAGCACACCGCACTAAGCACAATCTAGTGTCTGTCTTAAATTTAGCAATTCGCACATGCCAATCCTATAAAAAGTTTAGGGTTCCATACTGATGAAACACTGAATAATAATAATTATTACCATCTCTTCTAGGAGGAAGTAAAGTTTCAAAGTACTACTTTTGCAGAAAAACTCACTAAAATTCACAATATCTACCCCTCCCAAACCTCACATTAACCAGGAAGGACATATAGATACATGTCTTGTATTCTTTAACATTAGATTTGGTGCTGTGGGATAATTCTGGAGAAGTTGGACAGCCAATACATGATTAAACTACTCTTTTATGTATTACTTTTTTTGCATTTTAATTATTAGGGAATACTTGACTATGGAGATAATTCTTTTCCAGGGGCTGGCCATGATAATTGTGTTAGTTACAACTTCTCCTTAACCTTATTCACAACTGACCACTAGCAAATTCTAAACTATTCAAATTCTAACCCGTTTGGTTCTAGATACAAAGAATTCTGTTGAAAAACTAATTCAATTGTGGATTTCAAATTTCTGGCAGCATCTATACAGCTTGAAATCTTGCGGACATTTATGTCTACAGGGTAGCTGAATTGCAAAAGCCAGACATGTATAAATCTGGTTGACAATGTTCAGAATTTTGCTTATGAATGCCCCGAGATAGTTCCATGCAATGCTTGCTCTCTGAGACCCAGATATTTAAACCTAAGTGTATAAACTTGTAAGAATTTTTTTTAAAAATGTACTGCAATTCCAAGATTGCCATCTCTACATATTTCTAGCTAAATTTACGATAGGATCCCTAGATGATAAGAACATTTCTCTGTTTGCATAATTGTTTTAACCCCTTAGGGACACATGACATGTGTGAAATGTCATGATTCCCTTTTATTCCAGAAGTTTGGTCCTTAAGGGGTTAAACTGATCAGTGGAAAGAAGTTTTAGGTGATAGTGCATTTTACTAAAGAGGATTATAAAGTTCATGTGTAGTAAGAACGGCACATAACTATGAACTTAACTGTGATTTGGAGCATTATTGCCACCTAGTTTAAGTCCTTCAGGACCCCATGACAGTTTATACAGTCATTCAGTGCAGTGAACCAGTTAATGGCATAGGCCATCATGCATTAAAATTACCAGCAGGGTTAAATCCCTGCTGGTACCAAGGAGCCAGAGTACGATTTTGTGCTCACAGAACCCTCTGTACAATTGCTGCCAGCAGAGGAAATCCTTCTGATGTGGGATAAAGGGATTGATTAGAGACATGATTAGATTATGGGTAGGATAAAGGCTTGGATTAGGGGAAAAGTTATACATGTGAGGTATCATTGTTATCAAGAACAGTAGCACAATCCAATTATGGGATGGTTTACAGTAGTGGGGCATGTGTGGTCTATGAAGAAAACACAAAGAATGTAATATTTTCACCTAAGTTCATGATAAAATGGTTAGAATAAAAATGTACTTTCTACAAATATGGACTTTTATGTAGTGGTTTTTAATTATGTGACTACTATAAAAGTTGTAATCTCAGTTTCCCAAATGTTGCAAAGTTTTAGCTTTAAAACCGGAATTCACCCCCACAATATTTGTGTCACATTTTTTTTTTTTAAATGAATTGAAATCACAGAGGTTACATAGTTACATAGTAGTCTAGGTTGAAAAAAGACTAAAGTACAAAGTTATGCATTTCCGTGTAAAGACTGCTCCATCAACTTATACCCTTGGAAATGGAAGCGAATTTGTAATAACACACAAGAAGGACATGGGAATTATAGACAAACTATGCAACAATGTGCAATGTCAATCAGCAGTGGCTAAGGCCAGCGAGGTATTGTCATGCATGAAAAGGAGCATTCATTTTTGGGATGGGAATATCATTTTGCCTCTTTATAAATGACTGGTAAGATCAGACCTTGAATATGCTGTGCAATTTTGGGCACCTGTTCTAAAGAAGGATATTATGGCACTAGAAAAAGTGCAGAGGCGGGCTACAGAATTAATAAAAGGAACGAAACATATCAGCTATTAAGAAAGGTTAACACATTTAAACCTCTTGAGTTTAGAAAAAAGTCACCTCAGAGGGGACATTATACAAATATATCCGGGGCGAATACAAACCATTGTGTGGAAATCTACACAAAAACAGGACTTTACATAGGACACAAGGTCATGTGTTTAGACTGGAAGAAAGAGGATTTAGTCTAAGGCAAAGGAAAAGGTTTTTTTTTTACCGTAAGAACAATAAGGATGTGGAATTCTCTGCCTGAAGAAGTGGTTTTATCAGAGTCCATACAGTTGTTTAAACGGCAGCTAGATGCATACTTGCAAAAATAGAATATTCAAGGATATAATCTTTGAATGTAGGGTAATAGCTTATTGATCCAAGGATAAATCTGACTGCCATTCTGGGGTCAAGAGGGGATTTTTTTCCCCTAGTTTGTTGCAAAATTGGAAGTGCTTAAAACTGTTTTTTTTTCCCCTTCTTCTGGATCAACAGCAAAAAACAAATGTGAGGAAGGCTGAACTTGATGGACGCAAGTCTATTTTCAACTATGTAACATCAAGTTCAACCTTGCAACAAATTTGTTTACATTGTTGATAAAAAGGAAGGCAAAACAAACAAAACAATTTCAGCTATTTCCAATTATGCAACAGAAAGGGAAAAAAAAAATACTTATTGACTCCATAATAGCAATCACATTTGCTTCGATCAACCTGTTCACACACGTTAATTTTAGCCATGAATTTGCAAAATAAATAAATAAATAAAAACCACCCAAGCCTTTTAAATAAAATTTAAAAAAATCTATAAAATCTAATGAGACAACATCTAGGTCTAGAGAATGATAAACATTTATTGTTCTTACTGTAGAGAACCCATACCGCTGCTGTAAGTAAAAAAAAAAAAAAAGCCTTTTCTTCCAGTCTCGGTGGGTGACGACATCTTATCTGTTGCATATTCACGCTAATGAAAAGGTTAGCACATTGCAGTTTATATATTTGTATAGTGCTATCATATCCCCTCTCAGGCACCTTTTTTACCAAAGAAAACAAATGTTTTCCTAGCCTTTCAACAAAACTAATTGCATTGGGCATTTTAACAAGCAGGACAAATTAATCAATCTACTTCGAGTTAGTGTTCACTAGTTGCCCTTGTTTTGTAGAAATTAAATGTAAATCTGAAAAATACATTTTTTTTTTTTTAAATATTTTATTTACATATAATATTTTGTTATGTATACATATAGCACATCAAAAGAAAGCTCTATTACTCCTTTAAGAATTACGGGTACATGTAAACAGGAAGGGTGAAATTATGGTAGAATAAATGCATGGCAAAAGTGTCAAAAAGGCCTTGATCACATACGCATCATATCCTAAACACACATGGTCTTAAGGGGTTACGCAATTAAACTTGGTATTTTCATAGGCTTAGTACAGTAGTACACATAGGACTATACATGTTGTTTCCTGGTTATAATGGGAAGCATTTCTAAGTTAAATTTGAGAGTTATAAAGTTGCTTGAGAAAAACAAAGGAATTACAAAATATGGATCGGCAGATGTTTTAATAACCATTTTGCATATGTGGACAGTTATTAATGGACTGTGTATTTCTAAATATCAGATATACGCTACCCTGTTTGCCATTACAGAGCATTTTTCATCTGAAAACATAACCTTTGTGTATTGTACATTTTGTCTGCTCTATAATTTATAGTAATTTGTTCGATACAAATAATGCACAGTATCAACTAAACAAAACTTGTTATTGATTTTCAGAGCCAGCACTTAAATGACCCATGTTTCAAGTTGTCAATAATGTGATCACAACACATACTGCTTGCTAAATAGATTACCATTAACCTTTCTCAACAGGATGTAAAATTAATAGAATTCTAGTACGTGCAATACATTAACTGGATTACAGATTTACCTTGAAAGAAAATAAATATTGGCTATTTAGATTAAGTGAGGTCACCATGCGATTAGAGCACAACATTCCATTTTAATCTATTTAACTAATCATCTGCAATGATACTTCCTCAAATTCCCAATACTCAAACCTGTAATATTTATAATCTAGCAACTGCTTATTTTGCTCTTAATCTGCTACGCGCGCTTTATGTAACCTCATACCCTTTCTCTTTTAGATTGGATGTTTGCAGGGATATTTCTTACGTTCTGAGGTCAATTTCCTTCAGTTTATCACCCGATTAGCAAAGGTATGACACTTAAAGGGATACTAAAGGCACCTCTCCTCCTAAAAGCCACTAGAAGCCTAACGAGTCAGACTCAGTTATTGGATCGAATGTCTCCCAAAGAGAGCATATGATTGGCATATCATTTTGCTGTGCACGCGCACTTGCCTCCCAATTATTCTCTGTGGGTGAGCATAGGATTGTCTGAGACCACCAAGAATGAAGATCTCAGATGAGAAGACAGGCCAGTCGTGGCAAGACCTGCACTTTAGGATATACAGTAAGTAACACATACCTTTTAAACCTAAATGCTGTAGTGTTATTTTTAAAGGCGTACTCCAAGCACCATAACCACTACAGAAGTACTCAAACTGCCTCTATGTAGCTGGACATAGAGTAGGAAGCTACCCATAGTTCTCCTGAGCTAAGCACTGCAGGGTAGGGCCAGCTCATTGGCCAATAGTGTCATCAAGTTGCTCTCGGGCTTAGCAATGTGAAGATAGCTTTCAGCTTCAAAGGCACGGTTCGACACTCTGTGGACCACAGGTAAGAAGTCCAACCATCAGCAAACAGTTTGCCTACTGAAATTACTGAGGGGGCGCCAGAGCACTACTGGCACCATCACTACTACAGCACACTGCAGTGTTTATGGTGCTTGAAGTTTTCTTCTAACTGGGTAACAAGCCTCAGAACATGTGCTGCAGAGGTCGGATGCAAGTCCTGCCTTTTATTAATTGGCTGAGAGCATCAGTCGAGCGCTCACAGCCAATAAATTAGCCTGTCTGCCAGAATTAAAACATCTTAGTATGTGCAGCATTTCATAGTTGGGTATTCTCTGCATATACAAGGTCGCTATGCCCTCCTCAAAAAAACTGAAATGATCATTTGATCAATTTTCTTTTAAATGTATATTCTATGTGCCTAAAGCAATACTAAAAAGTACTTATTTCTAAAATATTTTTAGTTAAAAAAATATCTCAAAAACCAAAGAAAATAAACTATTAATAAAAAAAAAAAATCTACGGAAAATTTTATTGTAGAATCCATAGCAAATTTCCAGAAGTAACTCAAGTACATTAAAATAATTGCATTAGGAATTACAAGAACAACAAACAAGTAACATGATATGTTAATACAAAGATGCTGAGCTGGTGCAATTTAACTTGAACAGCAGGCCACAAAGTTAAAAAAACAGGTTCAACATTTAAATGTGCTATGCAAAACAAGTTCATAATGAGAGATATAAAATGCATGTGTTTTATAACAGGAGTCAAGAATCAGTCATCTTTGATTCATGCTAACACTTCTGACAGACAGAAAAATGACATTAATATTCATTACTAATTATCCCAGCTCGTCTTTTGGAAGAGCACAGGCATGCCCTTTCCCTCTACTGCTGTCTAAAATAAGAATGTAAAAAAATATATTCCTCGCACAACTTCAAACTGTCAACCAAATTCGTAAATGGGGTCCTGTGAACTTTTGAGCTTTATTTATCCAATGTTTTACTGTGCAGATGACCTAAGAAATAAAGGAGAAGAAATAATGGAAAACAATAAAAAAAATTGTCATAGAACCGGGATGCAGTGATAAAATTAAAATTCTCCACAGATTTGTATTTATCAAGGACAACATGTTAAGCTGCCCTGACATTCTAAGTCAAATGATACCTTCATGTGACACATGGTATCCTTATCCGTTCTGACGATCACCTGACAGATTGGCTCTGTCACCTGATGCCAGACGGATTGATAGAAAGTGCAGTGGGAAAGCGTGATTATTCATGCTCATCGTGCACTTGAAGTGAATTTCAGGACATTTAAACCAATATGAGAGCACTATAGCAACGTTTAGTTTATGGGTTGCCTTGATTGGCTGCCGTATTGGGCAGCCTGCCGACCTGAGGGAGGGATGGGGGGACAGAAGTCTTGTCCACCCATCTCTCTTCCAATTTCAGACCTGCCAAACTTTGCTGGTCTAGATGTCCATAGAGTCTTTTGTTTGGAGTGAGATAAAAGAAAAACAACATTTAAATACATCAACGGTAATAGAGAACACAATGTTTTTAATAAAGGGAAGAAAATAAAGGGAAGAAAAAACAAAATTGTAAATAGTTTACTTTGCTCGACAGGGCCTTGAGCTAGTGCAAATATGTCTAATGATATAGGACCATCAGGATGGTGGATCTGTCAACCATAGTCTAAATTTCTTCAGAGATTATGATGAAGCAAGCCCCTGGGTTAATGTAAGGATGCACTTACTCCTTGATGGCTGGGAGTGACAGACTCAAACGGAAAGGACCAAAGTGTGAATGTGGGGACTAACATATCACCATTTCAGGTGTCCCTGCTCTGATTCCAGTGACCAAGAGGTAGATCCCCAAATATTTAAGAAATACATCTTCCATGATTTGTCACCCAGCCAGTGGTGTATCCTGGTTTTGTGCTGCCCTAGGCAGGACAAAATTCAGGCGCCCCACTTGCGCGCCCCCGCATCCCCCCCAACCTTTCCCCCCATCCCGCCTTCTAAATACACACACACATTCACTGACAGATACGCATACACTAGCTAACAGACACCCTCACACTCACACACAGACACACTCTAACAGACGCATACTAGCAGACACACACACACCCACTAACAGACACACACATACACACACAGTCAGACACACACACAGACAGACACACACACTAACAGACACACACACTAACAGACACACACACTAACAGACACACACACACTAACAGACACACACACTAACAGACACACCCACTAACAGACACACCCACTAACAGACAGACACACACACACACACACACACTCACTTTAACACATTTTATTTTTATTTAACCCCCCCAGCCTACTTTCCTTTGGGAATGCTGGGTGGGGGGGGAGGAGTTCTCTTTCTCCCTGGGGGTCCAGTGGCTGCCAGGCGTGCGGCCCTGGCGAGGGAGCACATCCTCTGAGCTGTCTGCTCGGCTCCCTCGCGCGCCGCAAGGGAGGCGAGCAGACAGCTCAGAGGAAGTGCTCCCTCGCCAGCGCCGCCCGTCCAGCAGCCCGCATACCCAGCCATATTGTCAGTTAGCCGCGAGGCTAACAAGACATTTGCCCTGGGCTGCTGGGCTAAAACGTCCCTACACCCAGCCATAACATCTCCTTATACTAACCTTATAGCGAACAACTTTTCAAGCTACTTTAACCCCTTAAGGACCAAACTTCTGGAATAAAAGGGAATCATGACATGTCACACATGTCATGTGTCCTTAAGGGGTTAAGGAGAGAATTCTCTCCACTTTATTTTTCCTTCTCAATCTGACATATGTTCTGCTTCTCCTACCTTCAAGTCTGCACTTCAGTAGCTGAACAGGAGGTGTCAGCAGTTCTCCCTTTCTCTTGCCCCACCACCGTACCCTAGACCTTTTTCCTCACACCTTATCAGATCTCTTTCTTCTTGCCTTGTGCCATCCTTTACTCATCTCCAATCTCTGCTCCAATTTCTTTCGTTGCTCCTTTATTAGCTTGCCATTTTACTGATTACATTGGCTTCCTGTACACTTTAGAATGCAGTTCAAGATACTAAAAATTTTACAAAACTCTTAACTCTAACCATTACATTTCTTTACTAATTTAAAGGTAGACCCCTTTTTGGTCTAGTGGTATAGACTCCACAAGGCCCACCCAATATAAAAGACATTATAACTAAAGCCTGTTTCAGCCTATGCACATTGTGCAATTCACTTAGGGTTATGGGGCTGTGCCTGCTTGAGAATCAAACAAGTTACAGTTCAAAGCATCTTTTAGGAATGTACTCCTTAAGTTTCACTAAACCTAGGCCTTCAATGATAAACATTAAAGGGACACTATAGTCACCAGAACAACTACAGCGTATTGTAGTTGTACTGGTGAGTATGATCATTCCCTGCAGGCATTTTAATGTAAACACTGCCTCTTCAGAGAAAATCATAAATTCTGATAGTGTCAGCAAGGAGGCGGATCGGGGAAGGAAACTTCATTCCCTTCAGGCTTTTTGCAGTAAACACTTTTTTTTTTCCCCAGAGAAAAGACAGTGTTTACATTACAGCCTATGGATACCTCTACTGGCCACTTCTCAGATGGTTACTAAAGGTGCTTCCTGGGGCAGTGACATTCTGTGTCTCCATCCTCTGCATAGAGACACTGAACTTTCCTCATTGAGATGCATTGGTTCAATGCATCTCTATGAGGAGATGCCAATTGGCCAGGGCTGTGTTTGGCTTGTGCTGGCTCTGCCCCTGATCTGCCTCCTTGACTATGGGACAACAATTTGATTGGCATAGATCACCACTTCTGATGATGTCAGCCGATCAGGCGCAGAGCCAGCTGCAGCAGACTTGAATAAAGGTAATATTTTACTATATTTAGGGGGCAAGGGGGAGCCAAGGCAGCTAGATAGTGATTTTAACACTATAGGGTCAGTAATACATGTTTGTGTTCCTGACCCTATAGTGTTCCTTTAACATTATTTGTATCATTTTGCTGTTGGTGTTGCTGTTAGCAGAGATTTAAAAGATCACTTTTCAACAGAAAATTTTAAACACATTCAATATTGTTCTAAGACAAGATCACCACTCAAGTGAACATTAAAAGCAACACTATAGAGCTGGTTATATAAAACTATATTGCTAACGCTATTGTCCCTCTGCCTATTTCATTAGGTTCGCAGCATGCCCTTGGTGTAGAACAGGTTAAAAACCCTTTTTACACTTACCACCTCCAATCCCACCCACAAGGTCCGCCTCCAAATCCCGCCCACAGGAATACACACACAGACACAAAAACACACACTGATACAAAACAGACACACATACTGAAACAGACATACACGCATATAGGCATCCATACTGACACACAGATACTGAGACATACACACATATATAGCTGTGGCTGATGGGAGTCGGCGTGGCTCCCTTACCTCCCGGTAGGGGAGGGAGCTGGGAGGAAGTAACGGCCACTTCCCCCCAGCAGTACTTTGTGGCTGCGATTTTTTAAAAGGGGCCCGGTCGCAGCGTTGTGCGGGCCCCGGTGCAACTGCAGTTCCCCCGCTAAAAGTGGGGCCCGTGATGGTTGTCACCCCCTGATGGCGGCCCTGCATGCGATAGAGCATCAACACAGGAAAGCATTGAATCATCTTTCCATATAAAAAGATTTTATAGCATTGATTACATTCTCAACAATACAATTAAAATACACACACTGTAAATATGATAACTTATAACTTAAGCATCAGCAGATTAGAAGTGCATTATGGTCACCCAAACCACTTCATCTCAATAAAGTGGTCTGTGTGCCATATCCCTACGCTTCTTCCTTAATAGCCTAGTGAATCTGAGCTATTTCAATTAGATGGTCTCATAGAAGCCAAGTGAAACTTAGCTATTTCAATCAGATGGCCTCATAAAGACTGACTGAGCAATGCATTTTGCGCATGCACACTAGCCTCCCAATGCTTTCTAAGGTGAAAGCACTAGATTGGCTGAAATCATCAAGATTGATCAGCAGTTTACACTGGTGATACTGCCCCAGAACCAGTACATTTAGCTGTAGTGGTTCTGATGCCTAAAGTGTACCCAGAAGGATTATTAAGTAAGTATACGTCATAATAAACCAGCCTTTAAAGATCTTATATCAAAAGGGAATGCTCTACTCATTTAACAAATGTAAGGACTACATAACTACAAATATCAAATAAGCAGGAGATACAAAACTAGCACAGGATCTTTAGAGACCAAATTGCGGTCCCAAATTGGTTATAAATGGGGTGCTTAAGGGGTTAAGCAATCTGCATGTACAGCAGATATAAGGCAAAGACGAAACAAAGACAAATACAGTGTTCTCATAACTGTTTCAAGCCCTGATTTACATTCATTCTGCCTGAATTAACAAGACAAAGCCAAAATCAAAGCTCATTTACTGAATGTGACACACGTATAATACATGTATAGTTCCAGAAAAGGCATTTTAACCATTCCAAAATCCTCTGACAGTCAAAGCGCTACCCACTTGTTAAAGGACCACTATAGTGCCAGGAAAACATACTTGTTTTCCTGGCACTATAGTGCCCTGAGGGTGCCCCCACCCTCAGGGTCCCCCTCACGCCGGGCTGGATGGAGAGGAAGGGGTTAAAATCTTACCTTTCTCCAGCGCCGGGCGGGGAGCTCTCCTCCTCTTCGGCTGAATGCACATGCGCGGCAGGAGCCGTGCGCGCATTCAGCCAGTCCACAGGAAAGCATTCACAATGCTTTCCTATGGACGCTGGCATTTTCTCACTGTGATTTTCACAGTGAGAAACGTGGAAGCCCTCTAGCGGCTGTCAATGAGAGGCTGGATTAACCCTAAAGTAAACATAGTAGTTTCTCTGAAACTGCTATGTTTATAGAAAAAAGGGTTAACCCTAGCTGGACCTGGCACCCAGACCATCTCATTAAGTTGAAGTGGTCTGGGTGCCTATAGTGGTCCTTTAAAGATATAGTTTTTCCTGAATTTGTACAAAACCAACAGTTTGATGTGACTCTATACTGAAAATTCTGCAGCTTTTTTTTTTTTTCAGTGAGATTACGTTTAGCAGTTAATGTGGATATTTAAGGTGGTAAAAAAAAATCTGTAGGATGAAAAAAAAACTTACATTCTCTAGCTTTCTATGCCAATGATGTATTCATTGAGTATACCTCTAGGGACCACAGTCTTTCAGACAGAAACATGGCAAGCAGAGTAAAATGTTTTAGGGAGTCTGGTCGCCATTCACATATCAGCTCGGACTTAAAATTTTCAGTTGGCTTCAATGACACACATCTATATAAAGCTACAATATGCAAAGCTGTGGTTTCATGCTCCAAGAGAAGTATCTGATTTGTAAATATATTATATTTTATATATAACACTAACCTCCAATTAGTTATTCAGGAGATCATCAGGCCCCAAATGCTGTTTTTTCCCCCCTCTATATTTGTTATATGTAGGTTAAATACTGCAATGAACTATTCTCTGCTCCAGGACTAGCAGGTTTAGCAATTAAATGACAGCTATGTGACTCCTGATGCTTAGAAAATGTGTTTTGGTGGACTAGAGCAAGATTACACTTTTCGAGTAGGTTTCCAAAAATTAGCTTTTGTTACATTAGATCAGTGTCTTGCCATAGGTTATATGGAAATGTAAAATTAAATAGTAGGCAAGACTCCAAATTATTTTGTGATGGCAGCATAGATTCTCCTTGATGGGACTACAATATTTTACAAATATGCCTTCTCAAAACTCTGCTTAATGACCGAGAAATAATTTGGAGTGACAAATGGTAGTTCTCCAAATATATCATGTGATATGATTAGATAGAATGCATAACCTCCACATTCAGGGTTTGTAAGATAATAAATTCTAGCAATTTACTTAGTAGAGACACATTTTCAAATAATACAATCCAGTTTCTTTTTCATTTTTATAAAAACAAGTTGGAAGGAAGTGTTACTTACGTGAAGAAGGGTATTAACTGTGTTAGGCTCTCTTTGTTCGGTCTAGCAGCAAAATCTGGCAAAGTCTGAATTACTTTGTTCATGACATGCCTTAAGTAATTCTGTAGCTGTTTCCGTCGTTCCTCTACAAACTTTGCATCCTAAAAAAAGGAGAAAAAAAACAAAATGTGAGGACTATTTCCAAAATCCGTCAGACTCATATTAAATTAAAAGTCAACAAAGCATTTTTAGATAAATGTCCATAACAATATAACTTGTGCTTAACCAGACAAAATTAACCCTATTCTCGTTTTATCTGTTTGATCAACCATTGCATTCTATTTGCAATGCAGACTATAAACTAAAAGTCTAGAAGACTTACATAAACGTGGCCTTACACAGTGCATACATTACTACATAATCAATGTATCTTAACAAAAACTTCTTGGGGCAGCTTGAAGTTGTTATGGAACAAGAACTTTGTTTTCTTCATCCCACCCTCTGGCCTCTCCCATAATTCGAAGAATCTTAATTTCCTCAATTCTCAAAATCCTTGATGGTACAGCCATATATAATAATTCAGACATGTTGCCAGTAAATTTTAAATCTGTTCAATCTTTTGTAAGATTATCTTAATTTCAACGGTCTCAGTTTATCTAACAAAACGTTACCAAATAAAAATCACATGCTTAAAGGAAGTGGACACATTTCATATTTAAACAGATACTTTATCAACATCTACACCAACCTCAAAATTACTTATCTATACCTATCGTCTCACCCTCCCTCAGGTGAAGCAACTACTAACTGCTTAAAACAAGCAACCTAAGTAGAATATACTGAACGCTTAAAGAGTTTTAGCTTGCTAGAGTTCTTTATGTGTAAAGAGTATGGCAAGTCTGATTGGACATCCAAGGATAGTTTGGGCTGGGGAAGAAGAGTAGTGCTTGCAGGTTTTGCAAGCAGTTTTTAGATATAACTCAATGACAATGGATAATTAATTGCTTGCATGTTTTCATCCACATTTTGCATGCAGAGCACTGCATAAGACAACCCCTTCTTTTTAGATGGACTTATCTAATTTCTTATCCTTTGTCCCATTTTACACCCCACGACATTCAATTCCCTCATCTATCCTTATTCCAGCTACCACCCTCTAACTAAATTCTTCCATGCCAATCTTCAATTAGTCTGCCCTCTTCCTCGCCCACACAATTTTTCTAACTCCTCAGTCCACCTGGTTTTTTAATTTATTCAACTTCACTCCCTTATTCCCTCTCCCGTAGGGTATGCACGGTGCTTAATTCTGAATTTTCTGTCATAGAAAGTCATTGCATGACAGATGCAGATGGCACTGAGCACGCATAATTTCACAATATGCCTGGGTATGAGACCCAGGAAGTAACTGCCTGGCTCTCCTATCCAGAGGGCTTAGAGGAGTGGCTTAAAGGACCACTATAGTGCCAGGAAAACATACTCATTTTCCTGGCACTATACTGCCCTGAGGGTGCCCCCACCCTCAGGGTCCCCCTCCCGCCGGGCTCTGGAGAGAGGAAGGGGTTAAAATCTTACCTTTCTCCAGCACCGGGCAGGGAGCTTTCCTCCTCCTCTCTTCCTTCCTAGCGACGCCATCGGCTAAATGCGCATGCGCGGCAGGAGCCACGCGCGCAGTCAGTTCAGAGGAAAGCATTTACAATGCTTTCCTATGGACGCTGGCGTCTTCTCACTGTGATTTTCACAGTGAGAAGCACACAAGTGCCTCTAGCGGCGGGCAATGAGACAGCCACTAGAGGCTGGATTAACCCTCAGTGTAAACATAGCAGTTTCTCTGAAACTGCTATGTTTATAAAAAAAAAAAAAGGGTTAACCCTAGCTGGACCAGGCACCCAGACCACTTCATTAAGCTGAAGTGGTCTGGGTGCCTATAGTGGTCCTTTAAAGCTGTGTCTCTAAGCATTCCATCTATAAAAAGGCATTTTGCGCAGTAGGACTAAAGCCATTATAACAACCTCAATAAAAAGTTCACATTATTAAAGCTTGTAATGAAAAAATACTTCCCTTAAATTGGCTCCAAATACAATGAATATATCAGGTATCACAGAAATGCATGATGTATTCAATGTAAATGTCATGATAGATTCACCTCTCATGTTCTGAGATTGGTGGATTTACTCTTCTTGTAGCATCCACCTTCAGTCCATGCTTCGCTTCCTCCTCCTCTGGTCTTTTGTGATTTGCCACGCTTGGCGATGCTTCCTCTAGCAGAGTGATCCTCCTGTGTGATGCCAACATGCTGGCTTCATTGCCAGCATGCCAGCGCCTTAACAGTCAGTCACTCCATTCCTACATACTCTAAGCAGCGTTGGCTAGGGAGAAAGAGAGCAGGAAGACCGCCTGTGGGAGATCTGTCCTGCTCTCACTTGTCAGTCACATGCTCGGTAGAAGATTTAACTGAAAGGTCAAATTGTTATATAAATTTATTCTTAATCTATACATTTGCCAGGACAATATATAGATGCATGCTATGCTTTCTGAAGAGCAGAAGTGTTATGCTAGGTACCCTTCAAATCTTTCTTTGTTTATTCTATCCCCCACACCATGTAAACTCCCTGGTGACAACATAATACCACTGTCCATGACATAATACACATAAAACATATATATATATATATATATATAGACACACACCCAGAACAAGTGCAACAATTGTTGTTGTATGTTTCTTGTAGTAAAATGTGAACTACCGTAGTAAGGTTTTTTTTTTGTTTGTTTTTTAAACGACAACGGTCTAGTTACATAGTTACATAGCTGAAAAAAGACTTGCGTCCATCAAGTTCAGCCTACCTCACATTTGTTTTTTGCCGCTGATCCAAAAGAAGACAAAAAAAACCAGTTTGAAGCACAATTTTGCAACAAGCTAGGAAAAAAATTCCTTCTTGACCCCAGAATGGCAGTCAGATTTATCCTTGGATCAAGCAGTTATTATCCTACATTGAAAGATTATATCCTTGAATATTCTGTTCTTGCAAGTATGCATCTAGAAGCCGTTTGAACATCTGTATGGACTCTGATAAAACCACTTCTTCAGGTGTAGATTTCAAGAAGGGAACACAAGAAGTGAAAACCTTGCAAAATAAAATTCTAGGTCATTGTCTTCAAAGTCCTGTTTTTATAATGTCACCTACTATTCTTCAAATGAAAACTTTTAAAGGGCTGTCACGATTAAACTTTTAAAGGGCAGGAGATTTATGTACAAATGCCTTTGTTTGTTGGACAGGATCAATACTAAGGAAGGTCTAATGCTGTAACATTGCTCAATTTACCATTCATTGATGCTCAGTACAAGTGATTTTGAGAACGCAGTAATGGCTAAATAACAATGAACCAAATGGAACAAACATGCATGCTAGGACCAAGGCCGTCTTTAATATCACTAGGACCCTGGACAAAGCATTTTATTGGGCACCCCCCATTCCCTGGAATGCAATCACACCTTTCACATACATACTTACACAGACATATACATGAACAGACATACTGACGCATACACACAGACAGACATACTGACACACACATGTACTGACAAACTTGCTGGTACAGACATACTGACACACACAGACACACTGACAAGCATAGGCGTGCGCACGGGGTGTGCTGGGTGTGCCTGGGCACACCCTAATCCCCGCGGCACGCCTATGGATTGAGACCGGCAAGGAAGATCAAAAAAATCTCCCCTGCTGGCTCAAGCATAGCAGATTGGCCCCGAGAGAGGCTCTTAAGAGCTCCATTCTGTTTGGTTATGGAGCAAAAGGCCTCCAGGCTGCACGCAGAGCAGCCCTCTCTGATATTTTCAGAACGTTGCCATGGTAACCTGCGGCAACGCTCTGAAACTCCAGCTCTCACGAGAGAAAGGCATGGTCTGTACCCTGTAGAGGTACAGACCACATCACTAGCCCACTGGACCACCAGGGATGATCAGCAGCGGGCTCCCTCTCCCCCTGCAAAGTAATAAGGGGAAAGGGGAGTAAATGTGTAGTTTTTTTTTTATTTTAATTTAAATAATGAAACAATCCAAATTAATGATTTAACCCTATCCAGCCCTTATATACATAAACTATACCCCACCACTTACACCCTATATACAAACTGCATCTACACACTACACCCTATATACAAACTGCATCTACACACTACACACACTATACACCTTATATTCTACACCCCCTATACACACACACACAACACCCCCTGTACCTACACACTATACCCCCTATACATACACACTGTATATACACCACATTTATACACACTACACACACTCTATACTTCCTATAAACACACACATTACACCTCCTGCATACACACATACAAAAGCACAACACACTTTATATCCCTTTAAACACTCCACCCACTGCATTCATACTATGCCCATATATACCTCCTGTGCACCCACTGAACCCCTATGCACACACAACTCCCATAAACACACACTACACCCCCTATTACCACACCAATACACACACGTGCACAACTCCTATACACACACACAATGCCACCCCTGCAACTCCTAGATAGACGAAATACAGTCCTTACATGCAAACGCAACACACCACTAGGCACACACACTCTAAAGGCCCTATAAACACACACACACATAATATACAGCCCAACAACACACATATACACTACAGGCTCCAGCTACATATTCTACACCACAAACAGACCCCTTTACACTCTACAGCATAACTGGTCTCCTCTACACACATGCAATCACATAAAAAACATCCAAACACATAACACCACAGGGAGCATTCCCACATGTGCAAAACACACTTTAACAATCCTTTTCCACTTGTGTTCTCCTATACCCACTACTGGGGACACCAGAGACAAGTCACTAGGACTTTTTCTCCATCAGAGAGCACTGAATGCTCTGGAGGGGCATCACACTAACAATTGGGAGGGCGGGTGGTGCTTGTCATTGGTGGAGATATAACGCGCCACATTTCTGGCCCACCATTCCTAGTGGGCTGCTCTGCCTTTAACTGCCAGGGCTGACTTTTTTCCCCAGTCCAGCCCTGCTCACTGACCCACAGGCAGGAGAGGACCTGGGGAGCTCTAGCCAGCAGTTCCGCTGGGTTCCTTTCGCGAGGTTGGAGCGTTTCCGCGGCAACGCTCAGATCTCGCGAGAGTGAAATCTAGCCCTGCAGGCTAGAGTTCACTCACACTAGGACCACCAGGGATCAGGAATGGCAGCACACCCACACTAACAGCACCCTCACAAACACACAGCAGTGTATGTATGTATATATGTGTGTGTGTGTATATATATATATTTACACACAGCGTGTGTGTTTGTGCTTTAGGGTGCACACCCTAATGCAATAGACTGCGCACACCTATGCTGACAAGCATACTGACACACACACAGACACATACCCTGACAGGCATACTGACACACAGACACACACTGGCAGTCATACTGACACAGAAACACACACTGTCAGACATACTGACACAATCACAAAGACATACACTGACAGATATACTGACATACCCATTGACAGGCATACTGACACATACACTGACACACATATACTGACAGACAACCTACTGACACACACATACACTGTCAGACATACTGAGACAAACACACGGACGTACTGACACATTCACATTTTTAAATCTACTCCCTGTTTCCTACCTTGAAGGATTGCTTTCCTGGTGTCCAGAGTGGTGACTGAGGCTGCCTTGGGCCCCCAAGAAGTAAAAGGGCCCGGGGCAGCTGCCTGTTTGTCCCTCGTTAAAGATGGCCCTGGCTAGAAAAGGCATGAGATGCTATAAAAGCATACTCCAGTTTTGTTATTGCCATTTATAACAGGTAGACTAAATGATACCTTTAAGACACAATTATTAGGCTATGCTGATAACCAGACTTCAGTTGCACCCAGAGAGGCGTCTCAGAGGAGCAGTGGCTTAATTCAATTCCTATGCACTTAAGCTGCTCATTGGCGTAACTAGCTAACAAACCCATGGCTAAATGAACAGATTTCTTGGACGAGTAAATAGTTAACTTTCTGAAACTAAGGTTAGAAAGAATATAAAATTTTTAGGCCCTTGCCTAGGTGTGGCGTTCAAGCATCTTGTCTCATTACACACGGTTTTTAATGATATGTGCAGTTCCCCACACATTTATAGTAAGGGGTACATAAATATACCTTCTAACTTTGAGAATGTCAGAAATTCCATGGACTAGAACTTCCATCACCTAGACAGGATGTAAGGAAGCAGATCTAACCAAATTTTGTCAGCAGTCAATTTTACAGCTGCATTACACTAAACTAGCCCCTTAACTCAAAAGGTCAGGCCCGGACTGGCCATCGGGCACACCTGGCAAATCTCCGGTGGACAGCGATGGCAATGGGCAGAGGCCAGCAGGAGAGATCAAGGGATCTCCCCTTCCAGCCCATACAGAGCAGCACCGGCCCTAGGACGGAGTTCTGTCCCCTCACGGCTCGGTGGAAGGAAGAGTGCACAGGGAGCGAAACGCCACCATGTTAACCCGCGGCAACACTCTGAAAAACTGGCGCTCGCGAGAGGCAGATACATGGTCTGTACCATGCGGGGTACAGACTTAATAACATGCCGGCTGGACCACCAGGGATTACCTTGTGGCATGCCCTCTTTCACTGGACTACCAGGGATCTGCATGCTCCTTCTCCCCCTGCAAGGTAATAAGGGAAAGGGGGAGAAAATGTTTTGTTTTATTGGTTTTTTTTTTTATTACATTACCATACACCCTCTCATACTTACACACAAGCACACTATACACACACCACAGCCCCTGCACTAACACAAAAACACACTTTACACACTCTAAACCCATATACACACCACAGCCCTGCACTAACACAAAAACACACTCTAAACCAATATACACACACACATCACAGCGCCTGCACTAACACACTATACACACTCTAAACCCATATACACACACACTGCAGCCCCTGCACTAACACAAAAACACACTCTAAACTCATATACACACACACTACAGACCATATACTAACACACAAACACTTCACACACTCAATACCCTTATATACACACACTACAGTCCCTGCACTAACACACAAACACACTACATACACTCTATTCCCTTATATACATACTACACTCCCCCTGGACTAACATACTACACACACTCTATATCCCTATATGCACACTACACCACCCACATTTACATAAATATACTACACACACTGCACCCCTGACACTCACATATACACACTAAACACTAGCAACACATAATATGCCACAAACAGACCCCTTTTCACACATAAAACAACACAAATAAACTGACCTATACACATGCAATCTCAACACAGGGAGCATCTCCACACATGCACAACACACTCTGACATCCCTCTTCCACTTTTTTTTTTTTTGGTATCCCACTATTGAGAACACCAGAGACAAGTCACCAGCAAAGGCAGCGCATGATTACATTGCAGAACGCCCCCCCAAAAAAGAGGACATTTACTTCACCCAAGAGCACTGGATACTCTGTAGGGGCATCACACTTACATACTCATTTGGCATGGTAGGAGGGGGACGTGCTTGTCAATGGTGATGACAAAACATGCCCCCTTTCTGACCCCGCCCCTCTTATTTTTGTTACTATGTTTTTAATTGTTATGTTTATTATATAGTCCTATAAATCACTCCTGCCTGCTTGCTTGAAAAGAAGGGTGTGCCCCCTCAGAGGCACAGAGCGCTATCACCTTGAGCTAGGCATTAAGGTGTCTGGAATAGGTGAGCAAGACCTTTTTATTGTATATCCGTTTTATCATATTTTACATGCTACACCAGAAGACTACTGGTTTCCCAACTTCTTCGTTTCATATACCATATCTGAGCGGACAGAAGAGGGGATTGTGTCACCTAGTACACTTCTGCCTATATGATTGGAGCCGGTCCTGGAAGGCTCATTCACATGTGAGTTGAACCATTGGACACCTACAGTCCACTTATACCCCTGACGTTACTACACTATTAGTCCCTTTTTTCCCTCCATTTTACAGCTTAATCCCTACGTCCCAACAAAGGGTAGGTGTACCCTATAGTACACCTTACACGCTCCACTTCTCTGGTTCGTGTATTGCACACCTTCCTGTTTTTGATTGTTTGCTGATTGGCAATTGATCATCTCAGCTATGGAGACAGGCATGGCGTTGAGAAAAAAAGGCAAGTAAAAACACCATTATATCATGTGATCGGAGAGGGGAATGACAGGCTCACACTCCGAGATACACACAATCACACACACACACACACACACACACAGACATACACACATTCACAAAGTATTATTATAATTATTTGATACACTCAAGTAGATACACATACGCAAAGATACACACACAAATACACATACAGACATACACACTGACAGATATGCACACACACACACACACACACACACACACACAAAATCCATATTTTTAGCCACCCTCCTGTTTCCTAACTTTTGGGCTCAGGACGGTGGCTTCACTGAGGTGCAGTGGGACTGGGCAGCAGCAGGTAACATCAGGTTAGTGGGGCTGGCTGTGGCTGATGGGAGTAGGCTGCCGCTCTCCAGACTCCTTTCCGCCTCCTGTCTCTCAATCCCCGTGCAGCTCTCTGTGCGCCAGGAGGAAGTGAAGGGAACTACAGTTACTTTCTCCCCGGGCTGAGGCCGCACAGGGGAATGGGCGAGCAGCCGGCGCTGCAGAACATGGGCGGCGAGCAGAGCTGTCTTTACCTGGTGCCCTATCAGCTTACCATTCCCCACTCATGGCACCATAACTAGTAAAGTTTGCTGTCGTAGTTATTGTGCTTTTACTTCCCATCTTCCACTAACTTCCAATATGTTTTACATGACAGATATGAAATAATAACATTCTCTTCCAAATTTTATGGCAGGACAGGAGGCTTCATATTTGCTTTACCTTCTATACTGAAACCTCCAGCAGCAAAGAAACAGTTAACAGAACTTTTCAAAACAACCAATCAGAACAAAGCAACAGTAGTATAAAACCCCTAAGCAGGCTCTTCCACTTCCTCTTTCTTTGCTGCTGCCTCCAGGTGAGCACTCACCAACTCAGTTGTCTCTGCTCTTGGTTGTTGTTTTATCCTACATGCTGCTTGTTTATTTAAACTGCCTATTTAATCAGTCTATTTGCTAAGTTTGTTTAGGCAGCTTAATTGCTGGTTTTATTTAGGCAGGGTTCTTGCTGGATTTAGCTAGGCAGTCTATGGCTGTGTTTAGCTAGGCAGTCTATTGCTGGATTTATCTAGGCAGTCTATTGCTGTGTTTAGCTAGGCAGTCTATTGCTGTGTTTAGCTAGGCAGTCTATTGCTGTGTTTAGCTAGGCAGTCTATTGCTGTGTTTAGCTAGGCAGTTTATTTTGTGTTATTTCCTATACCACTTCATGCTATGTAGCTGCTGTATCACTTGTTAACATCTGTTGCTGTATTGAGGCTATTTATCTGATAGATTCTGTATACTGCTCATTGATTTATTGTTATTCTGGGTTACTTTATTCTGTTTTCTCACTCTGCTGTATGGGGAATGGGTGCCCCTGCTATGATGCTTTGGCTCTGCCTGTAATCTGTTCCCCCTCCCCTCCCCGGGTTCCCCTGCTGGGCTCTGTCGCCCATACCCTTCTCCCTTATTCCCCACCTGCTCCCCGTGGCCCCTGGCCGCTTGCAGTGCCGCACGATCACCACGCGGTAGGCCGCGCTCTGTTTTTGCAGCCACGGCAGCCATTTTGTTGGAGCCGTGGCGGCCATTTTTCAGAGCCACATGGGCTCTGTGCGTTGCGAACAGCCAGGTCTCACCCAAGAACTGGCCTGCTGGCCATGTGGCCACCCTCCCCTCTCCCTATATCAGGGGAGATAGCCCAGTTTTTCAGCTATCCCTCTACTTACTGTGCCTGTCTCACATGCTGCATATGTAACAGATCCTGGATAGCAGAATCTGTCCCAGGCACGCTCACAACTGCAGCTTACTATGTCTGATGCAATGTGACTAGGTTCTCTATTTTAGCAGTAGACTTTTCACACTTTTTTACTATTACATGTGAATCTCAGATTTAAAGGGACATGTTACTGCTCAAATATAAATCTTTGTTTAACAAGAATGTGCCACATGTGTTATATGCTAATCAAGTCTTCCTCTAAGGTTCAGTCTTTTTCTCATAAAAATTAAATGGCCTGTTTTTCAGCACCTAGCTCCCCTGCCTAGGATTTGCTGCCCTTCCTGCAAGGGACTTAAATTTTCCACTACACATACACTTCAAAAGTGTATCCTAATATAATACCTGAGTGGTCTGTGAGTCAGCTTCTCGCTATATGGACCCTCCTACCCCTCAGCAGGGCTACTGGCCCCACATTCAGACCTGTTATTACTGGGGGGTGAACCCCCCCATCCATATTTCTGGGGCTCTACCTACTACTGGTCCATAATAATGGACGTGTGGCACCATTGTGGGCTGGGTGACCCCCTCCCTCTGGCAACATGGCTACCTATGAGTACCCTGCCGGCTCTACAGCGTCCTGTAAGATTAATGCTGAGGGTGACCCCCTCCTGCTTCCTATACTAATGCTCCGGCAATGTCCTACTATTATCATACCGAGGGGGTACCCCTCCTGCAGTCTGCACTGCTGGACCTGCAGTCTGCACTGCTGGACCTGCAGCGTCCGGGTATTCCCATAAAAGAAGGTACCCCTCCCACTGATTGAGCTTCTGTTCTTACAGTGCCCTGCAATACGCAGATACTGAGGGTGACCCCCTCCTGTGGACTACTCTGCTGGACCTACAGGGTCCCGTTATAACCATAATGAGGGTGACCCCCCTCGCTGACTACACTGCTGGGTGTACAGACCTCTATGATACCACACTGAGGGTGACCCCCTCTTACCTACAGCACTGCTGGATCTGCAATGCCCGGTTCTGGTTATATGAGGGTGACCCCCTCCTGCCGTCTACACTGCTGGACCGGCAATGTTTGGTTACTTTATTATACAGCTAACCACTTCGGCACTACTGTACCTACAGTGTCCGATTATGTTCAGACTGAGGGTGACCCCCTCCCCTGCTGGCCTAAACTGCATGGTATGCTTGTGCTTGTTGGGTGACCCCCTCTTGCACGCTGGGTGACCCCCAGCTGGCCGCACCACTGTACCTACAGTGTCCGATTATGTTCAGACTGAGGGTGACCCCCTCCCCTGCTGGCCTAAACTGCTTGGTATGCTTGTGCTTGTTGGGTGACCCCCTCTTGCACGCTGGGTGACCCCCAGCTGGCCGCACCACTGTACCTACAGTGTCCGATTATGTTCAGACTGAGGGTGACCCCCTCCCCTGCTGGCCTATACTGCATGGTATGCTTGTGCTTGTTGGGTGACCCCCTCTTGCACACTGGGTGACCCCCAGCTGGCCGCACCAGGTATCATTTGTGCAATCACGGCTGAAGGACAAATCTCCCGTAGCCAGAAGGTCACTTGGCCTGTCCTCTTGCCGGCCGCTGACCTCACTGCCAGAAACCATCGGTGCCCTACGGGGACACTCCACCGGCCATCCTAGACGCTACACCAAGCACCCCTGGTACTCGTTGGCTAACGGATGGATTCATCAAGAGGATCAGTCTTCATGACGGAGTCCGGAAAGGACACCGCAAACACCTGACACGGGGTTTGCACTCTATCTGGGACTAACCAGTGGATGTCGGTGACACGCAGACACAGATGTTTCCTTGGGACTAACGGCACGTTACCGCTTGGAAAGCGGAGAAGACTAAATTTCCACTGGGAATGGACCGATATGACTTATAGGTATCGCCTAGTTGGTTTCTACCCCTGAGAACCGCAAAACGGCCCCTGTCCAAGCTGGACATCAAACTGATGGATTTAGCATCCAAGTGCTGGGTCTGCTCTCCGGAGTTACCCTCGTGTACAAATTGAGCCGACACGTCTCTATTCATAGGGTTCCCCCTTAACTAGCCCCAGAGGTCTCTCGGACCGTGCCCGGACTCCAGATCAAGGTTGCGGAACCTTGGACCGTTCCATGAGCGATACGCATGACCAAAAGAGGCATCCATTCCGACTCATTCCGCAGTTGCCCTGCTGGGCAAAGGGTGCGGTGGAGTGGACTCCCGCCCCATCCCCACGCTACATGCTCCCAGTGCATGTCGTCTGTTGACACATTTTGAGACGGAGGGCACTCATCCCCTCTGAGAGCTGCTCGGCGTTGACGATTGGTTCTCTCCCTCAAATGCACATGATAGAAACCCGCATGGATTTTGCCATCAACATGGACATATTGAATCTGACTCACTCCAAGTCAACCCAGTTTCCGGTCTTTCATGGAATATTCGGTCCAGGCGGTGCCCCGCCTCCCGAGGACCAAGATGTCCGTCTTCAAGGAAAATACCAGGTATATGCTTCACAACCTGCGGGTTACACTTAGGGGCCCAACCCGGTTAATTGACCGGTGCCTATTCGCCATGGAAGCCATACCTCAAGGATCCGGTACTATCAGCCGCTCCAACATGGCGCTTTCTCGGGTCTTTGGCCTGGTATGACCAAATCATGTGACCTTCGGATGAAGCTCATCTAAGAATTAATTGATGACTCCGGAGGAGGGACTCCTTTACGCCAACTGCATGGAACTACCTGCAGGTTTGTTCAACATTCACAGTATTGCTCGCTACCTTCCGGCATGGACTTCTCACCGGTTGTCCACTACGGACTGCAGTCGGATCTCACATAGGATCGCTATCTATAGCTTCTGGACAAGTATTCGTCATTTGTGACAGAATGTATGCGGGACGAGACACTTGTGTGGCGGACGGCTTCACCCGGCCATGGAGAGACCCCAATGATTGGTTGCCTCACCCTCCAGGGTCTCGAGTACTGGCATGATTACATTCGGTGCGAACCGCCATATGGAGCGGTTCTCCAACTGGCTGCCGGACCCTCAGCGAGGCGAGGGACGAGTTTTCCAAGCTTGGTCTCCTTCGGGGCGTACGCATCCCGTTTACCTACAGGATACTTTGGGTTTTGCTTCAGACCGAATTCCTGGAAGTGTCGTTTCGCCTGGCCAAACCACTTCGGAGGAGTCCTGCGTGCTTTCCCCTTTTTGCTGGAGTTTGCCATGGGAAGGCAATCTACGACTCCCTGTCTCTTAATGTCCCACGTGGGATCCACAGGGGTAGCCTGCCACGACTTGTGTTTGGGTCCCAATGGCGGTCCTTATCATGGCTGTCCCCATTGTCTGGCTGAGTTGCCCTCTCAGGGTAGGATCGTATGGGGCCATTCACGTCCTATGTCAGCTAGTGGACGACTCATGTGCGTTTTCTCAAGATTCTGGCATTGCTAAGGATCTCTTGGTCTGCAGTCTACCAAGAGGAGTATACCGTACGGGAGCCCTATCTCTCGGCAGTTTTTTCCGCTTACAGTTTCCCCCCAGTACATCTTGTATTTCATCGCGTTCTGACGTCATGGTATCGACGTGTCTTCTTCCTTCTTGCCGTTCAGTACATCGGCTTCTGCACAACACATATTTCATTTTTATTCGTCCTCTGTGTCGTACCCCTATTCTCCGGATAGGCCACAGCTCTGTTGACAGATTGTACACGACCATGTAGATCCAGGATCTGGTTCTTTCGTCCGTCTACTCATGGACAGCTGTTTATTTCTGCGTACGGCCGTTTTGGACTGTTTCTGCATCTTCGCTCGCCCGTTGGATTTGGTGGATCCTCTCATTGACTGACCTTGAGTTCCTCTGGGACACTTTTGGTTCGGGGTGCTGTCACCTCAACAATTTTGGAAGCCGTTGGGTCCCTTCTGCATTTTCCCTACACCGCTGCTTGGTTTAGGGAATCAGTTTTTCCATTCTCCTTTATTTCAGTCCTCTATCTCATATTGCTTCTGGTTCTACTATTTGGGCGTTAAAATTGCAAATATGAAGCCTCCTGTCCTGCCATAAAATTAGGGATTATTCTAGCCTCGGTGAGGGAATAATCTAAATTTTATTAAAGACAGGAGGCGAATATTTCCCCCCCTTTTTTTTTACGTTCCCTCCCTGGATCTGGGTTTTATTCTATTATAAATAATTGGGGATATTGTTTATGTTTTGTGAATGCATGGTTTTACATAATAAAGGTTATTTCTAATATTCAGTGATGGTTGTCCGTGTGCGTTTTATTCATCATGTTTGTGTTGTAATTATGTTTCGTCAATGCCTTTTTAGCTTAGGTACATACTAGGTCTTCATAAGATCTGTAGACTTTGTTTATTCATCAGGTATTATGATGTGAAAGTGATATTGTATGGATATGACATCTTGCCTTGACAGTTTACTTTCACAATGTTTTCTGTTTTCTTGCAGTGTAATCTGTTTTCTCTCTGGGCTTGACGATTGTTTCTCTGGATGTGTCTGCTACAAGGTGGATTCGTTGGTTTCCTTGCTCTCCTGCTCGACCTCATCAAAGAAAGAGGAAGTGGAAGAGCCTGCTTAGGGGTTTTATACTACTGTTGCTTTGTTCTGATTGGTTGTTTTGAAAAGTTCTGTTAACTGTTTCTTTGCTGCTGGAGGTTTCAGTAAAGAAGGTAAAGCAAATATTCGCCTCCTGTCTTTAATAAAATTTAGATTATTCCCTCACCGAGGCTAGAATAATCCCTAATTCAGCTTGTTCCTTACTACATTTCTCTGTGCAAGGAGTGTGTATTATGATATACACCATGAGTACAGCTGGGTTACAGGCTTCACGTTAAAGGTTTTAAAGGCAACATTGGTACCTGCAATGCTAGTGGAACTGACACCCGTATGTTTTAGTTTAATGTGTTCTCCTCTTGTAGCTATTCCATTTGTATTTTACTTTCAATATCTTGATCCTCTGTTTTGCTAGCCTGATCTGTGCCTTTTTGTCTGTGGATGCTGCATCTACATGGAGGCCCCTAGAAGACGCTAGGAGAGGTTGTGGGTATGAAACACTGCTAAAAAAATAATCTGAGATTGAATCTAATACAGCAGTGCATCCAGTGTGAACCTAACCACAATAACCAGCGGCTTAATAGTGGTTACAGGAACATGGGTCTATGAAGTCTAGATAGAGCGGTTTTCCTGGAAGCTGTTTCTCCCAAACATAACATCATCCTAATAGCAGTTACTATGTGGATACACAGCTGCAGGATAACATACAGGAAGACCCGATACCAAGGACAGATTGCCGATACTGTAGAGTCCAGCAGGAGATATTCAATGCTTCGTAAAATAAGACCCACAATCAGATGAAAATGATAAGTCCCTCCCCGGCTGAGGCATCATTCATCTTCATAAAACCGTACAGGAATACAAAGGAGTAGTCCACTTCGACACACAGTATTTAAGTGCTATTGGCAGGCATAAGCACTCTTGCAGCTTTTTCCCCACTTAATTTCAGGTGCACAGCATGCCTGTAATGCATGGCGATCAGGTGTAACAATATATACATGGTCCCATTATTGGAGGGATACCTTGATGTATGTGCTCTGGACCTATTTTTTAGCTGCATTTCTTCATTTACCATGCCTGTCTGTAAAGATACATCGTACTAATAGAAAAAGAGGATTCGGAGAAGGCAGCACCTAAACAACATTTGTACACAACCGTATAAAAGCACAATCTTACACGTGCTAAAAACTGGACCAAGTTTAATAAATGAGCGGAAACTGTAGAATTTGATGTATTGCGTTGTATTAAATATTTTTATAATCCTGTAAAGCTGTTGCTAGGCAGCAAGACCCCTCTATTAAAAGAACAATATTGTGCTGGACATAAAAAAACAAATGAACGCAAATAAAAAGCTCGTCTTACTAAGCTCTATAAATGTATATAGAATGAAGTGAGCCTGATTACTCATTGTTGTCATAGAGTTTCCCACAGAAGCTGTTGTTCATGATGTGATGCTGTGTGACACAGTTGCTCCTGTTGAGAAAATAAGGCTAATACAGAGGAGAATGTTTTGGCACACGATACCCTTCTTCATACGTTATAATTCCCACAACTTCCCACATAAAAGGAAAGTAATCTGGTTTTTTTTCTGGATGGGGCCCTCAGGCATTACAGATTTAGTAAAATAGATTCGGCTTTGAATAGAAGAATTTTAGCTGATGCCATGCCAATTTGAGAACTAATTTTCAAGTCTAAATCCTGAAGTTTTTAGTACACAACTTGCAAATTTATAGAAGAAAATAGAAATGGTGAGATTAGAATATAATTGCCTCAGAAACACAGTCAACAGTTAAGCACATTTATTATTAATGCTGGCTTTAGAATAGATTTATATGTAGACGTTATACGGAATACACTGTAATCTATAAAATGGTTCAGCCTCTTTTAAATAGAAAACGAGGGTACATAATAAAAACAATGTTTACGGATATGCTGTATGAAGAATCTGATAATTGTATCCCTCTTTTTGCATTCAGGAATAGCGTAAAGTTAATTATGTAAACATACCTGCTAATTTTGTGAAATTATAGTCAGTGGGTAGGGGTCACTAGAAAACCAACTATCTACGGAGACATTGCCAGCAGTCCCCCATATTACTACCCACCTCAATGCTGAGAGTTAACAGCATGGGCAAAGGCTCACAGTTGCACCAGCACTCATAGAACGTTTCCCTGTGTTGTGTTATGGGGTAGATGATATGTACATGTGGTCTTCCAAGCGGTCATGATCTTGATCTTGTGCTGGAAGTGAGGAGTTAACATATACAGCAAGAAGCCAGCAGTTACCACATGTAACTTACTAATAACCTGTGGGCTGTGAGGTTGTCAGAAGCATAACCCCTATACAACTCTTTTGGTGGGTGAGGGGTAGGGGTTGGTGCTGGAACACCTCAGAAAGAGTTACTCAGTACTCATTTCATAATGTATATATATTTTTGGGGATGGAGTAACCCTTTAAACCGTAACATACAAAGTAAATGAACACAATTAAAAAAGCTGGTCTTAAAAGCCAACTAAACTATGTATTTGGTTTGTTTTACTTCTGCTTTGAAGAATAAAAATATAAATTACATATGTCGGGACAGTGTCTGAAAATACAATGTAAATTAGTTTAACCCTCCCCATAACGTATAATAAATTCTAGCAATAGGTACCAATATGGATGGCAAATAAACAATTACTGCAAACCCATATAAAATGACTAGTAACAACATCCGTTGTACATAATAGCAAAACTATAAGGCATTTGAAATTCTATTTACTGCTTTCAACAAACTGGATGAATCAATGTGCAAAGGACACGTTTCAAACAATTTGCTGAAAACATATGCAATTTAAATTTTGTATTTCTATCTAAAGGTGAGCAAACATTTATTATTTATCTTCAGGGCATACTTGAAAAATGAGAAAATTCTGAATGTATTCTTCCCGGCAAAATTCTTTAAGATTAATAAAATATGTTATCCCTTGTATATTTTTCAATACATGAATAACTTGTAATGAAGCTATAGTGCAAGCATGTCAAACTCAAAGTCGAGAACGGGCCAAATAAACAAGGTTTAAGTTTAGGTGGGCCGCAAAAAACACAAAAAAACTGAAATTTTCATAGAAACGTAGGTTTATTTTGAAAACTAAAGTATAAAAAAAAAAAACAGCATCCCCTCCCTATTAAACTACAGCACCCCCCTCTACTAAATACCAGTCCCCCCCCTCTAGCCAACAAGAAGACTCCACTCACATTGCCGCTGCCAGTATGCGACTCCAGAGTCCGGCCTCTGGTATACCCCCAATGGCGCCATCCGCCCGCTACTTCTTGGTGGAATATAACGTGGTATTGCGTGCCTCCCTGCACCTCCAGGTACTCCATTGTCCAGCTGTGGTCATCGCAACACAGACCGACACACACACTCACTGACACACACACACATTTACACATTTTTACACACACTCACATCATTCCCTGGGATCCAGTGGGGATCTTCAATCTGGAGATCTCCTTCCTGCTCCTCACGGCTCCCTCGCACGCAGTTTAGGGATGCCAGGTGCCGGAATATCACGTCATATTCCAGGACCCGGCAGCACAACAGACGGCGCGTGCGAGGGAGCAGTGAGGAGCAAGAAGACTGAACTCCATTGCTGCCACCAGCATCCTGCTTACTCTCCAGCCGGGTAAATTTTAGCAGAGTAGGTACCTGCAATGTGGAGAAAGCAGGTGCCTACTCTGCTTTAACACCAAGCATGCACTTGCAACTCGCTGGGCTGTAAAGATGTGCATTGTGGGCCACATGTGGCCCACAGGCTGTGAGTTTGACATGCTTGCTATAGTGTCATGTGTACAACAATGTAATTGCAGTTACAGAGTTGCTAATATTGAGAAAAGATGTATGAAAATGTTGACATTCTTCCCAGGTCAACATGTCACTGATTACGAATTTAAAAGCCAAAAAACTAAATCTATTCCTGAACAATCCATACTATAGAGTTAGTCCCGCCCACTTGGCTGTTAAGGACAGGAAGTAAAACCTTTAAATACAACCCCCTAGTCAGCATATACTAAGTTTCTTTTCTCTCCTTTGGCTGTATGGAAACTGTTAGAACTTCTATGTGGGAACATTTAGTTTACCTGGGCCAATGTTTTAGTTAGCGTCCCTAAGAGAATTCAGCCTCTCGATCTTAGTAGCCCATGGTACGCAGCGGATAACCTGTAGTCATAGGTTTCCTCTTTGAGACTGTAGTAACCCTCCATGGCAGCTCGAGTATTTGGAATCCCCTGGAAATCTTTATTTCTTTTTTTTTTTTTTCCTGACAGTGGTCCTACATACCTTTCCCAAATTCTGTCCTAGAGTTATTTCTTCTTTTTACAAGGACATGGCTCTTCCTGCTTTCTTTCCTTCTCCTTCTTCTCAAGAGGAACAGACCTGCCATTCTTTGGATATTTCAAGAAAATTCTCAAGCTATTTGGAAACATTTAATGCCTGGAATCACCTTTTTCTCCTTTCTTATGACCAACTGCGTCGATAACCAAAATTTGTTGATGAATTGTTATCCAAGGATTACAAAGTCCAGAATCTACAGGCTCCTCAGGAAGTTCATCCTCATCCTACTAGAAATCTACTAATCAACTTTTTGGGCAGTTGCAGCTACTCTTTGGAGAGCATCTGTAAAGTGGCTACCTGGTTTCTCTGCCAATACCTTTATTTCTTACTATGCCTTGGATGGTCAAACCTCAATTTATTCTACCTT